AATTATTCTGTGAGTTGCTGCGGTGGATCGAAGACGGCGGCGCAAAGCTTCCATTGTCGAGGTTCTGCGAACTGCTTGTGGTAGCGATTGCTAGAGCAACGTGTTAGCGAATACGCTTAGAGGAGAAAAGGGGTAATGTTTGTAAAACTCACAAGGTCGCCTCGCGTGCCTCACGCCCTCTTCGTCCCTCTGCGCCAGACTGTCCTTGAGTCTCTGGATAACAGTCTGCATCTCCTCCTCGCGGTTGGCCATCTCGTCCTTCTCCTTCATCATGGCGCTGCGCTCGGCCTCGTAGATGCTCTCCATCTCGCGCATCTGACGCGAGATCTCGCGCTTCTCGTTCTTGAGCGCCTCAATCTGCTCTTCGTTTTCGTGCACCTTCTCCTCCAGCTTGGCCTGTTCCCTGGTCGCGTCGTCTAACCTGCTCTGCAGGATGTCCATCTGGCGCTTGTGGGATTCTGACGAGGCTTCGGCTTTGGATAGCCTCTCCTTGAGATCTTCTATGATAGCCAGGGTTTCGGCGCGGGCAGCCTCCTCGCGCTCGAGGTCTGCCGCTGACGGCTCCTTGGTGATGTTGTTGGTGCCATTGCCGAGGAGAGACTCGCGTCTTTGAATAGCGGCGCGGGCTGAGACTGGGGTTCCTGATCGTATGGAGCGTGTACGCGCGACGCTGGAGGCAGTCGAAGCAGACGAGGGGGTTGAGGCTCTGGCAGCCGGGCGTGTTGTTCCCGTTGGTGTTTCCCGGCCTGATGACGCTGGCGGCTTCTTGACGACGGTTGCCATTTTGTGCTAGGGTTGTGGTGTTGTTCCCGGTGGACGGGAGTAACTGCGGTTTCGAGGGTATTCTAAGGAGGAGGGCAGGTAGGCAACAGGTGGTAAAGAGCGTTCAGTTTGTTTGTGTAAGTTCAAGAGTGTTCAGTTTGGAATATTGTAAGCAAAAAGAAAGGATTCCCGTTGGAACGAAAGGGCGATCGAACTGGCGGTGGGGGCCCTTGCTCCCTTGTTGGGGGGGGAATGATTGCCGTCGTTAATGCCTTTCAGAGGTAAAGAGGGTCCCCTGTTGACTTGTTTTCGTCTTTTTTCCCAGGATGCGTTAGCACGCAGTTTTAGGTGGTATTCTGCGCCTGCAGTTGCATGTATGCGTGCGCGCTTGCAGTGCTTGGCCCCCTTTCTTCAACTTGTTTTTCTGGAAGTTGCTTTGCAGTGGTTTGAGTGGTTGCAGCAGTTGTTGGAGAGAAGAATTCTTTTGACAGTTAACAGTTTCCAGATCCAGAAACTAAAACATGGAAAAAGAGGACACACATGTCCCCCTGAGCAAGACCAGTCCAGAAACAACGGCAGGGCAACACAACGTGATTCGAGGGTCGACAACGGAAGGTTATTTCGAAATAGAAACACAGTGGCGTCTTGCATCAAAAGGTCCCCCTTCCAGAAAAAGGGTGGTGGATGGACACTGTGGAAGGAATGGGCCCCCGTTCGATGGATCACAAGGCTCCAGAAGTGTCTCCAGCAACTTGAAGCGGGCGAAAAAAGGGATTGGTTCGTGAATCAGGCCTGTCCCCTCTTTTCGTCTTCTCTTTTCCCCTGGTGCCTGCCTAGCGGTAGGTACACTAACAACTTCCCCTGCAAAACACACACACCACAGGCGGAGCAACTGTCAGGTCTCGTTAGTGCTTGGAAAGCGGATGCCATTTCGGTCCATGTCCGAAAGGAACGTGGGAACGTCAATCCATCCATCCCTCGCCTCGGTCCTCTTCTCTATCATTGGATTCGACAGTTCCGTTGTGCTGTGCAAGAAGCCGCCTCCTGAGTCCTGACGGACCTGGGATGTGTGGATGGATGGCAAAGCAAAGCCAAACGGTGAGCCCCGACCCGAGGCGGACACTTGTGAGATCTGGGTTGACTTGACTTTGCCGTCTTACAAACTACGTAAAATAGCAGCTGAAGATGGTACATTTCTGGTGTGACACACTCTTGGTCTATCTTTGGGTATAGATGTGATGCCCGAACTCGAAAAGGATGAATATCATCCGAAATTCCTCCCTGAGTCCTGACTAACTGACCAATCCTTTGATCGGATGCCAGTTACCTAGTTGCTCTTGTTACGCCGTGTCCGTGTCAATGGGTCAAGGCAAAAGGCACAGATTCCCTGTTCAGAAACGGCCAGACTCAGAGTCCAACCCAACTCGTGTTTGGTTTCGAGTTTCGTTGTCTGGTCGTCTGACCGCAGGTACTCGGCCTAGGTACATACTGTACCCATCGCCTAGTAACGCTTTGATATCGGCAAGTCTACGAACATCTCGAGTACCATACCATATCCGAGTACTACCGGCCCTTTGAAGATTCGATGTCTTAGTAAGTACGCAGTCCACTAAAAAACTTCGAAGAACTACCTAGAGGTATGGAAGGCGATAACATCTCGTTGTTCATGCATATCCCAGGGGACTCACTGCAACAATGCGTGCCGGTCACGTTGGTGCATCATGCACTCGAAATTAGATGGTCATGGCTTTTCATCGTTAGTCGATACATAACAACAAATGTTTTGAAACCCTCAAAACCCTTGAAAGCATCCCGTTCAGTTATATATCGGCTCGATCCATTCCAGTGGAGAAAGTAGCGGCCGACTTGTTCCAGAAGCTGAAGCCCTGGCGTCTATCCATTGCTGCTGTGAATATTCTGTACAGCGTCAGGAACTGTTTACCGACTCAACGGTGGTCCCCCACTAACAAAGATAGCAAGAGTGCACCATACAAGAAAGATAGCGGATCATCACCAAGCGAGCAAGGGGACGGGTGGCTGACTAACTTAACCAATTTTCCCCTATCCCACTTGCAAAATCTCCGGCTCGGCTCGTGGCTAGAGCAGTCCTTTGATCTCCTGTCATGACGATGATCCCTCATGGTGTTTTAATATGTTCAGTAGGTTTGGTTTCTTCGCTTGGGCGTTTCAAGGCTTCCCGTCTCCAGTGAACAAAAACAGTCTGCCCCTTTTGCTTTGAACGTTTTTGGGGGTTGCCAGTTGACGGCTCCAGATGGATCTTCCCCAGACGGGAGGAGGACCAGCGGTGGACCGTATGCTTTGTGGATGTTAATTTTGCGGTCAATGCGACCATCGAGGTTTGTTGTCGCAGAACACATATAGCATCAAGCATAGTCAAAATGGCTGCAATACGTTAACAAAGGGAGAATGGTTTGTCCACTCCGTTGATACCGTTAACTATGGTGCTGTCGACATTTGGAAGCGTTTATGATTATTCACAAAAACACAGCCAGCCAGCGTAAGCCCAGTTGTTCATATAAAGGCCAAATCCGAGGGTGTACATGCTCTTTCGACATTCGACCTCCCTCAGCTTCAAAGATTAAGTCAACTTGATATGACCATTATGCACCTATCGCAACTTGGATGTGCTCTGCCAGTGGCAAAATAACCGCGTTTAAACAAGAAGTACCGCAATCTGAAGGCCGAGATCTGATAGAGAGCTGGGTATAGGAAAAGCCGACTGCTTGAGGCGACTCTGGCGATAGTGAGGGATGAGAACTTGGTTGTTCCTTTCTCTGCCACGAATGTCGTTCGAGAGGCGCCGAGGCCGAACTGCGAGGTGTCATGATGATGGCCGGGTTGCGAGCAACCTGAAGTCCGACAGGCACCGCTCGATTGTTCCTTCCCTCTGCCAACAAAGCCGTTCGGGACAAGCTGAAGGTCGAGATCGTTTGTCGAGACTCGCATATTCGGATACATCACGTCGGGAGAGATATCGGACATTGTGGGACAACACTTGGGTATCTTGATAGACTCGTCTTCTATTTAAGGACTAGCCTATTGGAGAGTTGCCCTGGGGCGAGACCTCGGCCCATTCAGGCACAGCGGTAGACACCGCCGCAGATCCGGTTCATCAAGCCGTCATGCCATTTTTCCATGATTTTCAAAGCCTGAACGCCGTATTCCTATGCCGAACGAGAAGATAATACTCGACGCAGCATTTACTGCTGCTGGTCGGCGAGGATGTCGGAGTCACCGGCATCAAGGATGGCCATGGTGGAGCAGCGGAAGAGCTTACCGCAGGCGGTACCGAGCTCAATCTGTAGTGGGAGGTTATGTGTAAGCCACAGAACAGGTACCCTCCAAAGCCTGAAGACAGACTTCTTCTCTGGGTGGACCCGAAGACGCCACGGGGGACCATCTTCAGGCCGGGAACAGAGAGAAAAGCAGACAAAGATCTCGCGATCTTTGCCGTGCCGCTGCAAGGAGATATCGGGCCAAACTTACGTTGGTGCCAGTGTAGTGGTGGACGGCAGTCTTGGACATCATGGAGTAGTACTCGAGCTCAGACTTGCGGAGAGGAGGAGTGTTGGCAGAGATGAGGATGAGCTTGGCCTTGCCGGTGCGGAGGGCCTTGAGGGTGCTGCGGTAGCCGAGGACGACCTTGCCGGACTTGATGACAAGGGCGAGCTGTTCGAGAGAGCATTATGGTCAGCATTCTGGTGTTTTCGAATCTTGCAGATTTCGCACAACGGCAACGACATTGAAAACGTACCTTGGCACCAATGCTCTGGGCGTCGGACTTGGACTTCTTGGGGGCCATTGCGAATGATTTGTCGGTGAACTGAACCGTGGAAATGGGCAAGGTCTCGCTGGTGGTGAGGTCTCAAGTCGTCTTTCGCTGGCTTCAAAAAAAGGAATCAGCAGAAAAAGACCATCGCGAATATTTCAGATCCCCTCCGCGGCAGTGGGGACCGTGCACACTTCACCCGTCGGCCAATCACGTCCTTGCAGGTGGGCAACTGGCACAAAGCCCTAACGCCCCACATTTTGTGGCCTGGTGCGCACCTGACCGGGCGGCCGGCCTGCCTCCCACTCTGGCGCTGGATTGGTAATCGCCCGCGAAAATCGCCTCCTCTCGATCTTAAAGTTAGAGGATTCTCTTGTCGTCGACACCCTCTCAACCCACGAACAACCACCCACGACCTCGTACGTGACATCATCAGAAATCAGTCACAATGGCCCGCCGTCCTGCGAGATGCTACCGGTACTGCAAGAACAAGGTGAGCAGCATTCATGCCCGAATTTTGCGACGCCAAAATAGCCATCGAGACACCGATTTTTCGCATCTTGTGGGGCAGGAAGCCATCGATGGTGATGGTTGCGGATGGGAGGAGGAAAGGACTTGGTCATGGAGGCACTTGAAGGAGGATGCACTTGGGCAACGATGATGGATCGATATCACATCGCAAGAGGAGGAAATGATTGATGGAAAGGGAAGAGAAGGGATTCAGGTTGATGGCGATGCGACAACTCGGATGCTCTCGATGGCTATGGATTGTCGGTCGGAACTTGGTCGTCAATCAAGACCATCACCGACTTGACATGTCGACGACAACTTCACAACAACAACAACACACGAACACAGTTTGCTAACCACCTCCCCTCGCTCTAGCCGTACCCTAAGTCGCGCTTCAACCGTGGTGTCCCCGACCCCAAGATTCGTATCTTCGATCTTGGCCGCAAGCGCGCTACCGTCGATGACTTCCCTCTCTGCATCCACATGGTCTCCAACGAGTTGGAGCAGTTGAGCTCTGAGGCCCTTGAGGCCGCTCGTATTTGCGCCAACAAGTACCTCGTCAAGACCGCCGGTAAGGAGGGTTTCCACCTCCGCGTCCGCGTCCACCCTTACCACGTCGTCCGTATCAACAAGATGTTGTCTTGCGCTGGTGCCGATAGACTTCAGACTGGTATGCGTGGTGCCTGGGGTAAGCCCAACGGCACTGTCGCCCGTGTCTCCATCGGCCAGATCATCATGTCTGTCCGTACTCGTGACTCCAGTATGTTCTACTCCTTACCTCCTTCATCGCATTGTCACTCGTACTAACCCCCTCTACAGACAAGGCTTTCGCCCTTGAGGCCCTCCGCCGCTCCCAGTACAAGTTCCCCGGTCGCCAAAAGATCATCATCTCCAAGAACTGGGGTTTCACCCCTCTTCGCCGCGACGAGTACCTCGAGAAGAAGGCTGCTGGCAAGCTCCTCATCGATGGTGCCTACGTCCAGTTCCTCGGCAACCGTGGCTCTCTCGAGCGCAACATGAAGCGTTTCCCCGGCGCTTTCGCCACCGAGGCTTAAACGTTGTTCGCTGGGACAAAGAGTTGTTTCTGGGTTTAGGGTGGCGTCAACGGTCTTTTTTTAGGGCTGAAATCAGGGCATGTTAGTAGCATCATGGTCTTGTTGGCACAGTCAATCCACCATTCATCCAGATGGGTTTTCGATGATACCAATACCGCGTTCCCTTCCTACGCCTTTTCCCACGATTCTTCTCGGTGACTAGTGACTGACATTCGTTGTGTTTGATGGGGCTGCTATGGGATTGGCTCGCTTGGGGGCGTAAGGGGCGAGTGCAGTTGTCGATTTCAAATCAACGACCCAGTCGTTGGAACACGATGGGCACCTGGTTCGGAATCATCGATCAGCACATCAGTTTCGGCTCTTATGGCGCTATTCCAAAGGGGCACATGCTTATGCTATCAATCCGTAGCGATTCCATAGACATCGAATTCCAGAACTAAACGACATTGCGTATCCCAGGCGAATCTTGTCAGTGACATCATAGTAAACAGTTGTCGGCCAGATCCAGCATCCTGGGCCTGGGAAAGATAAAGTTGCCGATAAGCCCACCAAGGTTATCGTCGGTGGTCTTGACTACCTAGTGTCCATACAGGTAAGGTATCTCCGCTGACGATGGAACAGAGATCAGATAGAACACAACTCATCAACAGTTAGGCTCGGCGGTTCCCCGGACTGCACATCATGCCATGCAACAAATGTTGGGTGAAGTCATGACTACAGTTGTTGATCATGAATGGGTCTACACGTGTATAAGTCATCAAATCTGGGGGAGATGCCTGACCCAAGCGACCTTGTTCGAAAAAAGCAAAACATGCTGTGCATCATTTCAACCAACAAATCGCTACAACTCTCAACAGAGAGAAACAAGAGCCAAGATACCAGTAGCCAGGATATGTAAGAGAAAATGAAGGAGCAAATCAACAACATCATGATCAGCGATCTACAGCTGGCTGCCCTCATCAAGACGGAAATCAAGACTACTCAAGGTGAAACCAAAGCTCAGCCAATGCGTGAGTGCGTCGTTCATCGGCTGTTGAGGACCGCATCCCGAACGTCTTTTGCCCGTCTCCCCGTCATTGTCGCTGTCCCTGTCATTATCCCCTGGTCTACTGGCCGTGCTTTTCGGTAGGTGGTTGATTGGTAGTTGGTAAGTTTGGTCCCCTCTGTTTCCCATTTAAGGGTTGGAAGGGTGTAGTGGGGCTTATCGCTCGCTACCTACCGGAATTCAACTTATCGCAGACTGACTTCCTTTCTCATCGGTCATGCAAGCCGATAACCCAAAATGTCCCCAGAAATATCCTACCGTAGCATGGAACCGTATGTAGGAGTATGGGGAGGCTTTTTGGCTGTAAGCTAAGCTGGAAGAGCTGAGAGCTTCCCGAAGATGCCAAAATCCATGTTCAATATTGTCCAGGGAGCCAGGGATCTTGACTCAAAGCTACGGTACGGTAACTGTCCATTCCCACACCTTGAGCTTGAGCTTGAACAGGCCGTCTATCCGTATGTTTGTTGGGCAGCTATCTACTGTATCTACCGTATCTATCTATCTAGCTATCCAGACATCCGGGCAAGGACAGGATGGACTTCCTTGCCAATGAGACTTACCTCACCGATAATAGCGAGAGCTCAAAGGAAAGGAAGGGTCTGTATGATTCTGACTCGCAAGGCATCGGGAAGAAACAGTAAGTTGGGAAAGCAAGCGAGTCGAAGAATGGAACGAATCTCACAATGGTATGGCATGATGAGGTCAGAAGCTCAGTGGGGCTCTCAGGCCCAATGGGGGGAAACAGAGGGGAAACAGCCGTCAAAGCAAGCCAGCAAGCAACAAGCTGAACTGCTGAACTGCTGCACCACGGCAGCGGTTGAAACAAATGACAACTTGAGAATGAGAGGGACAAGGGGGTAACCATAGAGGAGGGGGGACAAGGGGACCTCGAAACCCCAACGAGAAATGTCATGTACACACGTACCGACCAAGGACGGACCTGACCAGTCGTCTCAGTGCAACCACCACGTAGTCTCGTAGTGTAGGGAGACAAGCATCCATGACCAGCGATACCGTGTGACCCCCTTGGTTTGGGAGGCAATCCCACAGAGTGATGACATCCCGTGCCTTTGCTTTGTGTCGATGCCGTAGTGTAATGTAGTGTACACGAATCTGTTTGCGAACATGACTTGGATCGACCTCCAGGTTCCTCCGCTTTCCCCTCCCAAGGAAGAGGAAGAAGAGCTTCTCTCTTGGAACTCAAGCAGGTAGACAGGTCAAGGAGCTTTCCCACTCACCTTCTGTTGACTGAATGGTGCAATTCCCCCCTTCTCATCCGTAGGCATCCGAGCCATTCCGATGGGTTTCCCCATCCATGACTTGTGCCCTTGTGTATGTAGTGTACATGACCCCCTTTTTATGTACTATGAGAAAAGGGTCAAGTACCGTCTGCCAAGTGTGTCCCTGGTTGTTATGTGCACCAACCATTTCGTCAGTACCCGCCGTTAGCTTTTCCTTTCCTTGCCCTGACGTGCTTCGGTTGTACACCTTTCCATTGTCTTTGACAGAAAAACCAAGGCTTCGGGTTGAATTTCCATTTGTTGTCGCTGATAAGGGAAGTTGGACGACCAGTTCCAGTTCCAGTTCCAGTTCCAGTTCCAGACAAGAAGAGGAATTCGGAAGTCGAGAAAATATAGGGGGGTCGCACGAAAAGGGGGGCGCAGGTGGACTGGACGCAAGTCAGCCAATATCAATATCCAAACAATACCTCGAACTCTTGCACAACTGGCGTACAACAGACTACGGACAGGTGTTTGGAGGAGAACAGAAGCACAATATCAGAAACCTGCGAGATTCCATTCCACCACGGCGGCTTCGTGCACTGTGTTATCGACTCGACGGCAGTACCGTACGACGGAAGCTCTCGAGTAGAAGCCAAAACCAGCCTACTGGCCACTGCACGACGTGCAACCAGGATCCCGAGAAAGTGGAAAGTTGGGTAACGGATGAGGTGTTGAACCACGAAAAAGTGACAGGGTAAAGGGGGGTCCAGACATTTGGTTGGACGGGGACTTGAACCCCACGGGCCACGCCCTTTTCCCGCCCTAAAATTCTGGACCCATCATCCAATTGCTTTGCTTGCTCTCTTCAGTTTGAGGACCACTGCAGTTCCTCTCTTACACCAGCGGAACCCCCGTCACCGCCTCCAACGAGACAAAGCGCAGTACAGTACTGTAACTAAAAAGAAGAAGGCGCAACGAGCCGGCGCGCATCTCAACCTCACATTCGTTGGTTCGTTTGTTGATTTTGCGACAGAAGAGGTGCATATCTACCGGTGATACCGTGCAGCAACAGCAAGCATCAACATCAGCATCACGGCAGCACCAGCAACAGCAAGCAGCCCGCATTAGCACGTACATCTGTGGTTGATACAACACTAGGCCTACCTAGGACCCGGAGGTACCGCTGCTAGACAGGGCAGGCTACGGGGCTCTAGGGGCGATCCATCCGTGGGTGCCTCTTGAGGTGTTAGTGCTATCAATCTGAGGTGTCGTTTGCTGCCGCTATCAACCACAGCTGGGCTGTTTGGCGAAAAAAGAGCGAATCACGACAAAACAAGCTCCTTTATAGGTAGCGACTGAGCGAGTAGCGAGTTGCGGAGCCCTTGTTGGGACTTGGGAAGGAAGCGCCGTCCCAGACAAACCGAACCATTTCCACTTCTTCCTAAACCCCTACCTTACCTCCTAGGACCTCCAGGCTAGCCGCAGCTCACTGCCAAATATCAAAAAGCAAATCCAACCTGGCGCCTTCTTTCTTTCTTTCTTCTTATTCCTCCTTGCGCGCCATCCATATCTTCCTTCTCCCGTCCTTCCTCCAGTCACGGCGCCTTCTACCCATCCATCTTATCTCTCTTTGTTCTCCCGTCTTTCATCTTTAACCTACCTTAACTATACCCATACCCATAACGTTATACTACCTACCTCTCTACCCCTCGAGTCCCCTAGTTCCTGCGCCAAGCAAACAAACACCAAAAAAAAGTCAACTCTTTCCTTCTCCCCCCCTGGGACGACGATAAGGATAGGGGTTACTTAGCGCGAAACCGCCTATCATGGCCTTCCACCAACCGGCCCGTCAGCTCCAGCAACAACGAAACCGCGTTCTCTCCAGCGATGGCTCTTCAGCTGTTTTCTCGCCTCAACCGACGGGTCTGGGCGAGTCGCAGACATGGGTTCTCTTCACCCCCGGCACCGACGCCGGCACCACAGCTTCCTACCTCAGCGACTCTATCCACGATGACCAGCAGGTGACCCCCGGCCGGTCGCGGGTTAGCGATCTCGGTAGCTTCGACACCGCAGCCCGTTCCGATTTCAACTCGCAAAACAACAACTCGGTAGTGCCCTCGGATTTACTCGAGGAAAGCATCGCGGAGGAAGAGGAAGAAGAAGATGATGAGGAGGATGAGGATCCAGAGTTCGACAGTCTCGACAGCCATCTTCCAGACTTCCGAACGCCTCTCGGGCAGTCGCCGCAAAATGGGCATGCGATTCCCGTTTTCCCCAGCCATGACGGCATGGGTTCGTTCCAGTTCAAGCCTCCGGGCATGAGCAGCGACATCCAAGAGCGACTATACCAATTCGAGCGACTCAACCCCAACCGCATCCAGCGTCGCAACGAGGCGCTCGAACAGATCCACATGGAATATGGTGGTCAAGAGGTGGAAGACAACGAGCGCAATCGGAGGATAGAGGCATGGCGGTTGGAGCAGAGCAAGCTGCTGCTCGAGAGAATCCGAAAGGAGACAAGGAGGAGGCAATCGCAAACTTCGCTACGCACCGTAAACTCGGCCAGGAGCGTGGACGATAAGGCCGCCAGCGTGTTGGGTCAGCTCGATCAAGACGATACGGCAAGCCTCGCCAGCGATGATTGGCACGATCACGATGACGAATACAAGGCCCAGTCCTCCAGCACAGAAACGCTCAAAGAGGCAGTCAACAAGGAAACAAGCGAAGGGATAATAGGGCGGACGAGAGAGGCCATTTGCAGCCTGATAGGAGTCGACGATAGGCTACTCGCCATCCTCCTAGGCGAAGCCCTCCCTGACGAGGAAGAGCTCTCCACGACGCCTACGGCATCCACGACTATGAACGTCGACTCACAGGTACAAACGTCCGAGGATTCGACATGGCAGTTGCGCATGCTAAACCGGATAGCGAAAGAACTCGGGATGCTGATTCACCAACTATCAACCTCTCCCCACCCCGGCGCCTTTTCCACCTACACCAGGGTCCAGCAAATGCCCCTCCCATATGCCGGCCTACCGGTCATTCCCGAGGCCTCAGCCGTCACCAACAACGATTCTGTATCCCGGGATGATAGCGACGTGGCATCCAACATGTCCCAGTTCAAACCGACTATTACCCAACCTGCCACCGCGTCCGAACAAGGACAGGCCTCCGCTGCCACTCCCGCTCTCTCAGAAGTCACATCCTCCAAACTCACCACGTCCACCGGGCCGGCCCCGTCCGACGTGACCTCCACAACAGGGGCAGCACCACCCACGACCACCACACCCTCTGTTTCCCAACAACAAAAACCAACCTTCACCCAAGACGAATGGGAACAAGAGCTCGACATCGGCCTCATCTTCCGCTACCTCCGCTCTCGCTTCTCTCCTTCCTCCCGACCCCCCTCGCCCACTTCCTTCTCCGGACCATCCCTGACCCCCTCCTCCTCCTCCATCTTCGCCACCGCCTCCACAGCCGACCTAGCAGCCAAAGCCGCTCGCGTCCGTCAACACCACCCTCTCATGTCCCACCATCGCCGCCCTCCTGCCACGAGGACCTTCAAAGTCTCTACCCCTTCAGGCGCAAGCAGCATTATCACTTCCCCTACTAACGCGGCGGCAGCCGCCGCAGCGGCCGTGGTGTCGGTTATGAGGCAGAGGGCGGGCAGCTGTGCTAGTCAGAGTACGCAGAGGAGTGCGGCGAATAGGACTACCGGAAGGGGTAGTGTGAAAAGGAGGAATAGTGGGGCATCGACGGCTACCGGGAGGGTGAGTCATGGGAGTAGGCATTATTGGGATTTTCCCATGGGGCCGGGAGGGAGCGTTAAGGGCGGGAGCGTGGTTGCAGGAGCGGGAGGCGGGATGGGGAGTTGGGGAGAGGTTTGAGTTTCAAGGGGTTTCGAGTGACTTTTGAGGGATGTGGGGGTGGTAATCAGCATGGATAAGAGGAAGCATAGGAGGGATAGATAAATCATCGATTGGTATTGTATAATAGAAAGTAATATGGGAAAGCGGGGAGTTTTTGATTGGGGTTGAGGTTTACGAACGGCCTACAGGGAGGAGAGAGAGAGGCATCATATCATCATATTACAGCACATCACATCATATCATGTATTGCGGGTATCTTCATGACTTTTTGGTTTATTGTCGTTATTAGTCTTTCATGAGAATTCCCGGGGAGAATAAAGCCCATTTGAACAACATAACATAAACCACAACCAACCTGAATTTGATTGTCTTGTGGTTCGTCATTAAACAAAAATGAAGGGGCGAGTAACATGGTATCGCATAAGTCTCTGTCCAGCGTTAGGGCTGTCTGTGAATCGTTCGGACTATTAACCAAGGAGAATGTTCACAAAAGACTTTACGAAGGGTTTTACGAAGCTTCAATACCACCTAGAGGTAACCAACCGCGGGTGTCTTCCGGGCATCCAGGCTTCCGGAACCAAGCAACTTGCTTCCGCCTCGGATTTATGAGGTGATTGCCGGTTTCATCAGCCTCTCTGTCACTTCCATGTTTCGAGCGGGAGATAAGTGTACACGCAGAGGAGAGGAGAGGAAAGAATATCGTTGATCATGGTCAGGAGTCGATAGTGAATCCAGAACCTGAGATCACGAGGTGAGGCGAGTGTGTTGCCAGCAAAGGCAGGGAAGCCAGGGATGGTTGAACGAACCGCAGGCCAGAGCTCCTTCCGGATTTACATCTTTACACTCCAACACTTCCAACTATTGTTCTCGCAGGAGAGCAGATAATTCGCAGCTAGATCACAAATCTGTTATCCCTGCTGTTATACATTGTTGTCCAATTTCACTCATGAACGGTTCCGAGAAAGCGAACAACTTATGGATGTCCTCAAGGACCTGCATTGAAAGAAACGAAGGAAGGAATGCAAGTTGCACGCTAGAAACGCTAGCTGACGCAGGGATGCTAAGTGGTTTTTGGCCAATCAGAGTTTTTGTTGACCTACTGTAATTGAGGAAGGCATCCAGAGCTTCATGTGCTGTCGATGTCTGCACGTCTTCTCTCTTGTATATTGTGAAGTTCCGTCAAGGCCATATCAGAGGCGAAGGCGTGAGGGTTTATGACAGTTGGTTTTTTTTTGGTAATATTCTTTTACAAGAGGAGTATGGAGGAAGTCAGTTAACACTGGAGAGGTCAATCATTTGTTTACTTCTTGCTGGCAGTCACGTCCAGCGCTTTGACACTCACGTTTTCCTCATCAGGTTCCTGCGATGGCTTGAACGCGGCTTCCCTTGAGGTTGTTAATCATGGATTTTGCTCAATGTCGATCGCTTTATGTCTCTTCTTTTTCTTTACTCATTTATGTCCAACAACGTCCCAACATCTTAATTTCCAGAAAAAACACCACGATGAACCAGCTCTCAGCATGCTATCACGAATCCACACCCCGCCCGCCTTATGCTGCGGGGATCCACTCCAATCAAATGCACGACGGCTTCGACCCCTGTCACCCCAGCAGCCCAGAAGCAAATGTCCACTGTTGCTTGTTGCTTGTTGCACCGGGACCTCCCATCGCGCGTTGCTTCTCCAATGCGCCTCACTTTTTCCCTTCGACATCCTCGAGATCGTCTTCGTCCATTGCGCGCTCCGTCTGCCTCGCGCCCGCCTGTTCTCTGTCCAACATCTTCATCGTAAGCTCGTCGTCAACGCGCGTCTCTGCCTAGTTCAGCGGTTTCAGAAAAATATAAATTGTTTGTTTTCCCCTACCTACCGAGTCTGATGTTGACCCTCCAACCTCTCGTCCCGTCTTCCTTCCCCGCGCTTCTGCCTAGGCGGCCACCACTCAACACAGCTTCGATGTCAACAATTGCATTGTCGCAACTGTTTTTCTTTGATTAACCTGTGGTCAGCGTTGCCCATGCTAACAGGAGACAGTAATATGAACTAGATCCCCAAACAAAACTCTGGTTGCGATCCGGCTTGGTCTGGCGTGGGACTGCATCAAGGAGGAAAGAAGGGAGCTCCGTTCCACCGCCATCTCGACGCGCCGACTCCGATTGTTTAAGCTACCGACTCCTGATTTGAACAATTTTTAATCGCTCGTCCTCTTTTGCCTTTACGCCTGAAACCGACCGATCCAAATACCGTCCAAGCTCGATCGCATCCAGGCTGGAAGCAACGCGCCTCCTTCCACTACCACACAATAGTCCCCAGGAGATGGTGACCCAGAATCCCAATGGACGCAAATCCTTTCGACGCCCCTGGGCCTCTCGCCGGCTTTTACGATGATGGACAAGCCATGTGGAACACGGCCTTCCCCGTGCTGCCAAGGGGACCTTGCAACTACACGGATCCCGCCCTGCCGCGCTGCGGTTGCCGCCGCTTCTGGAGCAAGCTGAATGCCACGCCCGATTCTGCTGAGCTCTGCCAGTGCTCCCATCATGCCTGCTTCCACGACGATTTTCCAGCCCCTTCACAGCTCCCGCCTACTCCTTCCCTCGCATTCGCTGGTCTTCCTCCCACTAATATCCAGAAGTCGAACTCGTTCATGGGCACTCAACATACAAGGGGGCTACCGAGCCCAATGGAGGAAATACACCAGTCTTTTGTGCCCAACAGGTCTTCCCATCTTGGAGTCTCTATGGATTTCGGCCTCATGAATTTCCATGCTTCCAGTTTCAACCAGCGTATAGTGGCTTCCCAGCCTCTACAAATTCAGGAACAACCATACCAGTCTATGGAGAAGCAGGCTGCCATTCTGGATGAAGCTCCTGTTACCGGCTGGAATAACGGGAACAAAACCCAGCAGACCGAAGGATACGAGGAGACACAGCCATTGAGCCCAGATAATTTCTTGATGCCTTCCCAGGCCCCATCAACTACAGCTTCTAGCCAGAGGAGATACATGGCGCCGTTTTTTGGGAAAGGACTGGATACACTAACACGTCCATCCGCGCTTAGAAAGGAAGCCTCCAATCCGGAGAAAGGAGCAGAGCATCTCGAGGGACCCGTGCAAGCGAACCCCCAGGATGTATGCGGCCCAATGGACTTGATGGCACCGCTCCAGTATAAGCCGGACATGACGCCCAGACCTGGATCAGCGCATAACCAGTCGTTCCTTGCTGTCAAGGATGATTTAAAACACATAACGAATGTTATTAATCTCCAGGAGCATAGGATAGACAGGCTTGAGAACACATCCTTCTCGGTTATAGGTCACGACGATTGCTATGACAAGCATGAGCACACGGATCTCCGAGTCACGGAGCTTGAGTCTCGTGTTGACGAGGTAGAGAAGATTCTGAATGACAATGCCAGTGTCGCCGGCGCAAGTGTGGTCTCGGCGGTATCTAATAGCACAGTCCGTTCATCCCAGAAGGTTACTCTAAGTCAGTTCCAGGCCCTACAGGCACAGATCAGTGAGCTTCAGGCGACATCTCTCCCAACGTATAACAAACCTTGGGATCTGGAAGTTGTTTTTCTACCGTTTCCTCTCAAGGGTATCTGGGTGGATGCCCGCAGAATCTTCGACCTGCGACAGTCGATGGGCCCCGACGAAGACTGGACACAACTGCCTAGCACTTTGAGCAGAGCCACGCCAGACCCTCATGACCCAGGATTCTCGGAATGGCCAGGACAATATCCCGATTCCGGCTGGATGTTACCGAAAGCTTTTGCGAATGGACGGATGATTGACCAAAGGCTCAGAAGCCGTGGCTTCATCAAGACGGTCCAAGTAAGGGGACCGGATGCCCGTGATGTTCAGTTGGCAATCCACAAAGCTTTTGGCAATGTCATTGAGCCTTCTTCCCACCTACTCTACCACAGCAAAGCTGCGCCCGAGTCGCCACTGAATGAATTCCCCGGATTGCGCCAGGATTGGGTGCCTTTGCGCAAAATCCACCGAGATAACCGCCTCCGGTTTCTCGCTCCGGCCGAAATGGCAACACCAGCTCTTTGGGGTTTTACCTTTTTGATGTCTAGTGTCGTCATGAAGGCCCCCAAAACCATTGGGACGCACCGTCTGTACATCACACAACCAGAAGCGTACATCCAAGATTATATCATGGGTTATCGTGCTCTTAGGCCATCTTGGACATGGCAAAGGGTACGTGAGCTCAGTCGGGTATACCCCGAAACGCATGACCCTGACGAGACAGCCAGTGATCCTGATGGTACCCCTGAGGCAGATGCCCTTGAAGAGTGCTGGACTAGGAGCGACATTCTTGATGAGGTGCCCATTACAGACGCTGCCAACCAGCGGAATGGCCAGGCGCAGTTATCATCTGAACGTTCCGACACGGCTTCGTTTCACACGGCTTCATCATTCAGTAAAGCGAGTGGAACGGGAGCAGAGTCGCCACAGACAGTTTTATGGAAAGAGCGAAAGGCTTCCTTGGCATCCCTTTCGCGGTCCCGTTCATTCTCACCGGCTGGCCCGTCTAGCAGCTCCCCGACTGGGAGGAGTCACAAACAGTCATCTCTCACCCGCTATACGAAGAAACCTTATGATCGTCAATCCTCTCCCCGTGTGTCCGGCCGCGGCTCTTTGGTTCCAGGGGGACATCATCAAAGTCCGCCGACCAACGCCTTTTCACCACCAACTGTGTCGATTAAGAAACGACGCGGAAAGGACCCAGACCCGACAGATCTTGACTATCCTCGCCAAACTGCGTCCAACTATGGTCGGAACCGTGACCGGTCCATGAGCCGTCGGTGCATGAGCCGCTCGCCCACGCCTGCCTTTTACGCCACGCCGCGCAGCGAACGCTTTCCGTCTGAGGTGGGATTCCATCGCGGTAGCAGCCGCGGGCCCTTGCTCCCCTCAGATGGCTATGCTCAGGACAGCGATCAAGAGATGACGGGGCTATCCAGCGGGAGTGATGAGGGCAACGATGAGGATGACGGTGATGATGAGGACGACGAGATGACGGACTGTCCGATCGACGACGCGGCTACCCCGAAACGCTTCAGTTCTTCTGAGAGTGTTAGCGATTTCTTCTTTGACCCTGATGTCGACGACCATGACCAAGAAGACGAGCTAGATGGGGCAAAGACGGACGGTGAGGGCCAGGGTCAAGGCCACGGCCAGGCAAGACCGTTGAAGTCTCAAGACATTCCGCGAGCGGGCATCGAGACCGATAACGACGATTTCGGACCCTTCAGTCAACACAGTCAGAGTCCATTGCATGATACGCAGGAAGACCTAGACATCAACGTTGATGAAGAAAGAGAAGAAATCGGCTGTGACGACGACAACGATGGTAACCAAACAGATCATTCTGAGGCACCAAGCGAGTATCCTAGCAAGAATATCTCCGCTGCTCTGTCGCCGGAAACCACGAGATTACCTAGCCCACTGATCTCCTCCGGGCGAGGGAGTCGAAGCGGCGGAATCCAGGGCGGTAGCCAACAGCAACATCAACAAGGGTATCAACAATCGTACCCATACCCCCGGGCGCTCACCAAGAACCAGAATTTGGTACTGGACATTCAAGATGTCATCCGGCTGGGACATCATGAGGAGCACCCTCACCAGCGTGAGAGCCAGGAACTACCGCCCCAGCTACAGCATCATAGTCCGGTGGCGACGGAGGCGGGGAGCCAGGAGCTGGGTGAAGCTCCGAGTCATGTGTCAAGATCGTCGCAAGCTACGACCGTCATTAATACTGTCACAACTTCCAACGCCGCGGGTACTGCCACCATGTCGAAGGGCAAGGAAAGGAACATGGACGTAAAAGCGACGGAGACAGATACACAGATATGGCGAGGCAAACCTACTGCAACTACAGCTACAGCTACAGCTACAGCTACGAAACCAGAAGCGTCCTGGGTAGGCTGGGCAGAGACGGCGACGGGGAAGTGGTCCGGGTTTGAGTTTGAGATTCATGAAGACGAGACGAGGACTGGGACTGGGACTCAAGGGTGATTAAGAGTCAAAGTGAAGGAATTCAAACCAACAACGAAGTGGGGCACCAAAGCGAGAAAGTAGGGAGTCGCAAGAATTCTCGCTCCTCTTTCTTTCTGCGTTTGTTTGTTTCAAGCATGGCAATAGGTATAGTTTGAGCTTTTAAGGAGCCAAGCGTTATGGACGATGGACAACGGACATGGATATGGGTGTATGTGGAGTTCGGTGCTGATATCTTGGGACGGAGTTCTTGCTGAGCACGTAGCGGGCGTTCGTTCTTCTAACTGAGCAAATATTGGAATGACATATTTGGAGTTCCATGTCGCTTGAAGGAGGTTCGGTCAGGTCAGGTCTGGCTTTAGGACTGGACTCACGTGTTCCAAGGTTCAAATGGAATGGGATGTAGGCGTCGGGTGTAGGCGTCGGAGCGAGAAAGAAAGACAGTTATCTGGTATCTGGTATCTGGTACTTCCTGGGTTTCATTTATACCACTGCGTTTCAAATCAGTTAGTCAGTCGCTTGAACCTTCAGGCACGTTCCCTGGCATTTTGTGCAAAAGCTCAAGAAGTTCATTATAGTAGATCGGCATTATGCCGACAGAAACAAAACAAAGAAACATTGAGAACCACTAGCATACCTTCCCAATCACAGTATTCAGTAGACCACGCTTTGAAGACCTTACGTGTTTACATGTCGTCGATGTCGTGCTGTTTACTGTATGCTGTTTTCCGCTCCTCGGAATATGTGACAGCAAAGTTGTAGGTACATAAGGTCAAGAAATAGACCACCATTCACCCAACTACGACAGCTGAGTAACAGTTGTACATCTTCCGTAGTATAGTGGTCAGTATGTGAGCTTGTCAAGCTTCAACATCAGTTGTTCGATTCGCTCGAGACCCGGGTTCAATTCCCGGCGGGAGAGACCATATCTTTTTTTGGGTTTTTCTTTTGATCACTCCGTGTACTCACCCCACCACAACCAATAACCACTCTGACTTCAATACCCTTAAGGCTTCTTTTTCTTCCTCCACTATCATCATCCCCAACTTTTAACAAATCGACATTTGCATACTCACCTCAGGCCGAGCGATAGAGCGATAAAGCGCAGCAAAATCTTCCACATGCGCCGTGCGCATCATCGGGAAGACATGCCATGTGGCTATCGCGACACAAGTAAAACAAAGAGAGGCCGGTCATTACTTGCACAAATTCAATTTCTTTGCTAACTAACAACCATGTTGGATGGTACCCTGACCAAAACATGAACAACAAGAAATGAAACGACACAATATGAACCAGGTCCGACCGCCTATAGCTGGCTCCTGGGGCTTGTCTTCTGACATGGCCCTGACATGATCGATGTCTTGCATACAAACGGTATTCCAGATCGGATGTTTGTTTGTTCCTCTTTTGCCATTCTCCTGGTATGTTTTAGAGCCGCAGAGCTGCAAAAACGGTTCGGGGACCGTCCATGATCTGCCCTTAACCTCAACCGCAAGAGGCGTTTGAATTGTGTTCAAATCCCCCCCCCCTCTCCTCTCTTCCTCAACGTCTCCCCATCCATGCCTCTTTCTTTTTTCTCCTTGCTTGCACTTGTAAGTGGTGACTGATTCGAAACAACAGCGCCTCCCCATCCATGCCTCTTCTTTTTTCTCCTTGCTTGCACTTGTAAGTGGTGACTGATTCGAAACAACAGCGCATGGCTGGGAGCTTGTGTAATGTCCAAAATACTCTTAATATGTGTATATCGGTTCTCTACCTATATATGACTCTTGCACGCGCGTCTGTTGAATGCTGCGTGCGTGCGGTCTCGACAAACTGTATTAATACAAGTTGGATATCATGTAAAATCAAATCTTCTCCTTTCTCTCTCCTCCTTTCTGCTCCGTCTTGTTCGTCTTGCTCTCTCACCCCCTTTAATCCCGCCTGCATTCCCATATCTTTTATTCCTGTATTCTCTCCTCTTTTGCTCCCTTCCACCCATCCCCACCTTAACTCTTCTCATTTCCCCCAGCAGGCAACGTGCTCGGCTCATTCTCATTCGTCCTTCCACTATATGCCGGCCTGGGCGCTCCATCGGGAATCACCGGCCCGCTCATCACTTCCGCCATGGCCTCGTCGTAGCTCGGCGGCGCATCATCATACGGCGGTTCCGTCTGCCCTGGCGCCAGTTGCGGTGGGTATAAGGGGTCTGCTGGTGGCACAACAACTCCAGCTGCCACTCCAGCTGCCGCCCCTGTCGTTCCCGTGACGGTGTTGGTTCGTGGAGGTAACGCTGGCGGTTGTTGCTGTTGTGGTGGTGCCGTTGAAGGTCCAGCTTCGGTGGATGAGGAAGTGGTGGGACGTGGTGGTTGAGTTGGTGGCTTTTGGGATTGCGACTGAGGGCGCTTGTTCTTGCCTTGCTTCATGGCTTCGATGAGGGCCGCGGGCGGGGCGATGCCGGAGTAGACTTCTAGGGAAGAGAAGTGCAAGGGCAGGTGGATTTCTTGGGGGAGATCGGCGCCTTCGTGCTTGTTGCTGCGGCCGAAGAGGGAAGAGGCTGCGGCGGCGGCGGTGGCGTGGGAGCCAGAGGCGAGGGGTTTGCCCCAGGAGAGGCCGAGTTTGACTTCGAGCTGATATTCACGGCTGTTATGACCAAGTTAGTATGTTTCTGGAAGGTTGACGGAGGAACAGGGGAAGCTCACCTCAGGTTACATGTGACAAAGCTCGGCATGATGGTGTTTGGTAAGGGCTGGTTGCACCAGATGTCGTTTGGCAGGACCACTTCTGTCCCTACAGGGTCTCCGAGTCTCGAAACGGGAATGCTAAGTCCCTGTCGTGATACAATCACCCATCGACTGGTCTCTGTGTTGATCAGATCTTGACATCTGACATCGGTCTGGCCAATCAGGTCGATCTGGATGGCCGTTAGGTAGATCTCTGCGTCTGATCCCGCAAGTTTCTTTGCAATAAGACGAAGTGGAATCGGCTGGTTGCAAGTGATGATGGCAGGATGTGGAAGTCGAGCGGACATCTCTATCGACGGAGGCACTTCGGGCTCGGTTGCAAGTCTCCCATCAGCCGTCGTTGGGGCTGAGGATGACCCTATGTTGCTACTCCCGCCCCACCCGCTGAAGAAAGAAGACCGTTTCTTTGCAGGCGCGTTTGTTCTTGGGCTTCGAGGACGGAATGTAAAGGGCCGTCTGGCATAGGCTTCGTGGTTCGACTTGGGCGGCCTTGGAGGCTCAATGGGGAGGAACTTCAAGCCGGTCTGCATTCTCCAGTTCTCCTTGAAAATACCCGGTCTCTGGATGGTAACTTTGACATAGTACCGGATCTCGCACTGGCCTGGGAATCCGGTGAAACTGGGCGGTAGCGTCTTTGTGACATGGGAGTACATCAGCTGCTTGGTGCCGTCCATAACACGAATGCCACCGAGACCGAACAAACCAGCACCGGACGCTATTCCACCGGCACCGGACAGGCCTCCGAGTTTGGCCATGGCGACGGGATCACCACAAGCATTGTTGAAGGGAAACTTGAACTGGAAGGGGAATCTGTGTTGGCCGGCGGCTAGAACATAGGGCTGTGGCAAGGCGTTGGTCTTCTCGTCGGGGAAGGCCTGTGTGACCTTGTATAGGATTTTGTGGTTCTCGTAGATAACATCCCCTGTTGGAGTGCGCTCCTTCTGAGCGATGCCCGTTCCTGAGCTATCGGCGGGAACTCCCAAGGCCGACTTGGCTTCTCCCTCGAGTTTGACGATGATGCCTCCGATCTGCTCTGGACGGCTGAGAGTGAGGACGACCTGGCCGCGGATGATGTCCAGGTTTGTGTAGAACTCGGGAGGGTTTTCGAGGGCTATGCGTATTGACATGGTTGCGGTTGATTATTGAAGATCAGGTGTTGTTATTGTAAAGAGAGAGATGAGGTTATCACAACATGAATCAACCAAACAAATGTTTTGATGTTGTCGTTGCCAAGGAAAGATCAGGTGGGTCACACGCCCGGTTATAAGCCAAGAAGATGATGGGAAAGAATCTCTTGATATTTGGGTTCCTCAGCCTTCGGGAGGATGGTTATATAAAATTTGAAATCCGAAAAATCAAAGCATTGTCTTCTCAGAAAATCATCATCAATTGTTTACGGGGAAGACCCTCATCGAATGATCGGAGCATTTGCCTGTTATAAGTGGTTGCTAACAATCCGGATCCGCCCCAGATGCTTAGGGCGGCCTCCGCTGTTACGTCAGACGGAGAATCACCTGTCGGAACCGGCCGAGGTGCCTGAATTCCACTGATGTTCCAGTGGGCTGGGCCGCCGCCGCCCGCATCGTTCCTGAATCGGGAAAGCGGTCAGTACTTTCTTATCTTATCAAGCCCCTGTTTTTGCGGGGCATCTTTTTCTGCCGCCTGATCCACTCAAAAAAAGATGTCGACCAGGGTACCGGCGCGCGCAAGCACAAGCTCTAGGTCTTCAGCCTGTGTGTGGTACTTTGACTTGTACAGCTGACTTCTGACTTTGTGAAGATCGAACCTCGACACCCGGACAGAGATCGACCGAAACCACGAACCCTTTCTCCCGTCGATCCCAACTTCTCTCGTCCGACCTCGATCCCGAGTCGTCTTCCTCCACACACCCGATAATCGATATACTACACCATGCCCAAGGCAGCAAAGGCGTCCAAGAAGTCTGGGGGCGGCACCCCCTACGACCGCAAGGGGGGCGGCGGCGGCGGCGGCAACGGCAAGGCTACCAATACCAACATCTTCAAGTTCGACAAGGACTATGGCCAGCATATCCTCAAGAACCCCGGTATCTCGGATGCCATTGTAGACAAGGCCTTCCTCAAGCCCACCGATGTTGTGGTCGAAATCGGTCCCGGTACCGGTAACATCACGGTCCGCGCCCTCGAAAAGGCCAAGAAGGTCATCGCCATCGATATCGATCCTCGTATGGGTGCCGAAGTCACCAAGCGTGTCCAGGGCACTCCCCTAGCCAAGAAGCTCGAGGTCATCCTCGGCGATGTCATCAAGATGCCCGAAATGCCTCCATGCGACGCCCTCATCTCCAACACTCCCTACCAGATTTCCAGTCCTCTCATCTTCAAGATGCTGGCCATGCCCAACCCGCCCCGCGTCGCCGTACTCATGTTCCAGAGAGAGTTCGCAAAGAGATTGGTGGCCAGGCCGGGTGATGCTCTCTACTCGAGATTGAGTGTCAACGTCAACTTCTGGGCTACATGCAAGCACATCATGAAGGTCGGCAAGCAGAACTTCAAGCCTCCTCCCAAGGTCGAATCCGACGTCGTCAGGATTGAGCCTCTTATTGGTTCGGCACGCCCCAACATCGCTTTCGAGGAGTTCGACGGTCTTCTTCGTATTGCTTTCAACCGCAAGAACAAGACCCTCTACGCCGGCTTCAACCAGAAGGAGGTCCTCAACATGTGCGAAAGGGTATGTTTCTTCTTTGGAACTGCCATGCTCTAACTCTTGCTGACCACTTTAACTCCAGAACTACAAGGTCTACTGCACCCTCAACAACATCCCCATCGACGAGTCCCTCGCCTCCGCCGCCGATATTGCCGCCGCCGGCGCCACCACCGATGATGCCATGGACGTCGAGATGGACGACGACGCCCAAGACAACGAGAATGAGGAGGAGAACAACGATGACGAGGCCATGGAGGAGGATGAGGATGAGGACATGCCCGTCTTTTTCAAGGAGCAGAACGACGCCAATACCAAGGACTCCAAGACACCCAGCAAGAACCCCAAGTCCAAGGTGGCCCTGATAGTCAAGGCCAAGTTGAACAAGGTGCTCGCAAGCACGGGGTTGGCCGATAAGAGAGCTAGGATGTGCGATCAGAACGATTTCCTCAAGTTGTTGCTCGGTAGGTTTCTCTCCTCGGTTTAGTTCTTGATGTTTGGACGAACCTCGCTAACACCCCCTGACCTGACAGCTTTCCACGAGGAGGGTATCCACTTCTCTTAGACGTGGTGTGTTATTATTACGAACGAACAAGCACAGAAATAATCGGCGTACCGGGCGTTTTGTGGGGATTGGGAAAATGTTGTTATTTGTTTTATTCCATTTGTCGTGGAAATACCATTGATATCGATTCTAGGATTTGGGAGATTATCTAAGCCAAATGGATTTAGGCTGCCACTTTTGCAGGGGGGTAGAACCATACCTATATCTCGTCTGGATCACTAGCGCGCGTGTCCGATGCTGTTCTCCTTCTTCATCGTTTTTGTCCAAATGATCCCGAGAAAACAGTTGCTGACTGACGACACCAGACCTACCGCACGAAAGAAACATGTCTTCCAAACTGACAACATGGATACGAGAGCGGCCAGTGACCCAGGAGATCGAGTCATCCGGGGAACGGAGAGTACAGCACCGTCGGCGGCGGAAACGGAGAGTAAAAAGGAGCAGTAACCTGTCTTGCAAATATGCCGGGTAGACTGTAGGAGAGACTAGTCGGACCATATCAAAGCGTGGAATAATATGCAAGAAATAGCCCCGAACTTCTTCAAACCTGGGCATATAAGAAGAGTCCGGAGCCAGGAAATGGGTGTCGCAATCGTGGGTGCCCAAGGGGTCGGAAAGAGATGTTTATCATTCACGGTATGTGCTTCCTATCCATATCTAGCCCCCTTTGGGGATTTTCCCCTACAACTCTCGCGTTTACACACTTCAGTTACTGACACACATGATTACCCATGGAACACAGTTCGACGCTCACGGCTGGACCCACGACCCAACCCTCGTAGACGAGCCACCCCGTTACTTCCTCGCCACCTCGGACGCCGACGCACACTTCTTGTCGATGCGTCTTTCCGTGCAAGATCTCCCCCCACAACATCCATGGCCCGCCGCCGCCGCCGACGACGACGACGAAGACTTCGAATGCCCCACCGCCGGTGGTACTGGCCCCGCCGACCGCTGGTAGTGCCAATACCCCATGTGGAACGTCCTAGGAAGCCAACAGGTCATGATCCTCGCTTACGACGTCACGTGTCGCCAGATTTTTGAGGATCTAAAGGACCAATATGACGAGATTATGGGGCGGGTTTCTCGTGCGCGTCGTGATACGTTTAAGGACGTCGAAGACATCGAAGGTGAGGAGAGTGAAATCATGTTGCATGTGGTTATTGCTGGGTTTGTTAAACTTAAGTATGGGGAAGAAAAAGAGGAGGGGTGGGAGCCGAGGAGGGAGGTTGGGAGGGAGGAGGTCGTGGCTTTTGCGAGGGAGAAAGGAGGAGGAGGTGAGGGGGGAGAGGGAGCGGAGGGAGAGGGAAAGGGAAGCCAGGCGAAAAGAGGAGGAGAAGGAGAGGGGGAAACTTAGAGAAAGAGAGAGACAAAAGGAGGAGGAGGAGGAACAGAAGAAGGAGGCAAACAAATGGTGGAGAAGATGGACGAAGACTAGAAAGGAAGTGGAGGATAATGACTTTGGTAAAGTAGGAAAGGAGGAGGTGGAAGATGAAACGGATACCGACACAGACATCAAAAAGGACAACAAAAACAACAAAAACATGGCGTCCGAAAACAAACCCGCCCAGAACCCACCATCCACACCACCAACCCTCTTACTACCCACCTCAATAACCACCACCGAAGTCATCGTCACCAACCGCGCCAGCGTCGACACCTTCTTCGCAGACCTCATCATCAAGGAAATCTACGCCACATGGAAGGAAACCGCCGCCAAGCGCAAGGCCAAATATTGGGAAAGGGAGCGGATCGAAAAAGAGCAAAGAATAAAAGAGGGGAGAAGCTTGGAGGGGAGAATCGAGAGTTTTAAGGAGGGGAAGGGGTTCTTTGGGCGTAGATATAGTTTTACGGTGGGGAAAGATAGGATGGAGTGGGTTAAGAAGAAGAAAATGAGGGCTAGGGGGGATGTGAGAGAGGGAAGCGTGACTGTGACCTGGACTGAGAGATGCAAGCGTATGAGAGAGGGGAATGGGTTCTTTGGGTATAAATTCTCGGTGAGGGTGAGGAGGGATAGGAAGGAGGGGGTTAGGGGTGGAGAGGGGAGGAGCGTGAGGTTTTTTGTTTTTTGTTATTGTTGAGTGTTGAATGTTGATTCGATTCGTTGGGTTAGGGGTGCAATGTGTCTGGGCTGTATGTCATTTGCATCTCAATTTGGGTATGTCCAACCCTCTTGAGTCAAATTGGTGCGCTTTCTTTACTACATAGATCCTTTATGAATGATCTACAGCGTCACAGAAACGAGGAAAGGGAAGCAAAAAAGGAAGGAGGGAGGAAGAAGAAGAAGAACAAGAGGAAGAAGAAAAAAGAAGAAGAAGAAGGAGCGGTAAAGCACCTGGGAGATATGTCGGAAGGAAGGAAGGAACGATCCTGCACCACAAAATAAGTTCGCCGTTCTTATCCTTGGAGTACCCTACGTCTCTTTTCCATGCTTTCATCCCCATCATCTGCGTCCGAAAACCACAGCCACTACCCCCGACTCCGGGAAAAGCCCAGTTCGAGAAAGATCTCAGCACCGATAAGGCGCCCCATCGCCGTCATCGCCGCCGGCACCTCGGTAACCGGCATCGTGGTTCTACTCTTGATCCGCCGTTTCTTTTGCATTGAAAATCAATTTGTCGTTGGGAGAACCACAACCCATTATAGGCCTGTCTGTTTCCCCAACTCACATTCCGATACTCGATCCTAACATAGTGGCATTCACTCATTCTCTTCAACTTCATGGGCTTGATATTCCACCTCAAGTTCAGCGCATTCTTCCGTTAAATTACCTAATACCTACCGATTCCTCATCGCTTTCGCCTATCCTTCGCTTCATCCATTCCATCAACTTTGCCTTCGTCTCGTCATTAGAGATATTATCTTCACGACTTCCCGTTCCCCTCGTTTCTCGGTTCTCGGGGGTGGCGACATATTTGGCGATAGTGCCCTCTTGTTCGTCGAGTTCAACTTCGTTGATGTCGTCGGTACCCGGATGCGGTGATTAGTTCCAATCCCGAATTTGAATATCGTGTGTGTTGCGTGCTGTGTTATCATAGATAACGGCCTTTGGTAGTTCATATCTTCTTCCCCAGGTGTTGTTTTAGCACATTCAACTTCAGGCTTTCGGCAATTTTCATGCGCACATGTCCCCTTCTTCCCGTAACGGTTGGCCGAGATGTATAAAGTACATACAAACCTGGAATATCTTGCTCGGATTTCGATCTGGCGGGACCAAGAAAGGCTCCTCCAAGTGGTCCGTCCGTGGTGTAGATGGCGCCTGGCGTGGAAGATTCTGTCGAGCTTTGGTCCATCTGTCAACCATATCACGGATGGGCATGGTGGGACGGTCACTCTTCATCCAGTCGAGCAGGTTGTGGGAGAAGAGCAGGACTTTGGGCGCGGTCTCCCATGTTCGGCCATCTGATACAGCTCAGCTCGCAGAGCCAGTAGGCGCGCTCCTCCTTCATGTAGACTTCGGAATTGAAGAATTCGAGCTTGAGATTGCGACCGCTAACACTTACGCGGCGCCTCCATCCCCTCTTTGAGTGTACCGAGCGTGATGGTGCGGTTATATGCGGCTTTGTCGTCCTCGATGACTCTCACGCTCGCTGAGCGACGAATCGTGCTGAGAATCGTGCTGGGAACCGGCCTGAGAGCCGTGCTGGGTAAAATCCGGGGATGGATGGAGTTCGGGAGTCACCGCTACGGCCGACGGGGGTGCCTTTGGGAGTTTTGGCAGCGCGCTGGGAAGCTACATTCGCGGCCTTCTTCCCCAACTTGCGTTGCTGCGGGTAACCCTTGCGTTTCGACAACCCGCCTTCATCACTCCATGACACGGTACTTCCCGGGCTGACCTACACGGTAGCCACTGTCAGCACTTGCTCGCTGGAACGAGCAGTCAGAAACAGCAACCGTCGACACGTCGACGCGCCTATAAAAGGGCGTCGAGTCGATCTTACGATTGACGTCAACTCTTCTAGTTCATCATCATCAGACAATACCATCAAGCATTTTGCTCTACGCTGACGTGCCTCACTTCGGAATTCCACGCATCACTCCACCAGTGTCATGGTAGGAACTGCCGACCTCAAACATATCACATGCGTGTACTCAGGTATCGCCGATGATCATCAAGGAGAGCATTAAGGGTACCGGTGCGTTTGTAATTTTGAAGCGCGGATGACATTGCCAAGAATACAAAACTTGTCGCTTCCCAGTATGAATTTCCAGCGTTAACAAATCCGAATCCTAAAAGGGCTGGCACGTACATCCAATAGTTAGCGGTAGACGCCAGTTGAAAGGCCCCAGACTTAACCTTATTTCGAAAGGACGGGATTATATCTCCCCATAGCTTTCATCCCAACCCCCGTGGACGCGTTATGCCCGTAGCAAGACGTTGAGCAGTCTCCTCGCACTACCGACACCGGCCACGGCAGCCTCAACGGCCACGCGATGGTCCGGTATTGTCCACCATAAAACACGATGTTGTTCCAGTTGATCAAATGTGGGAAAGAAAGAGAGAAAACTAAAATGGCGAGATACCCTGCGCGCGCCAAGCAAGGCAACAACAGCAATGTTGGCAACAACAACAATGGCATGCCCGCGCCGAAGAACGAGGCCGTACCGGAGCCGGCCAAAACCAGACCCAGCACCACTTCCATCGGCATCACCAAGGAGATCTCCAAGAAGGCGGACATCATAGCCGCCGTCCGCGCCGCTGCCACACCGCTCCCTTCGTGGTGTGTCCACTGTTTGACCAACGGTTACAATTGCGTGGCCCCCGCCGCCGGCAGTGCGGCTACCTCTTGTCTGGCGTGCCAATACGCCCAAAAATCGTGCAAGGCCACACCTGCCTGGTTCTTCAGTTGTCGACCTCGTGCCCGACCCGTAGAACTTCCTGCCGCCCGAATAATGGAGACCGCCGAGCGTTAGAGTACTGAGGGCTGTCGTTTTCCCCGTACCACTAGGTGTGCAATCCCGCTCAGTCTACGATGTTGGAAAACTAGGTTGTCAGCTTCGGCTGCTATGTTCTTGTCGATATTGAAGTGGATAACTTGGTGAATACAAGGCGGCAGTTCGAGCAGCGAACTCGGCCTGGCTATAGTGAAACTTTGGAGGAATCGCTGAAGCAAGGCCATATGGCCCGAGTCCGGGTCCTGTCCTATGACATCCCCGTTTTCTTTATTGAAGGCAAATGTTCGTAAGAAATCTTCGTCCGTCTTAAACGGGTGACCATGGAGTAAGTTAATATACCCCGGGACGTTGTGCTATTTGTTATGGGCCATGGTCCCAGACAGCTGTATGGCAGTCTCTTGACAGCTTGGTGCCGTACACCATCGCATTTGTTGATGCGTTGTGCCTCATCCTAAATGGGGCAGAAGGGGAGATCGTGCTTTCTCTGTGCCCAGCGTTAGGGCATACATCGCCTCGGAGAGGGGCTCGCTAGATGCGGTATAGGTGGTGTGGAAACCCATACTGCGCATCAGGTCTCCGGAGAGCCACTTTAAACTCGAGCTCATCGGCCAAGACCCGACCAGCCGTTCGCCACGCCCAGTCCAATCCACCAACAACTATGTGAACCCCATCGCAATGGACCAGACCGGATGGCAATATTATCTGGCATATTGCGTCTGGATCACCATTGAGACTATTACCGTCTACTTCATGTTCCCAGAGACACAGGACCGTCCACCAAGCCCAATGGAACAGCCAGTTTGATCAGACACAAAGCCAGTCTGTCCAGGTACAATGGCTCTTGTGCCGCACCCATCCTGCCGGATCCGTAGTGTCGGAAGCCGGCACTCGCGCGGAGGGCTGAAGATTCGCGGTAGGGGCGGTTGTTGCTGCGATTGTCTGGTGTGTGTGGCAGCTCCCGGCGATGGCCGAAGATCGGGCGAGTACACGTGGTATAACACCGAATACGCTCCTGAGTTTGCAGGCGGCAGAGCCAAGCGGCACCGGTGAAGGTGGCCATGGTCACGTTGTCCGGGATCGGGTTGAGTTGCTCTTCTTCAGCCAGATGGGCGGTGGTTACCGCTTATCCTTTGGTAGGATCGATTTGGCCGTTGATGATACGGAAGTCCAGGGCTCGAGGTGGATCGAACTTCTGCCATAGACTTTCTTCGAGGCTCGGTGTGTCTTGAGATTTGTGAGAGAGCTGATTTTGAAAGGCAATGAAGACGAATCGGAACGCTGTCCCAAGGCACAGTTTGCGTCCTATTTGACCATGTTGCCACCTTTCTTGAGACCTGCAACGCAAGTTCTTGTTACGTTTAGACTATGTCGTCTGTCGGTGAAGGAAAGCCCGAAGAGAAGAAGGACTGTTCAGAGGTTGAGGGATTCGTCGCGGCCGATGCCAAGCGTGGGGTATGTCTCGAGTTCGCGCTGACATGGAGGCCGTGATCTGGTGGTGTTTTGCGCAGGTGAACTTGCTTGTTCTTCGAAAAAAAAAAAACGAACTGGTAAGGGAAAGAAAAAAAAGAAATGAAGGAAAGGGGGAAACAAGGCCAAAGTCCATGAAACCTCCGCGGAAATCGGTGTTGGCTAACGACGTCGACATACTCGATGCACTTGATTAAAATCTTTTTTTTTTTATGTAGTAACACGGGAAAACCATAACCATTATTGTTGGATATCAAACCGCCGCGATCTGCCACGATTTTGCGAGAGTCAAATGGCGACGAGGCGGCGAACTTTGCGAGTGTCCATGGTTGACAAGTTCATGTTTTGTCCAAAACAGAAAGGTTTGTTGTGTTTGGTGGTAGTCAGAAAATGTTAATGCAGTTGCCCCGCTCTCCGCCAATTCAGAGCGACTATTGGTCACAAAAGTGTAAAGAACCAATCGGAAAACGTCTGCACTAACAGAACGATACCACTAACAACTTCCGCTGTAGCCGCTGTACAGCATAAATACGGTAATCTGGTTACACCGTCGGGTAAAATTCGTAAGATTCGGATAGCCCGTCCTAGAATCCCAGAGATGGAGCCAGCAAGGTCTTGGGAGACAACGGCTGCCGTTGGAAACCGTCCGGAGATGTGGAGAATGCCGACGGAGACCGGCCGCCGATCCTCGGAGCGGACTATGCACACGGATTGCCACCGGGAGGAAGCGACCATGAGGAGGAGAGGACAAGAACAAGAAGTTGCCTAGAGCTACCAAAAAGCCAGTAGCACGGTCGAATATCCATCAGAGACTGTAGGTATAATTTTGTTCTGTGTTCCGGCCTCGGCGTTGTTGATTGAATGACGCCGTGATGAATGGTGATCGAGGTGCCGGATGACGATTCACCCACCTATGTGTCCAAAATGCTTAGGGCAAACATCGTGACACGTTCATTATCATCAGTTTGTGGCGATGTCTCGGCGTGGTGATGCTCCGTTACAGTGGTGTTCTTTCCGGTATTCTTCGTTTTGAGGTGATGTCTCGCCGTGATATCGTCCGCGATGCTCCCCACCTAGCCAACCCCATTCTTTTCTTCGCACCCCCAGCTTTTTTATGAGCCAAAGATTGCAAAGAAAAAAGGAGAAAAAAAGCCCGAAAGCCTCAAAAACCAAAGAAAAAAGGTATTACCCGTTTTTTTTGCTGTGTTTTTTGTTTCAAGCCAGAGTCATTAGGTCGAATTCAGCATCAAAGTGTCTGTCGACAACTTCTCAGCTTTCTCCGCCCTCCTCCGCTCCCTGCGCTTCTTCTCCCGTCTCTTCTGCCCTTCGGACTTTTTAGAGATGGTGAGCTTTGACCTCTTCGTAATCTTTGATTTCTCGCCCACGACAGATTGCACTTTCTTCTTCGTCCCGGCCCTTTTCTTGCAACTCGGACACCAACAGGTGCCCAGCTTCAACTTGGCCAAGTCACAAGTGGACAGAGGTCTCCGCTGAATCTTCTCCGAACGGTTATCAGGTGTCGTCGTCGCCGTCCTCGCGGGTCTCAGTACAAGAGTCAAAGTGCGGGGAGGATTTGCAGGAAAAGTCGGCGCCGGCAACTGATGGAGAACGGAATTTTGGTTAAAGAAAGTTGCCAGCGAGTCATTATTTTCCTGCGCCTCAAAATTCCGGCCATCACCCCGGAATTCACCGCTCTGAGACTCGAACTTGGGATTGCTCAGGCACGCCCGAAGATTGTCCAGATCAAAGACATTAGAGACGTGTCTCGCAGGCTTGCAGTTAGGCTTCGTAGGTGCCATTTTGTTGAAAGTTTTGCAGAGTTTTGAGAGTTGAAGTAGTGTTGAAAGTTGTGTGATCGTAGATGATGATTGTGTGAAGATAGTGCTGTCGAAGCTGAAGAAAAAAAAAAAAAAAAAGAAGAGGGGAGAGAAGGGAAGAGGGGGCGGAAAGTCTTTTATACCAAGCACTTCCGGAAAAGCCAGCCTGGTCATTGGGAAAGTTGGACTGTGCCCGCCTGCAGCAAGTTTATGTGAGTTCGGCTTGACCCCAAATATTCACTGCATGATGAGCGATTTCTGAAGCTCACGATAGAGATCGGTGGGTGGCGGACGCGAGTGCTTGTATATTCGGACGCGTTTGGCGGACTTCCGTCTTTGTCCCATATCGACCGATATCTTCTACTTTCCTCATCATTCCCCAATGCTCGTACAGATGCTTTTGCCAGTATCATGATTATGGCCGAACGGTTTATGAGTTTTGACCGACATGTAGGTACCAACGATGCATAGCAAAAGATCCCCCCCTCCCTAGAAGAAGAATACCTAATCAGCGCATTCCTACCACTGGATTTTCAAGCAAAAACCCCAATTTATGCCCACAATCACCTCGTTCATTTACATGTGCATGGACATTAACCGCCTCAGCCACTTTTCGCCACATACACATCAAAGATCCATCCAGCTCAAGGGTATGTAAGTTCTTTGGGAGCTGTTCTCCCGTCACACACAACTAACGCTCGGGCTGAAACATATGTACGTTGCTCTTGGTTCCTCGCAATTGAACCTGAGCTCAGATCACCTTTAAGAAGGGACTGGACGCCAAGAGGTGTACGTGATTTTGTTGATGATAATGCACTCCAGTCGGGTCGGAAATGCGGCCCAGCGGAGGCTTAACAAGTAAACACGGGTGCAGGTTTAGAAATGCAATTTCTTTTCGTCGTTCCAATGATATCTAAGCATGGAACTGCGTGGGAGTTTGAGTTTGTTACTGATGTGGTACTCGAGTTAAGGAAGGTATTCTCTTGGAGCTCGTTGTGTCGGGTCTGTCGGAGGTCAAAAGATTTTATGGGCTTCGTGAGGAGTCGCACATGCATGTGCTCTTGAAAGTTTTGGGATGATTACGACTAGTGTACCTAGGTACATACTTCACGCAAAGAGAGAGAGCTATTGACTTTGTTTTACAGTAACCTAAATCTGCCAAAGTGGACACTTTCCTTCAGTTAACTCTTACCATGTGTGCGTATCGAAAATGTCGCTGGGAAACAACGACTTGGAACACTTCCAAATTGTTGACGCATGGAAACAGGAAAGAACAAAACAGCACACAGGTTTCCTTCCTTCCTTGTAGCGTTCAGACCTAGTAGTTAGATAGCTTGGCACGTCATCTTCCCCTTCCACAACTGAACTTGAAAGCTGGCAAACGAAGAATTTCCCCGTTATCATGTTCACATCAGCATCATGCTCACTAGCGAACCCCATTATCTGCTGAAATTTTTGAACATTACCCGTTATAATGAGAAACAATATACATGAGACAAACAAAAGATAACATAATAAAACGATGAAGAGAAGAGGTCTTTTTCCTTCTTCCTTTTTCCTTTTCCTTTTTCTTTTCCTTTTTTCCTTTTTTTTCCCCCTTCCGAACATTGTTAACCACGCCCGACATCACGCCCTCCAAACCAAAAACCCCGTAATCCCGTGGTGAACGTCCTTCCCATACCAGACCACCAGAATCCCTTCTCGACACCCTAAATCCAGCTACCCACGTTGCGGGCCGTCCCTGTCCACGATGAACCTTAACAGTCAACTGTACTGTACGTTCTCGAAGGTGATTTGCACCATCGAAGACAAAGGATGAGTGGGGCATTGTTTACTTTACCCCTTTCCAGTTTTCACATTGCAATGTAGATGCCTTGAACTAGTTGGCTGAGAGGGAAAAGTGAACTTGTGGGTATACTAACTAAGAAGCCAAGTACTAACAAATTCCTAGATTCAATGACTTGGTCTCCTACATGACAATATGACCAATCCAACCCAACGCCAGCTGAGTGCCAATTCTATGAGCACCCGAAGACACCATCCGGTATCTGGCTAGGGGCAAACAGAAACCGATCAACCAACCAAACACCCAGCCCCTTTGAACCCAAACCACAACTCCAGATGCTTTGAAAATGTAACAAGCTAAATTCTGATGCGAGTGGACTTCTTTAGCTGAGATCTCTCCTCCGTTGAGACACAGGCCCCGAAACCACATACATGCCCATGGCATCTAGTCGTCCTCGATCTCAATCACCTCCACATTCGGCGGAGGCCCTGATCTCCTCGACAATGACCCAGCTACACTGGGCGCTGGAGCAGGAGTCGCCGATGCGGTCTTGATCTTCTTTGGCCTGAGCTCCAGGCCCTCTCCATCGCTATCATCGTAGTCCTCGTCGTCGTCCTGCACAACAACGGTCCACTTGCCGTCCGCCTCCACGTGTAAAGCCTTACTATACTGAAGCTTTCTGCCCGTGCGTTCCAGCTCCTTACGGACATTGAGCAAGAAACCATCGATTTGCAGATCGAATGGGCCTGCTATTTTATCACAGCCCGAAAGCGGACAGGCCCACTTATCCGGGCTTGTTGGCTGGGGTGGACAATCACATGCCCTGCCCTCATGGCCGCAAGGAACCTTGGACACTTGCCTCGTGTCCAGAAACGTTTTCAGGTCAAAACACTCCAAGTGGGTGCACGCACCACCTCGGACAGGTGTGTTGAACATCACGGATGAAAAAGGATCAGTGAGATCAATGGACAGGTACGGCACCGCAACTGAGACCTCATCATCGGCGCCGCTTCCGCTAAGTCGATCCTTAATGATTTGCAGAGTTTTCGACTCGGGAATCAACCGATTCTTCCAAACGTCACTAACGATGGTGGAATGCTTCAAGGTCTCAATTAACTCCACCGCGATGAAGAAATTAGGGCTTGGGGCGTTCTGGATGACAGCCTCAATCTTGTTTTTCCCCAACTGGATCATTTCTGTAAGCTCAATGGACAAATCCTTCCCAAAATGGGATTTCCTCCGAATTTCGAGAGGAACACCGTTGAAGGACATGAAAATGTCTGGCCAGTTCGACTGGGTAGCATGCCAGACTTCATCCGCCACAACACCCTGCTGGTGGTTCCTGATTCGACAACAGCGAATTCTCCAGCGCAGTGACTTATGTGGTTGTCTGGCAATTGCTGCGCCGTGCCTGTCGGTCATCACTCTCAACCGATATTGCTCATCAGTTACTTGGAAGGGGACCGTGTAGATACGCACATTTTCCGCCAGCTGGGTGGGCTTTGTGACTAGTTCCTTGAGTGCTTGATACATCCGCTCTAGCTCTCCATCAACTACTGCTCGTCTGGGGCTTCGGACATGAGCTTGATGCAGTGCCATCAACATGGATCTCCTATCAGAAGCCTCGTAGGCATACTCTGATGGTTGGATTGTATTTCCTTGCGGAGGAACTAGCGGTCGGTCTGGGGTGCGCGGGGGAGCTGGTTCGTTTGTGACCATGTTTTGCGGTTGTTGCTGTATTTGCGGGTTCTGCTGGACTTGGACTTGGGGAAGACGAGTAGGGGCGATTTGTGCGTGGAGGGGCATCGCGGTCTGCGGCTGAAGCTGTTGTTGCGCTTGTGCCCTCGCCGCGTACAGTTGCGCAGCCGTAGGGGTGGTATTGGCGGCCGCGGCCATCGCAGCCGCATTCCATTGCTGCCTTTGACTCACTACCTGCTGTTGCTGTTGCTGTTGCTGCAGTAATTGCTGTCGTCGGAGAGCCTCTTCCTGTTGCATTTGCTGCCACATTTGTGGAATGAATGGCTGATTTTGTAGACCATGCTGTTGAGGCGCATGTGTTGGGTATTGTGCACCTTGTTGTGAATATAGCGGACGTTGCTGGCGCTGCTGCTGCTGCTGCTGCTGCTGCTGCTGTTGCTGTTGCTGCTGTACTAGCCGTTGATGCTGTAGCTGTTGTTGCCGCAGCTGTTGTTGAAGTTGCTGTCCTTGTTGTTGCTGCCATTGGGCCGCCGAACTGGACAAGTCCTGCGGGCTTCGAGACGCAACCATAAACGGGTAGAGATTGGAAGGGGACTGCTGCACAGATGGTAGATTCTGAGTGGGAAAAGCGTTGGCTCCCTCCATACTAGGTGCAAAAACTGGAGAGTAGGGATTTGTGGCATTGTTAAACGTGAATGCGGCCTGATTTGGAGGTGCACTGTTTGGCATCGGCTGACCAGTGACTATCGGGCTTGTAGTCTGAACGGACAGTCTCCTGTTATTGCCGTTGTTGCTGACGGAATTGTTGCCGTTGGCGGTTGCACCAGCATTGATCCCGACTTGGTTGAGAAGTGAGCGATAATACGAAATCAGATCAGCGTTTTTGGCTTCCAGCCCTTGTTGGTTTCGCCAAGTTCTGTAGAGTTGGGGATTGAGGTTGCCTAACTGGTATAGATAAGCATAGTTCTTTTGATCCTGCAGGAAAGCACTCTCGAGGGCTTGAGCATAGCCATGGCGGTCAGGGACGTCTATCCTCCTACGACACCCGGTAAACAAGATTGACTGCAAGACCGGCGAGTAGCATTCCCAGTGACTCAAGAGCTCATCGACCAGATAAGGGTACCGACGCTGCCTGATTGTTGACAAGAATGTTTCATAACTGTGCCCGATCAGATGCAGGAATCTTCCTACTTGTCGTACAGCAGTAATATATGCCGTGGATGCCTCAAGCTTGTTGATGGGCGCTGGGAAATTTTCGAAGAATTGTCGATGCATGGGCTGGATGGTGAGATTCTTTTTAAGAAGCCCCTCCATGACCCCAAGACCCTCATCAATACTTTGAGGAGGACACTCCGGTAATACATCGTATGCATTTTGCGCATACGATGACCACATGCAGTAGATTTGGTGAAGAGCCAGGAAGAAGCCGTCCTCCTTAAGGCACGCCTTCTCTAGGAGCGAAAATCTAGCAGCTTCGGTGCCCTCTTTGATCGTACCCACCACATCTGGTGACTCCCTGTATTTTTGGAGGACATGTCGAAACTGAGTATACGCGATGGCTGGAAGAGGCTGTGAAAGATCTACCCTCCTCCTCTTGGCCGCTTGTTCATCGGGGTGCGGCGCCACGGGCAATTGTGGCGAGATCGTGTGCCCACCCTGGCCTTGGCCATCGCGTCGAGGGGCTCCTTGGGCTGACAGTGACCGGTTCTGAGGCGCAGGAGAATGTGGGATCGATGCTGCGGCATTCGCAGACTGTAGCGGGAGCTGGGGATGCGCTAAGAACGGACTCGCAGAAGGTTGGACCGCAGGAGTTGTTGGGGCCGAGCCATTATTTCCTGTCCTTGTAGACGTAGGCCCTGTATTATCATCGTCGATGCTGTGCACAAATCGGGCGCCTACAACGGGATGGGGCGAGGGCGCGGGCGCATCGTGGTTCATGTGAGGACTTTCTCTCGAGTTCGAAACGGCAGGACTCGGCTCGTCGCTCGGGGCCGGAGACAGCAGGACGGCGGCTGTCTGGGCAGTTCGTCCGGAGCTGTAGACACTGGGATCAAAGTGTTAGCTGGGGAAGGACATGAGAGCCAAGGAGCATGTGCTCAACCTTACCGTTGGTGTGCCTGTTGTGGCTGTGCAGATGATGCACTTTCCACCTGTCCGTGTGTTGGCCGTCGTTGTTGTTCGTGTTGTTGTCCTTCTTGGGCCGCTTCTTCTTCTTCGTTCTCGTGTTCCTGGTGGGGTGTCCCGTCGGGGGCGTATTGTACGTGGGGCAATCTGCCTGTGTATTTGCGCGGCCGGCCGCGGGGACGTCCCGTTCCTCTGAACTGAGCGGACGCGCCTCCTGCACGAGGGGCGATCACCTCCCCGGATGCCGACTCTGCCGCCGGTACCACCGATGCTGGCGCTTGTGCTGTCGGAGCCCGCGGAGTAAAATCGACGGCAGTGCTGGTCCAGGCTGGCTGTCTATGGTTGAGGAATGTGCTGACAGTACTTGAGGATGCGGCGACGCGAGGATCGTAGTTAACAGAATTGACGGGAACCCCGTTAGGGGCTCGCACAGGTAATCCTGGCATGGTTTATGGCGGTTCGGAGATCGCACCGGCAACTGCACGAAACCGGGACGGTTGCTATAGCAGCGGGAACAAGATAACAGACGGCAGATCAATGCAAGATCGCCGTGCTTCCGTCCTCCTTGCTTTGCAGCATACATTCAGCTTGTGTCGGGGCTGTCGAGTCAAACTCGCATCGCGAAACCGAACGCGGTGCCACGTGGACAGGTGCTTGTGCTTGGTGGGATTCTGGATTAGTTGCCCCAGAGTCAGAACCCGAAATCAGAGTCGTGATTTGTCTGTTTTTTTCTTTGGTGTTGTCGCGCGCCACATGCAACGCCAACATACCATGAGGTGCAGTGGCGGGCACCAGCAGAGATGGCAATCCAGGTAGCTGGAAATGAGGGTGGTTATGTGAAAGGGAAAAGATGGAAGAAACTGGAGGTTGATAATAATAATGGTTGTAGAGGCTCTCTTCGTCTTTTATATCTCGCTCGAGGATTGGGATATGATGGAGAGTAGTTGTTTGACTCTTGAGGGAAGGGCGCAATCTTCAGTTGTAGTGGCAAGAAGTGGAAGCTTCTTATCATCATCGACACTTGTTTGGTAATCACGCGATGAGCAAGAAGGCCCGCAATGCCCTTTCTCCGATTGTGTTGTTGCAGACTTGGAACAGGATGAAGGAGGAACGACCAAGAGATGGAAGGAAAGAGCAATCGAATGAATGTATGCGCAATACGTAAGGTAAGATGGATTGCACAAATCGAGAGAGCAAGTCCACTGCAATCCGAGATATCAGAAAAGCAGACGAGTCGCTCTTTCCTCTTTGCTTTTCCTGCCAAGTATAACAAGTCGGATGGAGGGCAGGTTGCAGCCACTCAAGATGATAGTCAACAGAGTCGAGTTGGCAAGACCGATCAAGCATCACTTTGACGGGTCACTGCCAACGACAGCAGGGAGAAACATTGGACAACCAACAAACCGACAGTTGGGAAGTTGGGAGGTTGGGACGGGCGGGTTGAAAGGGCAGCGACCAGGTCCAAAGAGTTGTTGGGCGTTTAGTATAAGGACACAAGAGTTATTGAAGGAAGCTGTGACGAATTCAGGTGAACGCCGGAAAAAGGGTCGAGAGAAACAAGAATTGAAGGTTTTGCTTTTTGTTGGTAATAAGGAGCAAGTTTACGTTTTGTATTTCCCGGCTGTGGTGTCCTGGAATTTGGGTAGCAATGGGCCCACAGTAGACAGACCTAAATGGTCCTACGCACGCAGTGATAGGCTGAAGGGGCTGGTAGTACTTGGTGTATGTACATACCTGTCGGGTATGTAGCAAGGGTACAATTCTTGACGATATCCCAAGAGGTCACTTACTCGATACCTTACTTACAGCCCGACTGAGGCTTGGTTATGTTCGTCACTTATGCCTACCTTAGGTGGGCATCAACGTTGATTTTAGGTTGAGGTGGGGAAAGAGCGTGAGATAGTGAGAACCGCTTCGGCATCTTTAATCTTGAGGTTTTATTCACACGACTCGGCATGTGGATTGCAAACGCCCAGTCCAGACAAAGGGATTCACAAAGGGATTCACAAAGTGATAATGGGATGAAAAGCACTGCTTCCTCCATCGCGGCTAGCAACCAGCGCGTTTGAGTAATCTCCGTTGTTTGATACTCTATTTCTTTTTCATCTCTTTCTTTGTTTGTCATCCCACAATCACGAGTAGAAACAACATGCGAGTTGCCGGCTTGTGACGTTGGCGATGCACAGACCGTTGTCAGTTTCATACGGGTAGTCCAGGCGCTTGTTAATATGTGGGATACAGGCGAGAACAGCGAGAGGAAGGAGATTGTGACTTGTAACTGACATCATCTCTACAGAAACCTTATCGACTCCAATGCTCCACGTTGAACTAGTAGTTCATTGGACTTGAGTCGGCTCGACTATTCTCCAACTTCAGCGAGAGCCGAGTCAGAATGTACCACGTATCACAGCAATCCAATACACTCGTTTCCCTTTGTACCATTCGAGACTGGCGGCACTTACAAGTATACATTCGACTTGCAAAGGGGCATCATGGCGGGGATGCAGCACGATAAGATAACGTCAGACATCCCCTGCCATAAAGTTTCTACATTTGGCGGGCGGGAGCTCAAATCATCCGTGCACGGCTTAACAAGCCAATCAATGAACGAATTTGTGAATGGGGGCCTGGAAGCTTGGCGTTCCTGGCCTGGGGCTGGTCGCTGTAAACTTTGTTATCGGCTTGGCGAGTGCTCCAATGGCTCCAATGCTTTTGCTGCATCGCATCGTCAAAAAAAATTCCCACTTGGATTTCAACATTCGTGAACTTTGGGTCCCCGCAAAGTCACCACCACCAACACCACCACCACCACCACCACCACAAGACCTCGACGCCTCTTTCAATCTGATTCCGAGTCGAATTCCGACCGATTTCGATAACCGAGCATACTCTTCCTCGACAACAACTGAACTTGAACGAATAGACCAATCTCTTTGCGCCCGATCTCCTCTCCCATCCCATATACCAAATCCGCAACCATGGCAGCCGAAGTGCAGCCGCTGGCGACGCTCAAGTTGCCCACGGTCGTCAGCCCCATCACGGCCGAGCAGCGCTACTGGAAGTCCTTCAAGAACCAGAAATCCCACACCTCGACGGCAGCATGGCCCATCTCGCACATCAGCTTCCCCGGCTCGAGCAACGGCTCAGCCGCGTCGCACTCCCTCGTCGCCGCCGCTAAGGCCAACGACCTCTTCGCCGTCACTTCGGGTCCCCGTGTCGACATCTTCTCCATCCGCAAGCGCGAGCTGCTCAAGACCATCGGCCGTTTCGACTCCGAGGCTCACAGCGGTGAGATCCGCGCCGACGGGCGCGTCCTCGTGGCCGGTGAGGACTCCGGCAAGATGCAGGTCTTCGATGTCGGCACCGGCACGCGCGCCGTCATCCTCAAGACCTGGCATATCCACAAGCAGCCCGTCTGGGTAACCAAGTGGTCGCCCGCCGAGCTGACGACGCTCATGTCTTGCTCCGACGACAAGACTGTTCGTCTCTGGGACCTGCCCTCCAACGCGCCCTCGCGCATGTTCTCCGGCCACCAGGATTACGTCCGTTCCGGCGCCTTCATGCCTGACCGCAACAACCTCCTCGTCTCCGGTTCCTACGACTCGACCGTCCGCATCTGGGACGCCCGTGCCCCCGGCGGTTCCGTCCTCACCTTCAAGCACGCCGACCCGATCGAGGAAGTCCTCCCGCTCCCCGGCGGTACCACCCTTCTCGCCGCCACAGGCTCCGCCATCTCGGTCCTCGATCTCGTGGCCGCTAAGCCCCTTCGCCTGATCACCAACCACCAAAAGACCGTCACCACGCTCTCCCTGGCCTCCAACGGCCGCCGCGTCGTCTCCGGCTCTCTCGACGGCCACGTCAAGGTCTTCGAGACTACAAACTGGAACGTCGTCTCCGGATCCAAGTACCCCAGTCCCATCCTCTCCCTCTCCGTTATCGCGGCGGGAGCAGGCCACGAAGACCGCCACCTGGCCGTCGGCATGCAATCCGGCGTCCTGTCTCTCCGCACCCGTCTCTCAGGCGCATCCGCCGAAAAGGCCCGCGCCCGCGCAACCGAAGACAAGCTCATGGTCGAGGGCGCCACCTCCAAGCTCGCCAAGATCGACCAGGCAAAGGCCAAGCGCAAGCGCAACGCCGTGTCCAACAAGTCCATGGCTCTTTTGGGGGAAAACGTGGACGTGATCATCCCCACCGACACGACCAACTCCGCCGGCGGCCGCAAGCGCCGGGTGAAGCTGAAGCCGTGGCAGCGTGATTTCCGCGAGGGCCGCTATGCAGCCTGCCTCGACTCCGTCCTCGATTTCTCCTCGCAGGAGTACCAGCCCGTCACGGCCCTTTCCGTGCTCGTCGCCCTCCGCCATCGTTCTGCCTTGAGGGAAGCCCTCGAAGGCCGCGACGAGGTTACTGTCCTCCCGCTGCTGAAGTGGGTGATCAAGTACATCTCTGACCCGCGGTATGCTACGGTGTGCGTGGACGTGGCGTTCCAGCTGTTTGATATCTACAGCGAGTACGTGGGCGGCAGCACGGAGCTGGCGGATCAGTTTGCTGTCATGACGGGCAAGGTCAGCAGGGAGGTGGAGAAGGCGCAGATGGCGATTATCACGAATGGAATGGTGGAGAGCCTGATGATTGGGGGTGCTGAGGCTTAGGAGGTCCAGCAGGCCTCGGACAAGAAGCTCGAAGCTGTTGCTAAGTGAGGATGCTGGTTGGGACGGAATGGGCAGGGGTAGTGGAAGGGAGAAAATGGGATAGATGTGGAATGGATCGATGAGAGTGTAGATGTGGGGGATACGATGTAAAGAACGGGATACCACAAAGAAAGGCTGGAGAAGGAAAGGAAAAAGAGGGATCCTCTGTTCGGTTTTGGTTCGGTTAGGTATCATGTTTTTTCTTGATATCAAAGCCCTGCATGGCGTCGGCGTTCGATTATCTTTTTGGCTTTTTGTACTAATCTGGGCTCACAAAAGTATACGGTTACATAAAATAGGGGTTGGGACTAGATACCTCAAGATACATTAGGAGAATCAGTAAAAGCCATTTCGAAAACGTCAGGCTTGTTATGTGACGATTGACTCTCCTGGACGGATGAGAAGCTAATGATTGTAAGGACATAGAAATATGATGACACTTCGAATTCGCTGGCCATGCTACTCGCCTCACTTCACATCGCCTCGTCGAAGAAGGACGTTGCAGTGTCAACATTCAACATATCCAGTAGAATTATGGCTATAAATGACAACATAAAGAAATAACATCTCGTTCTGAAGTCGTCGCTAAAGATCGCTTCAACCTTCCAGATAGACATAGCCCCCTTTCCTGACTGATCAAATAGTAAGAGATATAAAGGGAGCCTCTCCAATGAGCACCCCAATCTACCAGAAGCATCTTCTCTGGTATCTAACCAAACATTGAGATCAACCCCAGTCTGACGTTGAGGCCTTTCCTCCTGACCACTTCCCAGGGCTGTCGACAGCCCAACAAGAACTGCGGGCGAAGCGTGTCGATGAGAAGTGTCTCGTTGGTGTGTCCTTCCCTTCCCAAGGTTCCCGAGAGAAACCCCATGCCATAGTCTTTGCTGTTCTTTTGCAGCAAGACATTAACCCGAGTCGCGTTTGATCATCAGATGCTTCCCAAACCAGCCTTGCGTCTCATTATCGCATATATCCTTTTGTTTCCTTCGCTCATCGCTTACCTACCACCAAGCTCGGCCTCCAGGCCACCGTTGTAGCCGCTATACTCATGTGGCCTAGGATCCTCAGCAGTCCATTGTTGGCTGTGCACATCAGTAGGCATGGGCACCTGACCGGGAGCATGGGCCTGAACACCACCCTGCTCGTGACCACCGGGCACGGTCCGGACCATCTGCCTGAACCTATAGACCTCATCGAGGATCATCTTGCGCATCTCGCCGACATCATCAACGACCTCAAAGTCGAAGTTGAAGGTGGTAGGGCAGTCGGGCTCGTCGCTGGCATCGTGCCAGATGGCAAGGTATGGGTGCTTGAGAGCCTCCTCAACGCTGATGCGGCTGGTAGGATCGAAGGCGAGCATGCGGTCGAGAAGATCGAGGGCGTCGGGGTTGGCCTGGGGGAAGAGTGCCTGGAAGGACTTCTTGGGCATGGGAGGCAGGTTGCGGACGTATTCTTGAGCTCTGGGGGAACCGATACGGGAGAGGGTCTCCTCATTGGGTGTGCCGAGGATGTGGAGAATCTGGTTTAGCTGATCGACGTAATCTCTGCCCTTGAAGAAGGGACGGCCGCCGAGGAGCTCGGCAAGAATGCAGCCAACGGACCATACGTCGACTAAGAGGTGTTTGTTAGCTTGAAAATGCTGCCGGAAGAACATCTTGTAAGGGAAGACATACTGGCTTTGGTATAGTTCTGGAAGGACAACATGATTTCGGGAGCACGATACCATCTTGTGGCAACGTACTCAGTCATGTAACCAGCGTTCTCCTCGGGATCAACGGAGAAACCGCGGGCAAGACCGAAATCGCAAATCTTGAGCTCGCAGTCGGCATTAACGAGCAAGTTACCAGGCTTAAGATCACGGTGAAGCACGTTCGCCGAGTGGATGTACTTGAGACCGCAGAGAATCTGGTAGATGAAGGACTGGAAGTGAGCGTCTGTAAGTGGCTGGCCGGACCTGATGATAGCAGCAAGATCGCATTCCATCAACTCTGTAAAGGAGACCCCAGGTTAGTATGTTGGTTCGTCTTCTCGCAAGGTATGAGCAATGACGTACCCTCATAGAGATAGGTCTCGTTGAACATTTCTGGCCTGGGAATATCCATATCGTAGAGGCAGGTAATCTAAACAACCAGAAACCGCCACGGTCAGCTACCATACATTGCTTGTCGAATGTGTGTACAAGTAACTCACATTACGATGGCCTCTGAAGTGCTGGAGGAGCTTGATCTCGCGCAAGGCGCGCTTGGCCAAGATCTTTTTGCTGAAGACATTGGTGACCTTCTTGATGGCGACTCCCTCGTTCGTCTGGGTGTTCACGGCGGCGCTGTTTAGAAAAGGAGGTTAGCTTGAGTTATGAAAGACGGCATGGCATATGTAGATGCGCCACGGCTCAAGGCAGAAGCGGCAAAGCAGGAACAGAAGCAGGTACAGGTTGACGTACCAGACAATGCCATAAGCACCTTGTCCAAGCTCCTTGGTGACGGTGTAGCGCTCGTCGACAATGAAGTCCTGGTTAAAGACCTTGAAGATCTTGCGACCCGTGAGATCAGCCATGGCGAATGTGTGTATGTAGTGTTTCGGAGACGGTTCGTAGTTCAAAGAAGGAGGCGGTTCGGGTGGCCTTTAGGTGCAGATGCAGAGAGAGCCTTGTGTGGTAGTTGTAAGCTCAAGCGCGATCAACGTCGTTTGAGGTTCGGATGGAAGTGATTTTTAGCAAAGGTCGAGAAGAGTGTATGGGACGAAAGTAGGATGTAGATCGAAAAAGACGGGAGCGAGGCAATAAGCAACCGGCTAATGTAGTATTGTAGTGTAGGCAGGCAGAGCGAGAGAGAGAGGAAAAAGTGGTGGTGATCAAAGAGGTTGCAGAAGTGGTCCTTGGCACGAGGAGGACAAGAGTGAGAAGCCCCTGGGATAGTGTGTGTGTGATATGTGCCACCACCGAATGCTGACTGGGCCGGAGCTTGAACTTGGCTTCAGTTGCTAGTTCAGTTTACGCTTCGTTGGCGTATTTTAGAAGAAACAATGAAGATGGATTCGAGCAGCTTTGAAACCGACGATAACTTGTTTGAAAGTGGAAAGTGGAAAGCCGTGACAAGAGCTTGAAGAGAACTGTCAAGGAAGGGACCTGGCCTGGCCGTGGACCTCGATGGTGCAGTGGCTCGAAGCGGACACAATGAGGAAAGAGGGGCCCGAGGGACCCCGACCTGCGACGACCTGGACTTTGCCCACTGCGCTGATCCCAGCACCAGAACGGGACCTGAGCGAGGGGCTGTGAGGCAACGCGGGGTCCGCTTCCCAAAAGGTCAAGGGTTCCAAGAGGCCAATGTCAGAGGGCGCAAAGGGCAGCAACGAATGGCGGCTTGTTCCTGACGAATGATGGTCGTTTTCAAGCTTGTTTCCGGTTGCCTCTTTTCCTTCCACTTTCCCATCATTGCCCATTCATTGTTGGGCCATTCGGTTCGTCCAAGACTTGTTGCTCATGATGGCCTCTCAGACTGGAAATTGAGGGCGTGAGCATCGCATCTGCGCATCAACAACACGACGATACTAGTCCACCCGTCAAGAACAAGGCCATTGCTTGCCGCCTTGAAACCAAACACCAAGAGAAAAGTGAAAAGGATCGCCTGGCCTCGGGCGCCTGTTTTGGTCTGCTCCCCTTGCCCAGCCAATGCGCACAATGCCTGCCTGCCAAATGTCACTTGGCTTGCAAAGTCACTCCACAGCGGAAATCACAAGGGAACGGTACCTGATTCTCCCCCACCGTCCCCGCTGTGATTTGCAACCCTACTCCGGTGCTTCACTTGGCGCGCGACTAAGTACAGGCCTCCCCACTGGCCGGCCGGCGTCTACACAGATTTGCAATTGTCACCATCTTCGCGATGAGCTCGATGATGGTGTAGTGTTTACGGATCGTTGCTTTTACGAGATGAATATCATGAACTTGTAAGGACAAAGTAGCCTCGGCAGACCTCGGCTGTAACTGAAGGCGTCAATGTGAAGTTTGCGGACAACACCGAGAGAGTAAATCTAGGTGAGGAGGAAAGGTCCGGGGCTGAGCTTCATCTTCATCATCATCATCATCATCATCATCATCATCAAGCGGCCCTCCGGACGGACGGCCCTCTCCGAAACCTCACACTTCGAACTAGAATTTCCCAACAGTTTGATACTGTAGTGTAGTAGTGCAGTGTACTTGCTGTGCACCACCCACATTGGAGGGTTTTTTAAAGGACCAGATCCCAGTTTTCCCCTGACCCAACGAGCCGGCCGGCGGCTGATACCGACAACATGTGGCCGCACTGACTATTCCCTGGTCGTTTCGTTCCTGGACAAACGTCCCTAGGCAGGGCCATAGGGCTGATGCAGTTCAAGTTCTAGATTGCATGAACTTGGCCGCGAGAATAGGCCGCGCAAGTCGTCGCCCTCACCGAGATGAGTTTGAGGTTCATACATACCGAGGCATCCTCGTAGATAGACCTCTCAGAACAGCAGGACATCTGGACGTCGTGAAGTCCGAAATACGAACCCGAGCTCCCTCCGGAGTCCGGCTATCTCCCTCCGGCCGTGATGCGAAGTTATAAGTCGCCGGTGACCCGACTAAGTAATAGTCGTGAAGCAAGACAACTCGCTCTCGCAAAGACGACAAGGACCAAAGCTCGACGACAGATAGCTTTACTTGATAGGGTAGAAATCCGACCAAGGGGAAACATGCGCAAATGATATCTTCAGCCTACAGCAACGGACAACAGATCTATCCCAACGCCCGAACGCCTAGCCTTCTAAAACGGTCGACCAAAGCTCCACTTCTACTCTTTCTACTCAGCCTTGACATCCGGAAAGACCTCACCCAAAAAGTTCTTGGAGAACCTCGTGGCCTGCTCATACGCCTTCTCGAAGCCAGACTTGCCGCCGTAGTACGGATCCTGGATCACCTCGGCCTTGTCGGTGCCCGAGTACTCGCCAAAAAGCATCACCTTGGCTTTTCCGGGGTGGCGTTGCTGGAGACGTTGGAGGTCGGCCAGGTTGGCTCGGTCCATGGCAAAGATGTAGTCGAACTTGTCGAAGTCGGAGGTGCTGACCTTTTAGATTGGAACGCAGGAAGTCAGATATTTGATCGTTTCGAGCGAGGACTAGGAGTCTGTCAGCCAACGACAGATGGGGTCGGAGAAGCATACCTTGCGAGCGGCGTGGATATAATCGGTTATTCCGTGCTCTCGGAGCGTCTCCATCGTTCGGTCGTCGGGGCCTTCGCCAATGTGATAGGCGCCTGAGAAGCAATGGTGTTAGTATCGACACAAGGACGAAAGAGCAAAAAGCAGTGTGGGGTTCCGGGAAAGGCGTACCTGTTCCGCACGAATCGATCTTCGCAATACGGCCCTTGTATTCGGGCTTCTTGGCCATCGACTGGAAGACACCTTCGGCCATAGTAGAGCGGCAGATGTTGCCGAGGCAGACGAAGAGAACGGAGATTTGGTCAGACATTTTGGCGGATATTACGGCGTTTGATGGCTCGCTGAAGGACAAGAGATTGTGGTCGACGAACAAACTGGAAGAGAGCAAGTTGGAATCGCAAACGAGTTCGACGACAAGGAGACAACTTCACCTTCAACAACAGCCACCGCGAATCATGGAGGGGCGATGCTGATAAGCGTCCGATAAGGCACAGCCTCAAGGGTCCCGGTCGTGGAAGGGTTAGGGGTCGTGGTGGAAGGAGGGATCTAGAACTAGGGAGTTGGGACACATGCAAATCGCCAGCAACAATGCTCTTCATTCGCCTACATTGTGTTTCACACAAGGAATGTCCACCATAACGTATCTTTTCTTTGGACGTCGACAATGCTCAGCAACTCCAACGAAGGCGCGACCTTTGGTTAGCATTCACTCTTGGACCTGTTGACTGACAGATTATCCGGCCGGCACGACCCTCCAGCTGCAATTGCCAGCCATCAACTGCCCCACTTGCACCCGCGCACGTACCAACCCCCGAGTTTGCACTCGTGCACAGACCCTTTGGAGTACCTATTTAATTAAGGGCCCCCTTCCCAGTTTCTTAGCATTTTCTTTTCCTCTTTTTTTCTTCATACTTACCTTGATTGACTGCGCGGAGATCAAGAAAACCGCGTAGTACGGTGGAGAGCCTGCATTGCACATCGTGGTGCTATCCGCCGTGAATTGTCCTTCGGGGCCGTTCCGGTCGTAATTTTTGATTTCAAATCATTCCATTGCGAATCCCTTTTTCAATGTGTGCTCGGCTTGCGAGGTCGTGCCATGTGGAAGAATGCGTGATGTCTGTCTTAGAGTTTTGTGCGACGGTTGTGGTTATCATGGTTGCGCGTGTTGGTGTTGATTCATATGTCAACTCACCGCCGCATCAACCGTTATCTAGGTTCCAATCCCAAAACCCCACGCGCGTACGACGTGCGAAAGTTCCATTCATTTGTCTCAGACCCTGAGATGGTGATGTTGATGGCCCGTAAATGGTGGTGTGGCCGGCTTACGTGATTCACCTCGTCGAGACGTCGACATCTTCTCTCCGATTGCTCCCGATGGTTGTTCATAAACTTTCACGACCTTATTCTCCCACTGGCTGACATATCAAGAAAGACCTTGGCAGCAATCAATAGCCGCTTGTACGGCCAAACATGGTGGAGTGAAGCCATGCCTTTTTTCCTCTCCTTCCCGAGGGAAAGAAAATGCCATGTTGCTTGGCGTCCTCCTTGACAGTCAGGTCTCCCGGCCAAGACCCCAAATTCAGTCTCGCGATGCACAGCATGAAGAGGGACATGGAACGGGTACCTTTTCCTTATCTCTCGCCGCCTTTCTCTGGCAACTGGATGCGATACATACATATCTACAGCATCATATCGGCGGTGTATAAATTCTCTCAACTTCTGAACTTTTCAAAGTGTTCCAAAAGTCTGCCTTGCGATGGCTGCTGAATGTTACTGATGCAGTGAAGTTGATGACAAAGATATCAAGCACGCATTCCGACCCATGTCAAGCGCAAACGCTGAGCCGCACCGTCGCGACTCCACCCCGACCCGATCAACGGAAAAGACGGGCTCTCGATATCCTCTTGCGGATTAGAGCGATTCGGAACAGACAGGACTCGGCGCGGGGATGTCATGAACACCGCGGCCTCTTTCACATCGATATTCGATACCATCACAACAGACGACAAGACAGTTGGCCCCTTTCAGATCCCAGCGCAGTGTCACTGTCAGTTGTTGAATGACAAAGTGCGGGTGCTTATCTAGATCGGCTCTTGTGTACTCACACACTGACACTGCCTGACTGCGACGACACAAGTGGACCCCAGGATCGAACTTCTCTTGCTCAATCCGTACAATGGAATTCGGCCGAGCATGCAGCCGGACAATGAGAAGGCAACCTACTAAACTACCTGCCAGGCTGCCGTTCTACCGACGTATCTTGTCTCACTTATCCAACTTGAGACCTTCTCTCCGTATCCGTACAATTGGTCGTCGCCAATTGCACGATGCCCATGTGGGGGAGATCCCAGTGTTCTAGTGGTTCAATGTTCGTTCTTTACACTATAACGAGTTAATACAAAGTTACGCCCGGAGCAATCACGCAACCAACGGCAACTTTGCGCAAGAGATGCAAAGCGACACTGGGCGCATATCCCAGTGCTTGCCTTCCAATGCTGCACATTCTGGGGTTAAGGTTATAGTTTGCACTGCATATAACTACATTGTAGACAGAAATGATTGAATGCGCACCGAACCTTTTTGGGTCCAGTTGTGGAAAGCGTGCCGAGGATGCGATGCGATCCTTCAAGAGTCAAGACAGGAACTTTTGAGACTGGGGATATTGAAACAGAATGGAAATTACAAAACAGGAAGGACGTTACCCTTACCCCGCCAAAGTCATTTTCATATGCTTGCCTGTGATTCAAGACACTTCTCCTGATATCATTTCTTTAGCAAGGGATCTGAGAATCGCAACCACGGAATAAGAAGAAAAGAGTTGAGACAGTCGACATCATATCAATGCCAGACCAGACAGTCCCCAGGGTCCACGGTTGGTTGAGATTCTCCCCGATGATGAGGTTGCTCAGATCGCCCCCCCTAGACTTTTGGGGAGATCGCGGCTTCTTTCGAGGGGGAAGGGATCTGCGACTGGCGCCAATTGAAGACGAAACCTCATTGGCCCATCTCAGTATCTATCCATTACACTTTTTCTCAATTTTTTTATTTTTCGTGAAAGGTTCCCCATTAGTTACAGAGAGAGATCAAGGGTCTCCAGGGTCCCAACTACATTCATAGGAACGGAAAGTCGTTACGGGATCGTGGAACAGTCCCGTCTCCATGCGATAAATATTTCCGATGAAATCCGGGGGCGTTTTTAAACTATAACATCTTATCTTTCCCTCCATCCATCGGCTTGTGCATCTGCAGCCCCAAAGCACCCCCCTTCGCCATCTCCATGTCACTTGCTCCTCCTCCTCCTTCTCCCTCTATCTTCTCTTATTACTTCACCTTGATATCTTTACCCTTCAAATTGCCTTTCCACTGTTCGCCATACATCAAATCCACCTGTCCTGAAGTCGAGACCTCCAGATCAACAGGGCTGTGTTCTCTGTACCCATTCGCGCAAAGGTCATTCTTTCGATATTCGCCACTTTCCGTCCACAATCGCATAACGGAAACGCATGCAAAAGCTTAAACTGCATTCCGCCGCCCACCTTTCATCTCAACCACTCCAATTCCTCAAGAGCCATTGACCAATATCAGAGCCAAAAGACCGAAGCTTACTTGGACAATTCGACTCTTCAACTGACTGTCATCAATTTGCGACAGCTCAGAAAAAGTCGACACTGTCCTTGGCGAGTAGCTAGGCTCTTCCTTCGCTCCGATCTTCGCCTCCGGCCGATATCTCCGAATCTCAAATATCTCGATATCTTCACCGGGACTTTCCACTCCGGTTGAGATCTCACATCTCATCTGGTTTACACGGCGATCGGTTCCATTAGCACGGATCATAGAAACCGAAGGGGATCCACATTATCAAGACGGAACTTTGGACATCCGGGCCGTGACCCCTCCTCTCCATAGTACTATCGGCGCATACAATCGGCCTGCCTGTCATCCCGAGTCCCTCAAGGTACCTACACGTACTTCCCTCACGGATCCCCAACCCACAGCCGAACGTCGGGACCCCAACAACAGACAGCGACCGACAGTAAGCCCACCTGAGTCGCCTGCCGCAACCGCAACCATGGTTGAACATCGGCCCGTCCACAACAGCGAGGTCTACGTCCTCAGTCAGACGCCTTTTTTGAACCACCTCAACCACCACCACGGCGGCCGTCCCTCTCCACCGTCGCCCATCACTCCAGCCGAAGACGACTTTTGCTGCTCGCCCATTGACAAGCTCCCTTTGCACAACTTCGTCGAGCCCGCCATCGCAGCATGTGAAGAGCAACTCGCCGTCGAGTCGCGCCTCTCGGGCGCCGTGCACCTCCTCAACACCGCTTCCACCGCGCTCTCCTGCATCACAGACCTCTACTCCTCCGACCGCGTTGCGCGCGACGGGTTCAACCGCGCCGTCGACGCCATCGTCCGACGACAGGGTGACCACGGGCGCAACGGCAAACTGGTCGTCATTGGCGTGGGCAAGTCCGGCCACATCGCCAAGAAACTGGTCGCGACCTTCAACTCGCTCGCCATCCAGGCCGTCTTCCTGCACCCGACCGAAGCGCTGCATGGTGATCTAGGGCAGATCAATAGTCGGAATGATACCCTTTTGTTGATCACCTTCTCAGGCAAGACGCCCGAGCTTTTACTTCTGCTGCCGCACCTGGATAAGTCGCTACCACTTATTCTGCTCACAAGCCACACCCGCCCGGAAACATGCGAAATTGTTCGTCAGCGACCAGATACCATTCTCCTCCCGGCACCGATCCACGAGCCAGAGACCAAGTCCTTCGGTGTCAGTGCGCCGACGACTTCAACGACTGTTGCGCTATCAGTAGGCGATGCCCTGGCGATGGTGGCTAGCCATGAACTGCACCCGTCTGTGTCGAAAGTGTTTGCGAAGAATCACCCCGGTGGCGCTATCGGCGCTGCGTTAAGGGGGAACTCGGTATCGCCTGCGCCGTCTGGTAGTTCGTCTGGTGTTGCTACGCCTTCCTCTTCGAGGACTACCTCCTCCCTTTCCGTTATCCCTCAACAGCCATCAGTACCACCACGACACGCATTGCGAGACCTAGCTATCCCTCTGCACGAAATTCCTTGCCTCGAAAGTCTTCCCAGACAGCCCGGCCACGAACCAATACCCACAGCCACAGCAGGCGACCTCCTCCTCGCGGCATACTCTTCTTCATCAGGCTGGGTCCGCGTCTCCCACTCTGGTGTCCAAGGTGTTGTGTCTCCAAGGAGAATCAGACGTTTATCACCATCGCAACTCGCTCTGCCTTTGTCCGACCCAAGCTTAAGCTGGTTGGTGACGCCTCAGGCAGAGTTTGTGTCATTGACGGCTGATACCGAGGTGAGGAACGCGGCGGAGTGGATCAAAGCCATGCGCATGGCTACGGCCACGGGCGTCAGGATGGGTCTGCAAAGTGAAGAAGGCGTTGATTTTGGCGAGGAGTGCGTGGTGGGTGTCATGGACGTGGTCGGAGGAGGGCAGGGGTGTGTGGGCGTTTTGGAGGTGGAGAGTTTGCTGGAGAGTGTCCCGAAGCCATAATATTGGCTGAAAATGCTATGCTCATGGAGGTGGTTGAAGAAAGAAAGTGGCTGTGAAGGTATATACAGGAAAGAAGGGAAGAACTGCACATATTGAGTGATACCTAGCTACAGGTCAGCAGGTTCGGTCGGATTTTTTTGGGATTTAGCAAGCATGATTTGATCATTGGATCACACTTCACACAGCGAGGGATCGAAAAGGAGGTTAGAGGTACTCTGCTCAATTTTTTTTGAATTTCTTTTTGTTTTTTCAACTTTGGATATCCGGGATTGGCGTTGGGAACTTTACAGGAGGCAATGTTGGCTTTTAATAGTATTTATGTTGGATTTCGGTCATGATCAATGACATAAACTAGACTTAAATTCGAATAAAAGTAGCGGGCGATTTCCTGCTTTGGATTGAAGACATACCCCTCACACCTAAGTTGTCACATGGTTCCAGAGAAAAGTGGAAGACAGGTGGTTGGTGGTGATGATTGGTTTGTTCGCATCTCTTATTCAGGTCTCGGAACAAACCCATCTCATCCGAATGTCAATTATACCAAAAAGGTGATGGAAATCACCGAAGTCTGGGTAGAAAACATAGGAACAGTCATGATGTGAAGAAGGGGTTGCGCAGGTAGCTTCGAAAGTGAAAGCACCCTAAACGCTGCTTTTCCATCCCATTTCTACTTCTACGTTAAGCAACAGAGATATAACCACCCAAGCCATGTACAGAAACGTAAAACCAAACCCTCTTTTTTACTCTAACCAGTACCCAGCTTCAAACATAGCGAAAACAACCCAATCAAATTACACAAACAAACAACCCCAGCGCTTAGAATTAGTCGCTATCACTATCGCTGCTCTCCGAGCTATCACTCTCCTCGCTCTTCTCATCTTCCTCAGACTCCGCCTCCGAGCTCGAAGACGACGAAGACGAAGAAGAGGAACTGCTGGTAGTAGTCGCCGTCTTAGCTCCCGCATCCGCCATCTTCTCATCCGAATCAGAATCGGAATCACTGCTATCGCTATCCGAAGAGTCGGAGCTCTCGCTGTCGCTGATGTCCGTACGCTTGTTACGTAACCTGCGGCGCTTGGCGGGTTGTTGGCCGTCTGTCGAGGCCTTTGCGGCTTGTGGTTGAGGAGCAGGGGCGGCAGCGGCGGCGGTGGAGGCAGAAGCCGAGGTAGAGGTGGTAGTAGTGGTGGTGGTGACAGTAGAGGCATCCTCAGAGTCGGCCAGCTCTTCAAGAACCATCTCAGCACGAATCCGCTTGATCAAGCGCTCCTTGATGTCGTCCTTCTTCTCCTTCTTCTTCTCCTTCTTCTCGCCGTCCTTGCCCTCCTTGCTAGGCGCTATCCTCAGCACAAACTCGACCTCGTCAAAGCTGCGCTTCTTGCTTTCTTGTACCCGCTCCTTCTGATCCTCCAAGAACCTCGCAATCGCATCCTCGTACTGCTTCTGCTTCTCCTCGTTCTTCTCCTTCGCCTTGTCCCCGCCGGGGAAAGCAGACGCGCCAGCATCCATGTCCTTCTTCTTGATCTCCTGCGCCTGCTCCCGCAGCCGCGTGCGCACGAAACCCTTCAGGTCGCGGATGTATTGGTAGAAGATGGGAACGTCGGCCGAGGGAACCTTGCAGTCGGGCTCGAACACGTACTTGATCAGCAGCGTCTGGTGGTTCTTGTTGAACTTCCAACTGTCGCGGTCGGTGGCCCATTGGCGCAGGTAGGCGAGGGAAGGCTCGAGGTTGGTGTCGGACTTGTTCTTGGATTGTTCGGCGGACTTCTTGGAGGCCTGCTTCGCCTTCTTGGCCTTCTTCTTCTCACGCTTCTTCTCCTTGGCGGCGGCGTCGGTTACGGAGTTGGTCTTGGTTTCTTGCGAGAAGGAGACGGACTTCCTCTGCTGTCCTGCTTGTGTGGGAGCGTCGGAGCGGAATCGCTTGTTTTGTGTGGGGTAGGCGTTCTGGTTGTTGAAGGACTGTTGCTGGGATGGCAGTTTTCTCTTGAGTGCGCTGGTCGCGGGCGCGGGAACTGGCTGACGGGCGGCGGATGGTGTGCTTGTTGTCGAGGGGGCAACCGCAGGACTGGAACCATCAGAAGCCTTGAGCTTCAGACCCAATCGCTTCCAGGCCGGGACGGCGGACATGATGGGCGAGAGGAAGGGAGGTGAAAGATTATAAGGAGGGAAGAGAGAGGGTATATAATATGGAGAATGAATGTGTCGGATGCGACTGTGACTTGTGACTATGCTGTATGTGGTGTGCCCTGGCTTGGTCCGGTCCGGTCTGGTCTGGAGTGATGTGGTGTGGTGTGTCGGATCGGAATCGGTACGCGACAGGATGAGGAAGTCGAGTGACGTGGGCGGCCACTACAGACGGTAGAATTACACGAGAGGGACCGGGAGTTACTTGGTAGAAAAAGAACTCAATTGATGATGGTGAGTATACGGGACAGGTATGCAGCCAAGTCCCAATTCGTTGGTCGGCTCAAAGGTCCGGTTGCTTGATTGCGGTGCGACGGGAGTTTGGAGATGTTATTGGTGGTGTCGCTGCTTGAAATTCTGACTTGCAATTGAAGAACTGCGAATGCCAAACTCTCCTCCAAATCGCAAATTTCTGTCCGCTAGAGAGCTTATCGGCGCCCTCCAGCAGGGGTCCCGGTCGTGATAAGAGATGTAAATAAAGTGGGGTTGATCTGGGGAATGGATCTGGGCGTCGGACGATGAGAAGCTCGGCAGGCAAAAGTGGATTGGAGCTGTCAGAGTTGGAGTGGGGTCATCTCAAGCTGCGGGAATCATGTGGGGCTGTTCCTTCTGCTTGAGTGCTTGCTCTTGAGTTGGCGGGCGTGGACTGGCCCCAGGCGGCTGGCTGTCACCTGGTGTCGTTGGCCTATCAGATAATCAGCCTTCCTTCCAGGCAATCCCGCCGTAACGCGTTCGATGCCCTGACGGGCGCTGGAGCAAGCAGCTGTCCACTGGAGTTGCTGGACCAGTCTGGACATCGTCACTACATCCATTCCGCCCGCCGCCTTGACCAACGACGAAGCTCCCTTCTGCCTGCCACCAACTCAACCCATCCATTCTCCAAACGTCAACAAACAAACACCACCATTGATTTCCAACCGAAGCCGGCGATTCCTCCATTTTGCATCACGACTACACATAGACCGATTCATTTAATCAAACACATTCAAGATGTCGGGTATGTCAAAGTCAGCTTGGGTCCATCCAGCAACTGGGCTGCCCGCTCCACCAACCCACTTACTGGAGCTCCCCCAAGCTATCACCATGCTATGATGTAGACACCATGGCTAACATACAACCCCCACGACAGGCAGCGCTGGCTACGACAGACACATTACAATCTTCTCCGAGCAGGGTAGATTGTACCAAGTCGGTACGTTTACATCTTCCAACCCGAAGGCATACCGCGCCCACGTCCCTCGATCCTCGACTCCTCTGCGACCCGATCCGAGGCACCGACCGATACGCGATGGCGACCGATGATAGTCGAGGGAGAAGGCTGGACTTGTGAAGGGTAACAGCGATGCTGACGATGGAGGACCATGACAGAATATGCCTTCAAGGCCATCACAGCTGCGAACATCATGTCGCTCGGCGTCAGGGGGAAGGACTGCGCCGTAGTTCTGTCCCAGAAGAAGGTTCCCGTATGTTGTCCTGGCACTTGCAATCTTCCCTTGGCATGGTTCATATACTGACGGACATGCGACAACAGGATAAGCTCATCGACCCCTCCTCCGTCTCCCACATCTTCCAGATCTCGCCCTCGGTTGGCTGCGTCATGACCGGTTCCATCGCCGATGCGCGCGCCTTCGCACAACGCGCCCAGGGGGAGGCTGCCGAGTTCCGATACAAGTTTGGCTACGAGATGCCATGCGACGCCTTGGCCAAGCGCATTGCCAACATCAGCCAGGTCTACACTCAGCGCGTAAGCTAGCCCCAGCTACTCCCGCAATGGACTATTAGTCTTTAAACAGGAAGAGGAAATGATACTGACCGGAGACTTTTTACTCAACTGCAGGCCTACATGCGCCCATACGGCGTCGCCGTTACCCTCATATCGCTCGACTCGGAGTTCGGTCCCCAGCTGTACAAGTGCGACCCGGCAGGCTACTACACAGGCTACAAGGGCACCGCGGCGGGTCCCAAGCAGCAGGAGGCCCTCAACCACCTGGAGAAGAAGCTCAAGAACAAGGATCACGCGCCCGGTGACTGGAAGGAGGTTGTCGAGCTTGCTATCACCACTCTCAGCACGGTGCTAAGCATGGACTTCAAGAAGACCGAGATCGAGATTGGTATCGTCGGTGGACCTAGGCCGGACGGAAAGGAGGGCACATACCCCGGTTTCAGGACGTTGACCGAGGAGGAGATTGACGAGAGGCTACAAGCCATTGCCGAGAAGGATTAAGGGGAATATTTGGTGCGGTGATGCTGTAACGTGGTCTATCTGGAAGATGAATGAGGAAAGGGATGCTACCCTGGAGGCAGCTGGAAGTCATCGATCATCGATAGTATGGACTCACGGAGAATCCGAAGATGAGAAGAAGTGTGTCTAAGAAAGCTGAGAGCTGAGAGCTGAAAGCAAGCAACGAAATGATAATGGCCCATGAAGATATCTGGGAGTGATTGATTGCATAAGCCAAAAGATTGGGCACGTCAACATCGTTCGATTTCCTTATCCTCAGTCACGATGACAAGGCTCTGATATGCCGGCACTAAGACGTCGTTGGCTTATCTGGTACAGTATGTGATATGACAAGGAGTAATCTTCATCACAGTACACAGCAGGCTATAGACTACCTGATACAGGAGACAGACACCAAAGAGATGCCAAGTCGTGATCGAGCCTTGCAGCCGTGCTGGGGACAGAAGCTGAAGGCTGAAACGCGCCTGACGTTCGGTCCTCTGCAGCACTCGGTTTGGTCCGGTGGTCACTTGGTGTGAAGTTGGGTATCAGGATGACCAATACCACCAATGTGGCTAGAAGAAAAAGGATAACGGGAGTGTCAAAGCGACAAGCATACTCAAAGAAGCAAAGATATAAGGAGGAACCGGTTAGCGGGCAACGACGGGCGAACGGTGGGACTAGTCCGTACCGGGAGAACGGAGCCGTGCTTGCATTTCTTTGCATTTGAGACAGTTGGACGCGGGGAAAGGACCTGCAGTACGTAGAAGATTTTCGATGTTGAGATGTGGTCAGGGTGTTTGATGGTCAGGGTGTTTGATGGTCAGGGTGTTTGATGGTCAGGGTCTCTAATTGTGAGTCGTCGTCAGGGTGGTGGTGTTGAAAGACGGCGCTAGTGGTGGTGGCCTCTCGATATGGTGGTGGTTGGATGCTTGGGTTGTATTCGGCCAATGGGGTACGTACCTTTTTTGATATGTACTATGTACATACGTACTACGTAGCGACAGGGGACATCGCATTACCTCCCGGCATGCGGTCCGGACGTGCTGGTACGTCGCTGCTCGCTTCTGGGTGACGACGTCGAAGCAAGTACCTATGTTGGTTACTTGGAAGAGAGTTTGAAGTTCAAAATCAATCTTACGATATTGGATCGGGGTGAGGTGGTAGGTCATGAGATGTTCTTGCATCTGCTTAAACACTTCGTTACAACATTTTTTTTGATCATGGTTAAGCTTCGAATAACTTTGGTTGGTTCAACTTGTTTGCGTACATTTCCTCATCACCACCGACCTCAACCCACCCCTCTCCGCATAATGAGCTCTTTCACAGGTCTAAGAGGGTGGCCGCCTCAACAGGCCCGCTCACCATCTAACTTCCACTTCGGCTTCGGCTATAAGGCACAGGGAGTGACCAGTGACGGGGCATGCAAGACAAGGCGACCACTCGGCACGTCCAGCAAGACTAACGATTTCAAGACATGGCCCTGAAAATCTCAGGACCCAACAAACGAATAGGAACAAAAGGAACGAACCTCAAGGATGTTCCTCAAGAAGTTTGTTGGTGATGGAGCCTCTACAGTGAAAGTGGGTGGATGAGGTTGTGGACAAATGGCAATCGAAAGAAGGAAGCAAACACCGGAGAGTATGGTAAAGACCGGAGACACGACGTTAGAGCTAGTGGTGTAAGTCCATGTCTCAAAGCGGGAAGAGGAAAAAAGAAAGAAGAAGGAAAGGGAAGAAGAAAAGAAATTTAGCGTCATCGAGAGGGTCCAACGAACGAACGAACGAACGAACGGACGGACGACCCGGGATGGACGCGTGGCATGGCATTCATCATCAAAGTCAAAGTCAAAGTCGCATGCAACCCCCTTTCTTGGCTTGGTTTATTGGGTATTGGGTACAAGGTATCGGATATCGGGAGGGAGGTAAGGTCTAAGTCACTAGACTAGTCTAGTCTGGAAAGAAACTTCTTTTGAAGGCTGCCTCTCTCTTCTCCTCCCGGAATGGAGCCATACCGTGAACACTGTTCCGTGTTTCCCGAGACGGGACTGTGAGATCGGCGCTGTGTTGGGCATGGAGACTAGTATAGACATAGGTACGCAGGTCCTGTACATGCGTAGGGACTAACCAGTGTTAGTCATGACGGAGGGGACTAGCAGAGATTCGGACGATTTGTGCATGAGGCTGTTGACGAATGGGAAGTGATGTTTCAGGGTTTTTAGGATTGGGGGAGATGGTCGAGAACGCCATGGACTTTTGATCTTCATGAAAGGTAGTATCTCATGGAAGAGTTGAGAATATCAAAGTCACCGAAAGGGGGAGTGACCGAGCTGGATGGAGATAATGGAGATACTGGAAATGGTAGGAGAAAGGCTTGGCGACCGAGTTGATGAATGCGACTGGAAGTTGAGAACATCACAGCTCCGAACTGGAAAGAGAATCATTCCTAACGTGGAAGCCGACATGAAGTTGTCCCTGGATGTGCTGTCGTCGAAGATGATCAGAAGAGGTTTTGAGGTTGACAAAGTGTGGAAACACCATGAGGTCACTGTCGGAGAGAGGGTCTCAATGCTACCCTGAACCTTCCAAAGATCTGCCGGAGCCGGAGTGGCAGAACAGACTCGGTTTCAGGAAAATGTGCTAAAGAAAGCTCAAACCAGATTCGCTGCCTCAGCTCAGCCCAGGAAAACGTTGTTTCCGGGTTAGAGCTGTTAGAGTTGCGGAGGCCTGATTGGTCGTGTTGACACCTGAGGTTGAACCTGAGCCACAGATGATGTTGATTTTGCTATTTGGCCGTGCTGGCTGCCTCTTTGTAGTGTTGCTGTGCAGTTGCTGCGGATACCGGAGCTGTTGCTGTAACGAATTGCCAAGAGGCGGCTGGAAATCGCCTGTGGCGTCGCTGAAGGGCTCGTTTATCTTGCCTAATCGGGACGTTGCTGGGCTGCCAAGACGACCAAGAGGCTGCTAGACACTCCACAATTCGCGACTTTGTCCTTTTTTTTTGCTGGCTTTGTGTCACCGTCACTTTGACCATGATGAGCAACACACACACACTAATACAGAGCCTCCTTTTTTGGGCGGCAGCAACAATTTCCTTTTTGCTTTGGCGTCCTCCTTGGTTTTTATGGGCGCTTACGGGCTGGATATGGCTGGACTATACTGGGTCATGGCTGGAGAGAAGATGACATGGACGGGATGACGGAGCACGAGGGCAACACAAGGACTGCTTACCGACTTGATATTGAGGCTTGAACAAGGCTCTGACCACCAAACTCGTCCGAGGCTCCGACCCTGGAGAGAGGCAGAGCAGGGTCACCACGCCAACCCCATACCGCTCGCTCCAAAGATCTGGCATCGGACCCAAACACGATGAGGTGTAACCCACGGTATTCCCACTTCTCCTGCATGCAGCGGCTCCAATTCCCAGGTGGACTAGGATCATGAAGTTGAAGACCCGTACAGTTATCGAAACATGGTCTCCCTAGCCTTACACAAGTCACTCGTGCTTTTACTCCACAGCCGTTGTGGCCGTCGTGACATGCTCCATACAGTCTGTAGTGACTTGTACCTGCGTTGGGATATGAAAAGTCAGGACGCCTCACGGCCTCATCGGATGCCCGATTCGCAACTTGTATGGTCCTACCAGTGACTCTCCACGATGGAGTTCATGCAGCTTTACAGCTTGGTAGGGGTCCTCTGCTAGTCATGACTCCAACTCCCGCGAGCCATCATCATTGCCATCTAGCATCTATCCCTTCCATTCCTTTCCTTTGGTGGAACAACACATGCCTGGTAAAGGGTTTAGGTCGAGCGGCTGATGAACATCCATCTCCATCTCAGACATGTTAGTGGATAATACGGCCCGGCGTGAGCCTTGGGCTCGGGGAACACTAGACGGAAAGTGAGGGATGAGGCCACGAGATGAAGAGTTGTTGACCGGGAATAGTCGTGATGGCTTCTTCGTTCGTTCGACCGGACATGGGAACTACGTACCACTTACACAATGTGTGATCGGTTTACCTCCACGGTCCTAGTTAGGGGGAATGCCGTTCGATACCCTCCACCACTCCTCCACATGGCCTTTCAACGGTTTTTTTTCTTTTCATGATGACGGGATCGATTTTATACAAAAGGTCTCAAACATCGCCTCCCAAGTTGCCATCACGACCCATCATTCAGCAGCATCGAGCCATCTGAACACTGCTTCGACAAGTTGTCCACGGAAGTCACAATCAGGATCTGAACCAAACCGAACGCTGCCGTCAATCTCTTCCTTCTTCCAGACTTGCCAACAGTTCATCACAGCTCGCATTGACTTGCAGTTGCCTTGGTTTCTTCTCAGCTATACCAGGCATCCCTTCACCGAGTTTCGCTTCATACCTCGACGACGACACTATTCTTGTTTCTCCCTTTCTTCCCTCTCCACCACCAAGAAGTGTTTCTCCCGAAGATCTTCTCCAAATCCCATACCACCAAGGATCCATCTTTCTCGGATATCCATCCCATAACAACCGCAACCATGTCTGACGGACGTAAGTACCTTGCCTATGTCACTCCCGCTCCGACCCTCCTCTCTCCCCACTCTCACCCACTTGCCCTTCCCCGGCGGGGCCTACCAGAGCCTTGGGATCCATCCACATAAGCAGACACACACCCTTTGACCTCCCTATAGGGATTTCCCACACCTCCCACACCTCCCACACCCTTTTCACATTATTCACTGCCGTACGCCCTCCACATCTACCTACAACCACTCATACCCCTTTCAAGACCCATACACACACCCACGGTAGAGGTTCAGGTGCGTACTAGGGACGCCACCACCACAAAACTTACCCGAAAGGGATGTGGACAAAGCTTCACCCATCTTCGGAACCAAACAACCAAGGAAAAGTCCATGTCTTTTTCAGGATATCGGTCATCATAACATCCCAAATAATGTTTCCGAGCCAAGGAACACCTTGACTCCATCACTCCATCTCTCTTACCGTTCTTTCCTTCTAAACTCCGAGATTACCAAGCACAACCAAGCAAGACCCCGATCACTCGTTCCTCCTTACCTCAATTTTGAGCATTATCAATCAAGAACTCAACCCTAGCCCTATCCCTACCTTCGCACATTCCCTCCACATCACTCAACAAGACTTGACCCAACACTCAACCCTACCAAGGTATTCTCCCATACCCTGGCATGACCAGTACTGACAACCCCACGTAACAGTAAACCCCCACCGTCAAGCCCGCGTAGCCGAGCTCCTCTCCGACTTCCGCACTTTGCAATACTACATCGCCGCAGCACCCACCTCTCCCTCGAACCCCAACGATTACTACACCGAAGGGTGGGCCGCCTTGCGCCAATGCGCTCTGGACGGCCAACACATCTTGAACTGCGCGGCGGATATCAGCATCCCGTGCGCTTCGGGGCCGGGCGGATGAACAGGCCACAAGGCCGAGTTGAAGAAAGTGCTGCTGGACTCCTTTGCGAGAAGACACGAGGCACAGAAGATTTACTTGAGGCAGGCGGCCGCGCAGAGATGGGTGGGGTGGAGGGATCAGGTTGTTGCTCAGGGAGGAGGACAAGAAGGTCTTGAGGCTATTGACGTGCAGTTGAGGATTGTGAGTACTTACTTTTGCCCCCTTTCCTAACGGCAGACATACATAAAAACAAACTACAAGGACGAGGACTGACCCCAAGACACAACAGGAACTTGCAAACATCACCGACGAAGCAGTCCTTGGCCAGCTCCATGCAAATGATATCGGTTTGGGCCGCTGGATAGACGAGGACCCGAGCCTCATGGAGGTCCATGCATGGCTTTGTTCGAGGGCACCGTGCTAAGTCACTCACTCGTCGCTATCTACCGACACGACACGATCGAGTTACCGACAACAAGACAAGGACACAATATCGCCGATATGTCCTCCCCCTCGACGGACAACGACAACCATGAACTCTGGAAAGGGGTAACAACATCGACAACACCACACCATGGTCAGTCACAAGTGACACTCTGAAAAGGGGATCACGTCACAACGAATTTGACAACCAACACTTCACTTCTCTGCTGGTCAAACAGTTTTTCTTCTGTTCTTTTGCATCTTTTGCATCACCGTTACACAAAAGGGGGTTAGAGGGGGTTTCTTCGTTCTTCTTTCTTCGTTTTGCTGGCTTTTTGTTTGTTCTGTTTTATTTCGGTCTGTTCTGATCTGTTTGATGCATGGGAAAGCATACGAAGGGGGCATAAAAAGTGGGTTTTTTATCTTTCAGCGTTTTAGCTGTTCTTTCTCGTTTCGTTCCGTTTCTCTTTTTCTCCTTCTCTTTTCCTTTTCTGTTCTGTTCTGTTTGTCTTCTTCTTCAAAAACTTGCATGTACATACTTGCTTCTCTTTTGGATTTGGGAGTTTCTTATCATAGCGTCTGGCTACGCTCGGTATTGAAGGAGGAGGCTTTGTGGCAGCGAGGATCGAAATGGGAATGGCCTGTGGTTACTGCCTGGCGCAGGGACTTATTGGGATTGCCTACATATCAGAGAGCAGAGAGAGAGTAGTGACAATGGAATACTTATCCAGTACAGACGTTTCTGTTTCTCAGATGGTGGTGACATGACTGAACCTTGACTGGTTCGAGCCCGCGGCCTTCGACCTTAGCCCTCAAGGTTCTCGTGATACCAACTGCCGTACTTACAAACGAATACGAAACTTAAGCAATTGCCGAGAAGATTACGGTTTAACAACCAGACCCTTGGCGAGACTGGGAACATGAAAGTGATGAGGGACATGTGAATAGCCCAGTACCAAGCCAGAAAAAGAAGAAAAAAAAAAAAAAAAAAAAAAAACCAGGACAGGGAAGAAAAAGGAAGACCAAGAATTCATAGCGGAAAGAAGAAGACATAGTAACGGTCTGTTGTAGCCAGTGCCTCCCTTACTGTATATCCTTAGCCTTAGACTTGGTTGTACCGACTTATATCACATCTCCAAGGTAGTCATCTCCATGACATTCGACACGGCGAAGGAGAACTGAACACTCGAGGAGAGCAGAGCTACAGATATTGGATATTCTTTGATCTAACATCATCAACCATTCTTGTGACTTTACAAAGGATGAGAGGTATCCAAACTAAGTAGTTATCCAACCCGGAGAGTCCCTGAACGCCCCGGCGCTTAAACACTTTGCTTGCTCTGGACACAAAGCGCGATGCCGCCCAAACAAAGAAACATTCCCAGCATGGTATCTATTCGCCTCCGTTAGCATATTCCTCTCTTCTCGTGGCTTCTAGAACCGTAGGAAAGGAGGTAGAAAAAAAGGAGTAGGTAAGGTACTCACCACGACTAATAACCTTCCCCTCAACATACCACTCGCCGATAACCGTGAACAGGAAAGCCGTCGTGTTAACAATCGGCACGGTCAAGCTCAACTCTGTTTTTTTTTTGGTTCCCTTTGTTAGCACATTGCCCTTTTCCCTTTTCCTTCCCCCCTCCAGAAAACGGAATATGTACGTACCGCTCCCACCAACCAGCAAAAAGAACCACAAACTCCCACTCAAATTAATTCCTAGCGGGACACTATACCGCCAATTCCTCACCAAGTCCGTCACCGCGAACCAAGCCCCCAGTGTCTTCCTCTTGACTGCGCTTCTCTTTACCGATTCCCTTTCCAGAAGGGGATGGGAAGGGGGGTTATGCGCCTTGGCGGCTCGCCGGAGGAAGGGTGTCGTGAAACCCCAGGCTAGTCCGACGAGGAGGAAGGAGAGGATGTAATTCAGCAGGGGAGGTTTGCCTGCTGGTGTGCCGGGGGAAGGGATGGGGGTAGGGGTAACCATGGTGGATTTGGTGGGTTGGTGAATTAAGTGATGGTGACGATAGTTGCAGTGGTGTTTGGTAAGCAGCTAGCTGTGTTAGTTAGTACCGACGTGCTGTGCTGGGATGTCGATGTTGATGTGGAGTGTGTCTGCTGGGATATGGAAGTGAAGTGATTCGCGTCCAAGTCTTTCCTCTCGTACAGTAGATAGGCTCGTGGTCGTCGTGGAGTCAAGTGTATGGGTGGGTTCCGTCTTTGCGGCTCTGCTCTTCGACAGTTCGACGGCCCTCTGCGGTCGGTGGATCAGAACGGACCGGTGATGGATCACGAGATACTATCCAAATTTGCTCGGGTTGAGCAGGAGTTGTTTCAGTTTGAGGCGGGCGGGGGGGGGGGGGGGGAGGAATGTTCCAATCGGGAAAATGGCCAAAAAGATTGCAAAAAAAGACGGAATGTGCCGGTGGTTTCCGGGACACACGTTGCAGTTCGTGGTGGGTAAGGTAAAGATACAGTAAGTAATGTAGGTAGGTAAGGTGACTTGCTGAAACTTTCGAAAAGCAGACGGCAGACGGCGGACGAATGGGGGTGAGGTGAGGTGATGTTGTAAGCGCGCCGAATACAAGTGACCAGAACAAGCTTGCGTATGAACGTAATTCTCCCGTAATGCCAATGGGCGTCTCGTCGGGCGAAGCCTGTTCTTTCTGGTAGCCACCGCCGTTAAAGGGTCCCAGCGGATGTATGGATGTAGTGCAAAGTGGATTTCTTTGCTTTGCTGCTGACAACGGCTCGCGAGGCAACGAAGAAAAAGGTCGGTACCGGCCGGGAAGGGTCCAGGGAGAAGTTTGACAGGAGGCTTTGGTCCTGGTTCAGGGGTCTTCTCAAGAAGCTCGCTCGCCCGCACAGTGTCTGTCTTGTTTGTCCCTCAGGAAGTTTTCTGCACCACCAAAAGTATCTTTCTGCTTTTGGTATTCGGACCGCGGTCTAGACGTACCAGGTATGCTCCCGAGAATCGGACGAGGTCAGATTTTGTTTCCGAGAAGTAACCGCACCACCCAGATAAGATGAATCCAGACCCTTTTTGCTTGCGGAAAAAGACTTAGCCAATGGAGGCCTCAGTGTCATGAACTTCCTGAGCCTCAGAGCAAAAGTCTTTTTTCTGTCGACGGCTTCACCGACGGACCCGGCCGAGTGCGGAGATGCTAGATAACCGTGGAGGATACTGTAGTTGAAAAATTGCCAGAGAGCAGGCGGGGGCACCGCAGCGGGGACCAAAAGGCGTCGGCTTCCTGGCTTCCCACGACGTTTCGGAGGAGGGCCACGCGGAGTGGAGATGTTGAGGTCGCCGTAACACGGAAATCTCCGTGGTCACCACCACACGACTTAAAGGCCGCTGGAAATCTGCGAAGCAAAAGACAACGGAAAGCTATCAAGCCGTTGAAAGCCGGTTCAAAGGAGTCGAATGGAGAGTGAGGGCGGAGTCAACCGACAGTCCAAAAAGTTTTTTTTTTCACTTTCTTTTTCTTTCCGAGACAAGGCCAGTGTCTTCGGTGTCTTTTGTTTTGCTTGCTTGCTTGCTTGTCGCCGGTGTAAGCGGATCCGTGGAATGGAGCTATAGACTAGAAAGTGTGAGCAAGTTGTTCAATTGTCAAAGTGGTACGAGATGTACATACACAGGTCCAAAGTAAACAAACCCCTGCTACTAGTCTTGCAGGCGGCTGAGGTCTCAAGAGTGAGGCTGAGGGCTGTGAGATGAAGATCCGGGAATGGGATCTGGAGATGATGGAGATGGCAGATATGCAAGAAAATGCTCCAGATTCAGCTGAACATGGAAAAGGTCACAAAAAGGTCCAAGAGATCTACATTCAGCCGTTTCTCAGCCCTGCCCGGTTTTTTGAAATCGATAAGTCCAGGTCGGCCGCCAACGTTGAATGTCGTTGATCGGGAGGAGCTCCTGAAACGCCAATTCGCATATCACCATGGGCACGGGCTTCAGTTGTCAACAAAGTGTGAGTTGGTAACAAACGCTACTGTGTGGAGCTGTGAGGCTGGTGGGTACAGTGAGGGTTACAGTGCAGTGGACTTCGGGATCGCCTTGCCGTCCGTTATCGATGGCAGCTACAGTGTAAGTTGTGGATTTGAAATTGTGGCTGAGGCTCTTTTTTGTGGATCCGCAGGTCTGATCTCATCGCGACAATTCATCCTTAGTTTGTTTACTTCACGACTCCATCATCTTCGACCACATCGCTGACTGGCATCTTGAACTTTTCACTAACCGCGGGAAACCTTTCCACTTGTCCGAGGATCTTCCCCAGATAAAACTACTCATAGCATCTCCGACGATCTCTTGAACGTTGTTCAACGGCCGAGTGTCTCTTGTTCTCTCACAAGGCGAGGCGGTGAACTAGCTGGGTGATGCCATCGCCGTTAATTCCATCGGAAAAGACCCTCAACTCTCTCCCCAGCTCCAAAACCCTTACTTCGCAAGCCACTGCTATCGGCGAAAATCCCTTGTTTGAGAGCAATCCAAGGAACTAGCTGCCTCTTTGAGCTGTTCAGCGAATCAAGCGAAGCCAACCTTACCGCGTTCATGTTCGATGCTTCTGAATCGGCCGAAGGAGTCAGACCCTGGATTTGAGCCTCATGCCCTGCAGCCGCATCTTTCTTCCATGAATGTCTGTACAGGTAGGTCGAGATCTTCAGATACCACCGGGCTGCCTCAGCCGCCCGGACGAGACGGTGCGAGTTTCAGGACTCGATGAAGCCCGCCGATACAGGTGAAGAAGAATGTAGACAGACGAAGAACGACTGTGGGAGCTATACATATTGGCAATCAAGGAAAACATATGTCAGTTTACCCCCTCTTGTTAATCGCAATTCCTTTCCACAAACTTTCAGCGAGCTGTGTGTCTTTTTTGAGAGTAAGACACCTCTCACAAGTTTGGCCCATCAGACTGATACCTATGGGAGTCGACTCTTGGCGGTTCGGACGACTCTCACAGCTATCAGTCTGCTTATGATAACACCCATTATTCTAAGGCACCCGGTTGCATCCCAAGAGCACTTCCGGCCAAAGTCACACATGGCAGATCAATTCTAGGGCGGTCTTTCTGAATGAGCGTTTCTCTCAGCCGTTATGCCCCCACGACTAAAAAGTCCCGAAAGGTGTTGGCTCATCCTTGCTGCACATCCGTTCGGGTAAACAAGTGGGTGGGAACCGGGGACGGCAGCAAACACCTTTGCCTCTTGTGCTGATCATCGGTTTCGTTTGGCTATCTGGCTGAGTTGATTGACTCCTGATGTATACCGAGTCTTGAGGCCATTCCCAAAGTCTGACTGTCCGGGTAGCAATGCCGATGTTAAGAGGTCCGTCCAAGCTACAATTCAGTATTTGCAATGTGACGTCGTCAAGGCCAGGGGCCCGGCCACGGGTGATCTCAGGACAGCGGGGCTACAAGGCCCCCCAGGCTAGCAAGGCGCCTCGCTTCAGCATCAATGGCATGCGAGTTCCGCGGTTTCGGCTGAGCCCAAGGTGCCAATTGATCCAATATGCCAGGGCATCGCCAGGGCAGGGCATTGGCGAGGGCGGTTGACAAGCCGAAAAGCGGGGAGTGCCTTGCTCGGACAATTGACGGCGTCAAACCTCGGATGAAGACGTTCAGCTAAGGACAGCTCGCCAAGCTCGCCAAGCTCTCGAACTTAACTGAAGTAAATATGTTGGAATTGGGAGCAAGAATGGGAAAATTACCTGGATGGGAACATAGAAAGAGGAATGTCTCAGGAATGAATATGATGCAAGAAGAGGAACAACTGGAACGGGGTTCTGGAAGGTCTTCAGAGCTAGCAACAAGGCAGCCACTTATAAGCTCCCTATTCGGCGCGTTATCATCAAAGCGACAAGTCTCACGTCAGCCTAGGCGTTCCTGTCAGGTACAGCCCGCCACATCCACTTGGCACTCGTTCACCACACCATCTTTGTTGTCGTCGCCAGGGGTAGCCAGTAGCAGACGTTGGATGAGATTGACAAGTTGATGCGTATGTAAGTCATGGTTCGTGGTGATGGATGGTCGAAGTCCTGAAGAAAAGGCCTGGCTATCGAACGAAATGGATGTGATGGTAGATATTGAGACGTAACTAGGTTGACAAGGTGGGATGATGATCTCGGGAAGCGGGATGCAATGACACTTTGTTGACACTTTATCCCTTCGCTTCTTCCATTTGTGTTGTTCACAATTCGGAACGCGATGCTGTGGTCGCATGTCCGTTTCCGGATGCCAGCCACCCAAAAAAGCCAACGCTAGAATCTGAAACCAAGGCCTGTAAAGCAGGGACAGCTTCAGTGACTGGTTAATTGTTAAGAGGGAGAACAACCAAGAGATCCACCAACCACCGCATAGTATGTAAGCATGAGCTGCCTTCGTTTCGTGCTTCGAGATCTCTCCCGGAAGATGATACCTATCTCTTGACAGAGTAACAATCGACTGCACCGCAACACTGCACAAGGTTGAAACCGGGAATCATCTCTCGAACTACAAGGCGGTCGGGGATTTTTAGTGTTTATGCACTACAAGATAGTGGAGCCTCTTCCGTTGTTCCCAAAAGCGGACGGCGGTCGAGGACAGGGACCCACTGTTTTGCTGGTCTGGGCTTACATCCCGCTGCGGATCTCTGCTGCCGCTGCTGCGTCTGTTTACGCCCGCTTTCCTGTTCCTCTCTTTCCAATTCTCGTCTTTTTGAGCTCCTCCAACCAGTCGTCTTCTTTCCCTTCCTTCTTCAGAACCAAACTCCCTCGACCGACTATCTGCACGCATCTGGAATCGCGCAACTCTACCTATCTCTCTGGGGCCTGGCTGCTTTCTTCTTCACCTCTTTTGACCTCTTTATGCTATCCTAGACTAGACGTGGGTTGTTGTTGGTTGGTGTCTTGGCCAAGGCAGTGCCCGTCGTCCCCTCGTCGTCTTTCTCAAAACAAGTTTGAAGCCCACGTCCTGACTGACTGACTAACGTTCAACTCGGTCTCTTCTTTCTGATTTTCTACTCTTTTCTCTCTTCCATTCTTTTGGTTCGTCCAACTGCCTATACACATTGCGCCGCCCTTCAATCACCATCACACTGGCACCAACGATCGCTAGATTACCTATCATCCCTCACTGTGACGCAAGGGAGAAAGAAGGAAGCCCAGCTACCTAGTAAGCTTGTACAGCAACAACGAGAAACCAAAAGACCCGCGGCGCCAACCAACAAAAACCACACAAAGAAAGAAAGCTTTCCGAGTAAACATTCCAACATATTCCTGCCGACGTATATGATCAGTCTATGAGACAGCCTTCCTGTCGGTGACTGCAACCACACCACCCAAATCACCACCACAAACGCCGACAAGATGCCTACCAAAGTACAAGAGTCGTTTGTCATCCCCGGCGGCGCCATATACTCCGATCTCCCCGACGGCCCTGAGATAGGTACTCTCGTCCTGGTGGTGGATCGCGCAAAGAACCTGCCCAACCTCAAGACCATTGGCAAGCAGGATCCCTACTGTTCTGCACGTCTGGGAAAGGAAGCAAAGAAGACCACTACCGACATCCGAGGCGGCCAGACCCCCAGATGGTACGTTGCTGCATATGCCATGCTCTTCTCAGACACCAATCACGTCTAACACCAATCCATCATGTTACAGGGACCAGGAGCTTCGATTCATCGTCCACGATTCCCCCGATTACTACCAGCTCAAGGTATCCGTGTTCAACGACGACAAGAAAAGCGAGTTGATTGGCGAGGCATGGATCGATCTCGGAGGCGTCATCGTTCAAGGCGGCGGTCAGAGCGACGACTGGCACCAGCTACAGTCTAGAGGCAAGTATGCTGGCGAGGTCCGCATAGAACTCACCTACTACGATAACCGACCGAAACCCGAGAAAGCCCCCGTCAAGCAACGGCAACAACATTCCGTCGACCAACACATTCCCTCAGCCGTAATACCGGGTCCGGGGCCGAGAGGCGTACCCAAGCGCCGTCCCCTACCAGCACCATCTGTACAAGGCGGAGATGGGCCCTATATTCCAAATCAGTCACCCCTTCAGCAACTCGAGTACAACAACCCTCATGCCGCGCGCTACCAACAACAGCCACAGCAACAATACCGCACCCCTCCACAATACGCACAGCCTAGTCAATATGACCCCCCTTCGTTAGACGATGGCCCAAGAGGCTTTGAAGGCGACCGCCCTCCACCTCCCCCGGCTCACCGAAGTCGGAACGGCAGCAATGCCCCAGCAACAAACGGCTACCAAAACGGCTATGATCCGTCTGGAAACGGAATGCCACCTAGCATGCGGCAAGATGTCCTCAGAAACGAGGCTCATCGCCAAACAAACTCGATAGCTTATCCGGGACGTCCGCAGTACAGGGGTTATGACTCGGCTCCTGCGGCTCCTACCGGCCAACACTACTCGAACGGAGACCAGCCGGCTCCTCCACGGCATTCCTCCACATTTGACGTTAACCACGATCCCTACGATCTTCCTGATGTTCTGGTGCCCGGATCGGCTAATAGCTCGCTGCGAGGCCGGAACCGTGGACCTGAGCCGGGATACGGACAACCGAATGGGGATCAATACCGACGACCTGACCCTGGCGGTTATGGGGCGGCGTATGGTAGACACTCTGAGAGTTCCCTATCACATTACCCCGCACAAAGTGACCAGAGAAGTCAGTCGTACCAGGGTGGCTTTGAAGGCCACACTGATAGCTATCAACCACCTCCAGTGCCTGTCTCTTTGGTCCCCGGCATCGATCCTAGTATCGCCCAGGAGATCACGGAGCGTGTGTACCAAGACCAGAGCCCAAGACGATACACTCAGCCCTTAGACACGCAGGTTGGAAACAACTACCAGCAATACTCTCGCGAACGTTCCCCGGTTCCTCCATATCAACCACCTGTTCCGCAACATCCTCAGAGCAGAAGCCCTGGTGGCTACCAGGATGTGCCACAACCAACTACCCCCAACTACAACATTTCCATGAAACAACGTGCTCACTCGCCCAATCCACCAGTGCGCCGAGACCCAAGCCCATTGCCTAGCCGCAGTCCGGATCCACGCCAGCACACCATCAAGCGCAAATCCGTCAGCCCTGCCCCGCCCCCGGCTGAAGAGCGCCGTCTTTCCGGTATCCCTTTTGGTCCTGACTCCTACGACGCCCTCAATCCCACCGTTTCTTCGGATAACATCGGCCGTGCCGACTACAACAAGGCTTCTGGCAAGATCATCACTCACGATGGCAAGGAAGTCGATCCATCCGACCATCTTCCTATGGAATCCTGGGCTCCCGAACCTGAACCGAAGAAGGGCGCTACGCCGCCGAGCTCCTCCCATGGGTCACGGCCCTCCATGTCCGGCGCTCACCCAATTCCCGGACATCAAGGGACTGTTCGCTCTCGTCCGGGAACTAGTGCGGGCGGTGAGAGGCCGCGATCCATGCATGGTACTCCCCAACGTCTTTCACCGCCTGTGTCTCCCTCAGTAGCTGGCACTGTAAGCAGTAGGAATAGGTTGCAGAAGCGTACCCATAGGAATACCATCACCGCCGCTGGATCGATGGGAATGGGTCAACCCGGGTTTAACAGAAGCAGCGATAACGTCAGCTACTCCTCTTCTTCTCAACAGGATAACTTCACTCCCAGAGCCCTTTCTCGAGCATCGACCTTGAACTACTATGGCGCAGAAAATGGCAACATCTCCCCAGGGGGAGGGCCCGTATACGGCGGCCACAGCCCCAGTGCTGCTCCCCGCGGCGTTCCGCCGGTGCCGGCAAAGGTACCACTTGCACTACCCCCGACTACAGGACCTGGAAGTGGTGGAGGGCTAACCCCACGAGTGCCGCGTTGCAGTTGCATAGTAGTAGTCTCACGAGAAGGGGGACGGCGGCGATGGGAGTGGATGAGTGGGGAGGGATGAACGGTGGAGCAGTAGGAGGTGGTGGGTATGGAGGAGGGTCAGGTGGTGGAAGCTTGGAGGAGGAGTTGAGCAAGATTGATATCGGCACGGGAAGGTCGAGGAGGTTTACGGTCAAGGGACCGTCAGGGGGGCGGTTTAGGGGGTTCAATTAGGGTTGCCCCTGGCGCTGGTTGTAGATTACATAGGGAGGAGTGGTGGGAGTAGAAGGGGAAACAGTCCCTTGTCTCCGGCAGACGAGGCTGGATTGCCATCAGCAGCAGCAACAGCAGCAGCAGCACCAGCAAGGACTAAGAAGATAAAGAGAAGATGATACCCGAGTGCAACAGCATGAGAGGCATGAACAGCATCAATCAGCATAACATGAAACGAGCAGGGCCCTCGTTTGCTTTCTTCGAGGCATGCATGACCGAAAGAGACCACCGAGAGGATAGGGGAAAGCAAAAAGAGAAACATATGCATGTACACGATCAGGGAGGCACTCTATGGAATACAAGGGCTTACGGAATGGAGCGGGATCTGGGATCTGGGATCTGGTTTACCTACCTGTAAGGAACTGGAGTTGGATGGACGGGAACTTTGTACTTGCACAGTGGATATAGCATGAGCAATAGCATCAATCGAATCGAACCAAACGGCATACTCTATATCTTTTAGTGTGAGTGATTAGACTTTAGAATTACTCCTGCTTGCTGTCCTTCATCTTGTTTCTGGGGAGGAGGTCTTCTATCTATCTGTATTCTATCTTTCTACCTCCTCCTCCTCCCTAGTCCCGGTCCCGGTCACGCTACCCCTTAGCCCCTTTTTGCCCAGGCAAGACAACAGACACAGATTCTTGTAGTAGCCGTACATAAGTAGGTAGAAGGTAAAATGCGAAGGACCGGTGGTCCGGTAGTATGTAAATATGTACACAATCAGCTCAAGAGCAAAGCCTCTTTCGCCTCTTACTTCTAGGCCTCGCTAGGTCTTTAGCCGACGAGTCGGCGGGTCTGGATTGTTTCGGGTTGTTGAGCGAAGTTGGTGGTTTATAAGCTATATGTGAGTAACCCAGTAAGTTACCAAGTAGTGTAGAGTCAAGTGGCGGTTCTTGATTTATGCCGCTTCCTTTCTCCTTCTTTCGTGCGTGCACCAGGCTTTGCGGATGAGGAGGTATGAGGTGGGCTCAAGTTCACTCTTCTGCCCTTCCTTGTTGTAGTCCTCTCCCAGATTGTAAATGGGTGAGGTCAAGTTCAACTCTTGAGTTGCGCTAGGTAGGGTGTTGATAGTCAACCACCGGGGAGGTGTGCGCCGAGTTCTTCGGTGGGGGCGTGGTTGGTGGTTGATTCTGTTGCGATGCTGGCGGGAGTGTACTGGAGATTGTTGAGAGCTGTTTTGAAGGTGAGTTGGCGATAATAACACGGTTGAACAGACTGGCTAAGTAGCTGTGATTAGTTGTTAACGTGATAGCGGGACTAGAATTGGACATAGTGCCCTGTCAAAACAAGTGGAAGGATAAGAGGAAGGAATGACGGCGGAGCAGGCAACCTAAACATCAAAAGGACGCAAAAGTAGCAAAACATGATTGGAAAGCAAAGGGCGAAAGGAGTAAAAGTGCCTCAGATAGCCACCAAGCGTAATCCTCACTGCAGCCCACGACGAGATAGACTCGTGTATCTGTATGCTGAACTGGTGAGTATGTCCATATGCCTTGTGAGGGCCAGACACGCTTCCCGACGGGATTCAAGAATCAAATTTCAATATCACAATCGAACAACGGATTCAACGAACGGCAGCAATGGCCAACGACGGTCGCGATCAACGAGTGTCCAACACCAACCATCCAACCCACCAACCATCCAACCCACCAACCCGCTAACCCATTTCACCCACCCACCATCCCATCAGCCCAACTCACCTCATCTCAGCTCACCCATCCAATCCATCATATCATATCAATCCCAACCCCAATCCCATGACCAGAAATAACCAACCAAAAAGTCCAAAGACCCAAAGCAAAAGAAGCGGCACTGGAAGGGTCTGGAGAACACCCGGAAAAACAAGCCCAAGAGCAACTTGTTAAGCTTGAACCTCCATTCACACTTCTTCGCTCTAGTCTTTAACTGGGTTCGATGTCTGATCTTGGTCTTGGTGATTGATGTTGATATCGACAGATGTAGTTGGGCTGGGTTGGGCTGGGCTGGGAAGGAAGGAAGAAGTGACCGAGTGACCGGATGAGCAAGAACTGCGGGTGAGGCAGCTCAAAGCCCACCAAGCAAAAGGCGGCACTGGTGCACGTAGCTCCTCCATTCACGCTTTTTGCTTTGGTCATTGGTACTCATTGATGGGATGTGGGTGGGTGTTGACTGGTGAGTCGTGATGGAGACCGGGGGTTGGGGAGATGTTGGAGGTGTTGAGAGGGGTCAAGAGCTGTTGAGAGAGTCGTTGAGGAGTTGAAGACTTGACGAGGAGGAGGTGTCTGGCAAGGGGTTCTTACGATCCCACGAGCAGAACAACCAACCAACCAAGCCAACCAAGTTAACGAGTAGCCAACCGAGTAACCAAGTCCACAGCCCCGCAAGCGAGGAAAAAAAGGAGCGAAGAACACGAAACCAAGATTCAGAGGGGGTATCGTCATACTACGGTACGCGACACTCATGTATCCCCCCGAGCTTTGAATTCGGTGATCTTCAGTCACTTCGTTCTCTGGCTTGTGCTGCTGGAACTGTGGGAAGTGGAAGGTTACCAGCAACCGAGCAAGCAAGCAAGCAACCAGCAACCTACCAGCCCACTCAGTAAGTTCACAAGCGCATTGGAGTGGATTAAGCGGAAGAAAAAGGGTCATCGGTCGACCGACGGTAGCTGTTCAGTAAACTGTACAGGCAGGCATCGGCGCCTAGCTCCTTTCTTCTGTTACTTCGAACTCTTTTTCGCTCGGCCTGCTGGGATGGATGGATGGGTCGGTTACTGCTGTTTGGTTTGACTCGACTATTGACTTCTGACTCTTGACTCTTGACTTACTCTCGACGACCTCGACGGCCTCCTCAACCTGCTTCTTCTTCTGTTTGACCGCTTTGGACCAGTGACAGAAGGGTTGAAGCGGCTTTGGAGACTCCATTTCCTTTCCCACGTGTTGAGTCCTTCGCTATTTGACCATTAACCGTTGACCGTTCGTTCGTTGATAGAGTTGATAAGTTGATCCCTCCGTCGGGTCATCTCGGAATCGAACTCGCCACCTCTACTAACCGCCAGGCACTGCTTTGATGGAAGAGACATCGCGTGAGCGTCAGCCGCATCACCTTAGCTGCTGGTGGTGCTGGTAAAAGTGGTGGTTCGAGTCGAGATGAAGTGGCTTCTTGGTGATTTTCATCATTGGCTTTTGATTTGGAAGAAAAGAGAAAAAAAAGAAAAGAAAAATAAAGAAAAAGAGAGCAAAGAGATGAGAAGCACAACACGCACGAAAAGGGGAAGGAGAAATGGAAAGATGAAGGAAGATAGAAAGATGGAAATGACTGAAAGGAAAGGGGAAGAAGACGGAAAGAAATGAAGAGAGAAAGAGAAAGAGAAGAAGAGGAGAAGAAAAGGAAGGAAAACAGGGAAAGAAAAGAATAAGAAAGGGGGCAGTCCAGTAGAGGGAGTGGCCAGTGGGATTGTATATTTCCAGCTAACTGGGATGTGTAGGACCGCTGCGTTTGTCCCAGTGCCGTGTGTCTGTGGTTGAAGTTGGGTTTGGGCCTGGCTCCAGATCCGGCTTGCCACTGGGGGCTGAGGACGAGGGTATTTTCGATTTCTCATATGGGTGTAGGGGTTGGATCCGGCTGTCCAGACGGGATAGGGATACGGGCCAGGATCGGTGTCAAGATCTCCGTGGGGAGGGAGGAAGGGCACGACTGGGTGCGATGTTAGGCAAGGGGAGGTATATCCATAGGAACGTTGTTCCTTCCTTCCGTGTGTGTATCCATTCTCGGGGTTTGTACCGGCCGGCCGGTGCCCCGGTGTTGATGAAGGTGCGGAAGAAATGGTGGCCAGCCAGGTGCGGGTGCGGGCAATAGATAGATAGTCGATTGGCCATCAGCGGATGGATGCTAGTTGAACTGTTCAAGAAGACCGGTCGGTCTGTCGGTCGGGAGGAAACATGGAAAAACATTCCGGCTGATATATGCTGGATCACAAAGGGAATCAAGGAAGGGCATGAGCTCTGTCGGGCAAGTGAAAGGGAAATTCAGGGTGCTACTGGTCAGCCAGCGCCAGCGCCAGCGACGTGCAAGAGGAAGAATAAGAGGGACTCTGTATTGTTGAGATTATGATATTCATGAAGCCCAGTGTTGGGAAAAAAGAGTCGCGGTTTGGAAGAGGAAAGCAAACAAATGAACTGCTAGGATATGGTTGGTGGTGGCTGGCCCGACGACGAGCAAAGTTGTAGACCGGCGGCCGTGGTGGCTGGAAGGACAACGCAGGGCAGGTAGGCATTGGTAACGGAGAAACTGAAGGGAAGAATGGAAGCGAAAGAGAAAGTGGAGAGAAAAAGTACGCAAACAAGTTTGCGGATGGCTCGGTAATCCTTCTTCATGGACGGGAGTCTGGCTGGTCAAATCTCGGTATGCGGGATTGGGGTAGACGAGGTCGAGAAGGCGGGGATCCCGGGGCGGGAATGTAGACGGAGAGGATAAGAGAGACGGAGAGGATAAGAGAGACGGAGAGGATAAGAGAGACGGAGAGGATAAGAGAGACGGAGAGAAAGAGATCCACTGTAGCGTCAATATATTAAGTGGTGACACTGTGAGAGGGATATCGAGCGGGTGTCAATGGTGTCAATGGTACTAGTAGTTAGTAGTGATAGTAGTGCGAGTAGTTAGTAGTGACAGTAGTGCGAGTAGTTAGTAGTGACAGTAGTGCGAGTAGTGCTCGTGGTGTTAGTGGTGGTGGTGGTTTCGGTGACGAAGTGTTGGTGTGTTGGGGCCGTGTGTGGTGGTGTGATGATGGTGATGATAATGTCAATGGTGATGGAGGTGTCGATGGTGCCAGTGTGATAACGGTGCTGATGGAGTTGGTAAGCTGGTGTGCCGGTATGCTATGTGTTGACATTTTGATTGTGTGGATATATCAATTGGTGTCGTGATGGGGTCGATACTGTTGATGGTGTTGAAGTGTTTGTGTGTGATTCATTTGCTGAGAAGAGTGGAGGAGGAGGAAACGAGTTCGAGACTCTGGGAGGAGCAGACCTTTTATCACCCCAGCCCCTCCAAGCGAGACGAATATTGTTCCCGGACGAGAAGGCCACATTTTCTGATTCCCAATCTCCAACACGCACAGCGGGGAAAAAAAAACAAGAAATGCACATGAAGCCAGGCATTGACGCGGATCGGATGCTGTTTGCATGAACTCGGTTCTGCCCAAAGCCGCAAGACTGCTCGAATTTCCGGATACCAGGCACAAGAACCGGGAACGACCCAACCTTGGTGTTCGTTCGGGCAGCAGTGGAAAGCTGGGAAATCTCAACGCATGTTTAAAAGGTCGTAAGTGATTTCCCGTCATTCGTAAGGTTGGAAAAGGCGCTTGGTACTGTTCCGAAGAGGATTCAGTTCTCGAACGGCCGGCCCTCCGAATTTCCCGTCGCTGCTTCTGAAGTTGAGAATCTCGTGCGGGAAATTTCGAAATGGAACCGCGAGAACCTTGATGAACAACGGCCTACCTGGGTGGTGATTCGCCGGCTGCAAGCACTGCGCAATTGAAGCCAAGGAACGCTGAAATGGAAGTTGAAAATATGCGATGCAATGCAAAGGGTGCGTGTGGCGAGCAAAGCCACTGACTGAGCAGGCTGGCGGCTGGCAAGTTGCCGGATGGGGCAAGAAAAGGACAAGAACCTGAAATCGGCCGACAAAAATGGGAGACACGAGAACGAAAAAAGATGCAGAGGATGAAGGGATGGGGTATAGAGTCAGATTAATATATAAAGCGTGCAGTGGGTATTTAACGAGAGAGATCTAAAGGTGTGAGCCCAAGGTGTAAACGAAGAAAGAGAAAGAAAGGATGCAAATGCTGCCGCCGACCGACCAAGATTCCAAAACCAGAACGCCGTTGCAAACGAGGCTAAAAAGACAGAAAGACAAAAGACCGTAACTCCAACCGTGCCCAGTCCCTCAACTTTTCATCACCATCAACCATGTTTCCCTATCCTCTACCCCTCAAGCAACAATCTACCATGGTTTACTGCTCATAAAACCAATAGAAAGTCGTATACGGCACACTCTGCACCTGTACTCCCCCCGTCTCCTTAGCAGACACAGCAGCACTGTCACAAGCCTCAGGATTTCCGCCAGCCGTCAAAACCCTATAAACCAAATTGACCCCCTTGCTCATCCCCTTGCCCGTATCTGCCAGCGTCAACCAGGCCACCGCCCCCGTGTTTAGCACCCCCTTATCAGCATCCTTCGGCGCCGCGACGTTCCCCGTCTTCATGACAACAGCTTTCATCCCGGAGACATCAAGATCAAACGTCGGGGTGCCAACCGTATCAAAAAAATGGTGACCGGCGTATTTGAGCGAGGGATAGTTGGCTAGGCCCTTGAGGTCGTTGTGCGCTGGAAAGGGGGCCGAAGTGTCGGCGGAGTACGAAGAGTTTGAAGGCCGGTTTAGCGGGACGGGACGGTCCCAGAGGAGAGCATGTGGGAGGGCGTTGAAGGCTTCTGAGGAGAGAGCGGACTTGGAGAGACCGGGGTAGAGAGTGGTTACGTCGTAGAGGACGGCGAGAGCGCCGGTTGCGGAGGGCGTGGCGTCGGGAGCGCTGCAGGTGTAGTTTTGGATGCCGTGACCGATGACGATTTTCTTGAGGCGGGCGGTGGGAGAGGGGGCTACTAGTTCGTCACCTGGAAGGAGTGTGTTAGCATTGGATGGCTGCAAGTGCGTGAATGTTAATGGGTTGGGTTGGGCTGGGAGCTAACCTCCTGTGGTAGGAAGAGTTGGTGTTAGGGACTTGCAAGGGCCCTTGGTGGGAGCAGCGTATGCTGTTATTGTTGTGAAGGCAGCAAGGAGAAGGCTCTTTGTGGAAACCATTGTGGCTGATGTGTATGAGGATGAAGAGAACTCGAGGAAGTCGTGAGTGGAAGTGATCGTCGAGTGTTGAGAACTTCTGATGATGGACGGACGAAGCGAAGTATTAAAGCTTCTAGAAGATCTGACCAGAGGGGTTAAGGGTTGAGTAAGAAGACGGCGTAGACAAGACAAGACTAAGACCGATGATCATGACTCCAAAAAGTTTTGGGATAAAAACGGCAGGACTTCCAAAGTATATATGGTAGCCCAGCGAGGCAGAGTAAAGGAATGTCTGAGTGGGTGAGGTGGTGTGGGCCGGGGCCGGATCTTAGGCCATCATTGACCGGGGGTCAGAACGTGGCTGTCAACACTAGTCTAAGCACGGCCGTTTGTCCGCTGACCTGGGCAAGGGCGAGGTCCAGGGTCAGTGACCGGGGCAGAAAAGATACTGTAGAAAAGCAAACACATCTTGTTCTAAGCGATATGCAGAACCGGTTGGATGGGTCTGAAGGGGCTCTGACAGTGTTCTGTTTTGTCTTTCTGCAGGAGGAGAACAACCGTGTAAGAGAACACGAAGCTCTTTTGCACTGGCAACAAAGGTATCGTGATGATCCGGGGACAGATGGAGGAGGAGAACAGGCAAACGAGGCCCATGCTCATATCTCATGTCCCATGTAGTAGTATTGATACCATGCTAGGTGGCATAGGTAGGGGAGATGGATAAGACAACCAGACAGACAGAAGAGGAAGGCAATTTTGGGAGACGCTCGCTCGCCGTCTAGAATAAGCGGCCGTCGTTTATGAGTTCGGATGAAGGATGATGGAAGGTATCGGTCGCAAAAGTGTACGTCCCCAACAATCTCGAGGACTTGCTCTTTTTCGCCCAGGGAATGCCCAGAGAATTGCGTCTAAAAAGTCCGCAAGGGTGCATCTCATCCCACAGTAACCACCACCCTGGCTTCCTGGCAACCCTTCCAAGACTTTACACGCCGTAGAGGTACACTTGTATTATGCATCCCAGGATGAGGCTTCAATATTGCAACCTATAGCTCCCACGGCTGGCATGGCTGGCATGGCACCACAAGCGACATCAAGGACTTGCACAAGGCCACAAGGCGTCTCTCTCCGGCAAGTATCCGCCATTGGACGAAAACGGGTGCAATAGTTCATTGTTGATATTTCGACGCGATGGTGCCGGTGGCCGTGTTCCTCAGTGCCCGCTGCTGTGTTTCTGTTGATTGTTTCGGTGGAGGGAAAATGCCTTGGCTGTGTGTCCAAGGGCCAGTGGGAGTAGATAGCGCTTGGCCTGTTCAATGGGCCTCGTTAGGTAAGGTAGTGTAAGTGTCAAGTTATTCTGAACGCATTAACGAGATGAGGAGGGATTGTTGACGGGCGCCAAACTCGGCGGGCAAAATGTCGACCTTCAAAAGTGAGAAAACATGGGCAACTTTGCCGGTTCCCTTGGGCTGCTTGCTTGTCGACACATCATCAGAGTGAATCCCGAGACTGCAGCGTGATTCTCTGGCGAGACCTGCGGGCGCCGAGGCAATGACCCGAGACATGTCTTTGACGACCGACGGCTGGGACGGCCGGACGGCAGACGGGTCGCTGGGAATATTGACACCGTGGTGAAGGCCAGAAACGAAGGTGGCGACAGCCTTGAGGCGGCAATCAATTGAGCTGGCAGAGTTTTCTTGGTGTATTGTAGTGGGCAAAAAAGAAGCAAGCAAGTGGAAGCAAAGCGGAAGTCGGAACGGTGAAAGGATGGAAAGTCACATTCGCTTGACATTTGGTGGAAGGAGGACTTGACGTTGTCGGAGCTCGGGGTCGCTGCTTGTCCACTTTTCGGTTTCCGCCCAGCTCCACCAAGCCGATGCGCGGCTAACTCATCAAACTTGGCAGACTTTGTACTTCTCTGATTGGTGAATCATATGCAAAAGGAAATCATTAGGCCTGTTTGGGATTAGCCCGATCTGCACCCGCTTAAGGCACTCGATTTAGCCCAGGAAACCCCCGCCCAGCGTCGTGTCCACCATTGACGGCGCATCTGTTCTTTCCCACCCTCGTCTTCCTCTCGATTTGGGTATTTTTGGCACTCTCACGGAAGAGAACGGCAACATGCTTCAAAAGTCCGGCGAGGGCCCGATGTTGTGGTTGCACGCAATCTTGGCTCGCTTGGCCCGTCGTCCTCTGTGACTCTGTCGGTTGCTTGTGCTTCCGTCTGTGGGCGCATTGCGGAGGCGGGCGGGACGAGGGACGGGTTGTTGTCCTCACCACCACAACATCATCGTCAAAACACAAAGGGACAATTCAAGATTGCAATGAAGATAGCAACATTGCATGGCGAGACGAAGTCAACGGCGAGAAAACAAGTCGGTCGATTGAAACTGGCCAATATTGTTAGGGCTGTTTCGTTTCCTCGCTTCTGCACGTTCTTCACGCCCCTGCGTTGAGTGCACGTTGCCGGCTGTCACTTCCGGCAAGGGTTCAACTTGCGCGGACTCGGATGGCGGATGGACATCAGGGTTTTTTTCCTCACCGAGCCAACACACTTGACCGTTCCCAGGCAACAAGATTGCTGATCTCTAGCTATCAAGGCCGAGAACGTCGTTTTCTTTCTCCCTTTTTTCCCTTGCCAGTTCGTTGCAGGATTTATTTCCCGTGATTGCTTGCTTGCCATGCTTGCTTGCGCTCGGCCATCTCCTTGTTCTCTCCCTGTCAGGCAACTCTCACAGTGAGAGACAAGGGACGGAAATCGCTTTCCAGGCTGTCGGAGTCCATCCCGGAAAACTGTTTGAGACAAACTCAGTTGCTTTTCCATTGTCTTCCCTTGTCTGACGGAAGGCCATCCGGAGTTCATCACAAACGTCCCAGGAGCACGACATGCTCGATTGCCCAGACATCACAGCTTCAACCGATCTTCGCGAAACTGACGGAATGACACCTCTTGGCTCTCCCCAGCCAGATCGCGTTTCAGCACCTGGAGCACGGTAGCATCACTAAAAACCCCGCATTTCGGGCTGCCAAGACTTGACGATAGCAAGAACGATGACATCGCCGAAGGGCATCAACACTCGATAGGCTGGATGGCGTCGCTGACTATATTACTCGGCTATTTTCGAGTAAACTGTTACTATAGGAAACCGTAGTTCGACGGCGCAGCGAATTTTACCCAAGAAGATGGAGGCTCTCGAAATAGGCCCCCATCCCACCATCACCAAACCGAACCCAAAAAGCCCATCTGACATACCGACAGAGTATTTTTGTAGCGCAACAGATTTGAACATGATAGGTCAATTGGCCCAATATTATCTTGATGGTGTTCAATAAACAAGATGCATCTGAATTATAGATTGTTGGTGATCTTTCTGGAGCTCGGTGTCTGATCATCGGTATCATCACAGTACGTTGGGTCGGTCCCAACCCCGGTCAGCACACGAGTAACAGCTTCGTTACCAAACAGTAAGAAATAGATTAACACGTCCAAGCGGTACAACATTCCCCGCGAGATTTTGAAACCGTCGTCATATTTCCACGATGCCCTACGGGAAATATTTCTACTGAATAGTTTCAAAATTCCTTGCCGATAGTCACCTTCTCTTTCGGTCATGTCATTCAAGGTGAAGATACCTGCCAACCTGGAATGAAAATCCCACGAAGCCAACAATGCTTGTCAGATTTAGAACCAAGATTCGACCATGACATTGTCATCCTCATCGCAAAGCCACACGGGACCTCTTACCACCAATCCCACCTCATCCCACGAAACTCTTTTGAGTTCTCTCGGCATTCAAAAGGACCCAACACGTAACACGGCAGTAAGCTGGCGTGAGAAAAAAGCATCCATCAACAGAAGGTCACTCTCCCTCCATCCTTCTACGCCCCAAGCCTACGTTGCATCTTCAACCCTACGAGCCTACCCACACTTGAGCGCATATCTCCGGATGTCCAAAATTCCGTAAAATGCGATGCATCGCTTCGGACTTTCTGTCCCTAGTGACCAATGTCCTTTTGAATTTCTTTATTGTGGAGCTATGCTATCGGTGCTGCGTTCCAACGGCACGGGGTGGATTTCACGAGACCCTTGGAAACACCGAGCGAGGATGGGACGCACGAACGGTTTGCCGAGAACCGGCGTCCGATGGGATGCCTTCGGCCTGGGAGGATGCCGAAAGTTAACCAGATGCCCAATTTTTGATGGATTAAGCAGGTCGTCACCCCGCACTCGAGGCATCTCCTATTGTTCAGAGAAACTAGAATATTCGATAATCCCCAGCCAAAGTCCAAGAGAACCTTGCACCGCCCAAGTGCCCAAGCTAACCCAACTGTTGATTATTTGGGCTAGAAGTCACTAGACAACCCAGTCGTCTTCCATGATTTCTACCGCATGACAATAGGAACAAATAAAACCCAGCTTTCAGCCTTGTAGGAACCAAAAAGCAAGAAAATTCGGCAGTCAACCGGCCTCCTCAACCGGCCATCAGCCATGATGGATCAGATGCAGAAGCTGCGGCGACCACAGTGCCGACCGGCATTCCCTCACTCGTTCTCTCGTCCTCGCTCAAAAAGCAGTGCAACATCAACATGCGGTTAGCACATGGGGAGCTATCAATCTTTGCCGGTTGAAGCCATTGACCGAGCGAGAATTTTGTGCATATGTACGGTCATAACTCTCAATCTTCAAAGGCCGGGATTCCAATATTCCCAAGACATGAAGACCGGGCTCGTCTCCGCTTCGCTTGCTCCGCACCGCGTCTCTCTGCGTCTGTATGTGACGCCAAAAGCGCCATGCAGCACGTCTCCGCTGATGGCGTAAGCGTAGCCAATGGAAAAAATTTGAAATGCAGCTTCAGCGCTTATACGCGCATAAGTGGGGAAACTAATGTGGTGTTGGTGCAGCTTGTGGAGCACGAAATAATTGCGATTTGCGAAAATGAAAATGCAACTTCATTCGGGGTTGACGCTAATGTAATTCTTCTTTCTTTCTTTTGGGACGGAAACTTCGAGATACCATCTTTTCCCCGCTCTTCGGTAACTTTTCACTCTGTCAATAAATTGATAATTCATGTCGTCAATCAACTGAATACTACCAGACGTGCAAGTCTGGATCACAGGCAGGCTCCCGCTCGCTTTGAGCACTTCTTCCCACAACCGGTCGAGAACACAGTCCTCCAGGTCGCGTTTACCACCCGGCCCAACATTCACATTACCAGCACGTTATCAACAACGTTTCCTCGCTTAGCTCGCTTACAAGCAACGCGAGAAATGGAATGCAGTATTACCTGCGTCTAATAGTCCAACAGAACGTGGTTGCATCTCTACTCGCTTCCCATTCTTCGTGCAATCTTCTATGCTCCTCTGCGGCGTCGAAAGAAGCCAAGGAAGAAGTGGATTGGATGGTTGCCGCGAGAATCGACCCGTGTGGTGTTTACTCCCTGGTTTGATACTGCTCGAGAAGAAGTTGGAAAACCGAACTGAGAAAAGGCGAGTTGCAACCTTCTTCGGGAGTTTGGAGTGCCGATTAGCCGTGTCGCTTGATGGCTTCCTCTTTTGGGGTTGCGAAATTCCAATAGTCAAGACAGTTTATGAAGGAACGGCGAGTAAGAGAGACTGTGCCGTTCAGTTGCGGTGCCAGTGATGGCTGATGGCTGATGGCGCTGACAAAGCGCAATGTGTTGCATTCACATGAGTGAGTTGTGGAGGGTAACTGCTTTGCATCTTCGGTATGCAGGCTGTTATCGATGTGGAAGGGGGAAAAGACTCATGACGGGATGCTTCCTTTGTTGATACCTACCAAAGAAGGGACCATCCATGCTATTGACTTGTCATTTCAGAACGGCCGAAGCCTTGTTGACTAACATGCGGTGGGCGCGCTTGATCATTTCCCAACACCATGTCAGAAGCAGCGACCCCGCTCGTTACCCACCACCCGTTGTTCATCATCACCACTTCTAGAGGCTTTCTGGATGAGCCTGACTTGTCGGGGAAGATCCGAGGGTGTGGAAGCGATGCGCTTGTCTCGCGTGCATCGCTTGCTGGACAAACAAGACCTGCAGGAAACAACAAGGTCTGACAAACCGTGGATGGCATCTGTCGGTAGCGAGGCTTTGTGGAAGTTGAACAGCTCAAATGGCTCGCTTCTAACCCGGTGTGGACATCATAACGGTTGAGCATAGGCATTCACATGTGTCGATAGTGGCATCATGTGGCATCATGTACCGGTTGTAACTGGTACTCGGAGTACAATCGCCACTTCGGAGGTAGAAGGCTGTGTCATGGATCTGGATGTGGTCTCCTACTTTCCGTCCTGCTGTCATTCCCACAGTTTGGTGTGGTTGACATAAACGGAACATCGCATCCGGGCGTGATGTCAAAGAGACGGGGGTGAAAGTGAGTGGCCCCTCCCAAGGTCCGATGTCCTCCCTTTCCCGAACTTCCGGTCCTGGCCATCTCTGTACGAGGCAGGGAAGCTGGCAACAAAGGGAAGGAAGCAAACATCTGCCAGGAGAGTATCGAACATTTGAAGATCACGACGATCGCGGAACCTTTCTTGAGTTCTTTAACGGCAAGTCAGCTTTGAGAGCGTCCGGTTCGTTCCAGCCTGTTTCCCAACCCCGGCTGGAAGATGGCCTGTCTGCCTTGGCGACAGTTTGGTGATGGCTGAATTCTTCCTTCTTTCCATAACTGGGACCGACATCCGGCCAGGTGTAGGAGGAGCAGACTGGATCAGACCTGATGGCCCGGATTTTGGGTCGGAATGTAAGAGCACATAGCGATGAGTGTACCTCAGGCTGGTGTTGGCGGTGTATGGCCACTTCTTCGTGGCCTGCTTCTTGTCGTTTCACTGGATGTGCATTCTTTCTGTTCAGGTCCCGGTGGCAACACGATTGACAAGAAGGAATGGCCAATTGACCTAGTTTCTTTCAACACTGCACTTGCAAGTGCAAGCAAGCATGGCAACCATGGTCGTCTCTGAATGCCGAGAGGAGAAGAACAGTCCTCAGCAAGGCGAGTTGCGATGAGCCGACTCATAGCCACCGGCCTGCCACTGCCTTATTGCAATTTGGCTTTGAGGCCGCAAAAAAACACAGCTGAACGAGGAAACATCAAGGCGGAATCCAAAGTGGAAACTACGACCTGCAGTGTAAAAACAACAGTGGCCGAGTGGAGAGCTTCACGGCGCTCTTTCCTTCTACAGATGCGAGTTCCTTTAGAGTTCCTTCTTACCTGCACCCGCAGAGGCAGCGAGTGTCTCGGACCCGAAAAGGTCCACTGTTAGAAATGGAAGGAACAACCTTCGCTTGACAGATCGCCGAAGATTTTGCTGGGAAGTCCGGAATCTGCTGTAGATACACAAGGGTGGCGATATCGATGTTCAGTTTTCGGCTCATTTTGTCAAATGCCCTCCTTCACGAGCAAGCGCCAAGTAGGCTCTCAAGGGGAACAAGGCCTTCGAGACACTCCTGACATTCTTGCTTCCGTTGGTGAAATTTTCATTTCTGAGTCAAGCGTGCTGTATTGACTCCCGTTGCTTCCCAACTGTAAAGCTCAACAACGCCTGCGCTCCGTTCCTTCCTTTTCAGCCAGCACCTTATCATGAGATGCCGATCCAGGACCTTCCATCAAGATTTGGCAGGCACTCTCAAGACACTTGAGTCCAATCTGCCATTGCTTGGTGAGACGAAGCGAACAACGTCGCTGGAAGGAACAGCCACTCCCATCCTGCCATGCCAATCTCTTGTTCAGGTATCGGCAAGCGCAACTTCCACAATCTTAATCCAGATGGATGCCCGACGGGACCGGAAAAGCCCCTGAGATCAGCTTTTTTGGCCCGGGACAGAACACCAGAGCTCTGCATGTTTCCGAGAAAAGATCCAACATGCTCTAAAACAAGGAGCGACTGGAAAACACCTCGAAGACAACATCTGGATGGTGTCGTTCTTCCCATACCCAAGACTGGTCATGTTGCCGCAATTGCCAGCGACCAAGAGTGGGTCCTGTCACATCACGTCACGAAGGTCATTCTTGCTTTGCAAGAGAACCTCCTCGGACTGCTGTCGGCGATCGATCGACCATGATCATGACCGCAACTGCCCTCCGCCAGACATGAACTGACCCGCCACTGTCTTCGCATCCACAATACGGAAGCCAACACCACCGAACCGTGCAAGTGCTGAAGGATGAGCCGGATAGACACAGAGGTGGGAGTCGAGAACTGAGAGCATCCTTGGGATTCAAATAGAGGCCTGTCCCCCCAAGACACTTCATCCATTTTTCTTCTTCTCCATCATCATCATCATCATTCTTCTTCATTTTTGTTCTTCTCTTGTCTCCCCAACACTCTCTTGCTGCCAACCCAACCATTCATTCATTCATTCCCTCATTCTTTGGATATCATCTTTACTCGTCCCGGCTCATCATGCATCTCACCACAGTCGTTTCACCTTTGGTTCTGGTCATGGCCGGTCTCACTGTCGCCGCCACGGTCGACGATTTTCACAAGGGTCACAAGCATCCCAAGGGCCACAAAGACCACGGTGCATCATCCGCCCATTGCCGAGATGGATGCCACGACGCCTTTTCCGGGCTCTTAGAAGTGGCCGCCACACATACCTTGGGTGAGTGCAACATGGCTGTACTGAGTCGACCATACTCTGACACACGACGTGATTTCCAGGTCCTGTGACGCGCGCAGCGCGTGCCATGGCAGCTTCAGTTCCCGACGACCAGATCAAGTTGGCCGCTCGTTCGGTGAAGGACGAATACAAATGCGCCTCGAAACACACTCAAACCAAGGAGATTTGTCCTTCGAATGAGACAACTTGTTACACTGTCGAAGAGCTACATTTTGTCTGGCAGATCCGCGAAGAGTGTGATAAAATACCCGAGTTCAGCGACGTCTTTAACAACGCCACCTCTACAGTCACCAAAGGTAAGTGGACATATAGTGTTTCGATTCAACAGCTTCCTGACCAGTGTCATAGGTCAACTAAACGGTGACCACAAATGCATCTGGAAGAACACTCGCCATTACGAGCTTTGCCCTTCAAACAATACGCCTTGTTCCAATAAGGAGTCGAAGGATGTCTACTACAGCGCCGAAGGGTGTGACAAAGACCCTGATTTCATCGCGATCTTTGGCAGGATCTCGGACGCGGCCTCTGACAGACCATCTACAGTCAACGAAGGTAAGTGCAAGAATTCCGCTCTCACTTGGTGTCTCTCTGACCCGCGACATGTGTCCCAGCTTCTTCAATCAAGGTCAATGATACTCCCGGGACGCTCCAAGCACGTGCCGTGGCAACTCCCAACGCTTGGGGTAAGTACCAACATTCCCACTCTCACTCTGGCCAGCCCAATCTGACATTGCCGACACAGACGACCTTGGCCCTGTGACGTTCCGCACCGAGAGGCCTGAGATGGCCGTTCATGAGATTGATCCCCGCTCGGTCTCGACGACAACGACGATGGGCAGAGAGACGACGACATATGCCACTACCACCACCGAGGAGATTGATGTCATGTCAGTCATTGTAATCACCGACACAACTTCAACCCCTTCTACGACCACCACAACGTCTACCAGTTCAGTTCCAACTGGCCCTCCCATGACGACAATCTCCAACATCAAGCCCGGCTCGAACACATTTCAGATGCCCGCGCAGTCAGCGCCTCCAGTTGTCGTCATCGTTGCTCCGTCGGAGTCGTACTCAGTTGCTCGCACGGTTGAGACTCTCTGGTCCTCGGTCATGCAACCCGTCAATATAGCCACCGCTACAGTGACCAGGGACGTTAGTCTTCTCATCCCTGCTCAAGCAGCGACTTCCACCGCGAAGGCCAACGGTGCTTCAACGATGCAATCAGGGGCTGGTTTCACTGTCATGGCAGGTGTCGGTGCGTTGGCCGCTTGCTTCATGATGTTTTGAGTGTGAGGGTGTGGTTGGCAGCAGCAGAGTGGATGATGAGGGTCTGCATGACAGGTTCCCGTCTACTCGGTGCACTTGAGAGAGCCAGTTGCATTTTTGCGGTTGTGCGCGCATGATTGTACACACAGCACCAACTTCCTATATCCGGGGGTATCAACATATTTGAAGGCGACCCGGAGCCGCCCCTAAAAGTCTAGTAGTAGTAGTAGTAGTAGTAGTAATTCAACATAATTCGCTCCCAATGCTGTTTTTTCGCCGTTTATCCGTGCCATGCATTGTCTCCTGTCTATAGTGTCCAAAACCTTCTTCTCTCTGTGCTTATTTGTATCTTTTCTTTCTGTCCTTGGTTTAGCCGAGATGGAACTTGCCAATGGCACCATCCTCGCCGCCGTCGAACAAGGAGTTGACGCCATCCAAGGCAGCAAAGTGCTGAGCATACTCCATGCCCTTTCTGCGCTCGTACTCGACACGCTTCCAGTCCCACTCACTGTTCTCGTTGATCTCACCAAGATCTTCGGGGGTACCGGTGCCGGTCTCGCCGCCACGCCATCCCTCACCAGGACGCTCAGGAAGCAAGCCGTTGGCCTCGATGACGATAGAGGGGTGGACAGTGAAGCGACCGAGCTTGAAGACGTACTTGCTGATGGCGGTGGCATAGACGTACTTTGTGAAATCCTTCTCGTCGACCTCCTTTCCGTCCTCGGTCCTGACGAGCTTGGGGCGGGTAGGGCCGAACTTCTTGCCATCCCAGCTGGTAGGCTTGACCTTGCCCTTGACGACGTAATGGGTGACGATATACAACCACTTGCGATCCCAAGACAGAATACGACTCCACATCTCGTATCCCTTCATAGGCGGGATTTCGCGTCTAAAAGAACAGAACACGGCGCCCAAACCGATACCAAAACCACCCTTGACTACGTTTCCGGCAGGGTCAATAACAAGCTTGTTCTTGGCATTATCGCCGACAACGGACATGGCGGGACCCAGCAAGTGGGTGACCAAGTGCGAACGAGAGACGTCGAGGTCGGCGAAGTAGGTCGAGTTGGACTTGTGCAGGTTGTAATCGGTTTCCAAGGGGGAGGTGTAGGAGGAGGTTATGGAGGGGTGGAATAAAGAGCGAGGGGTGAGGGGCGTGGGAGGGCGGCGGAGGAGATGGAGGAGGAAGGCGTGGAAGACGCGGATCTGCGGTTTTATGTTCGTTAGTGTGTTGTTGGAACACATTGGCTGGCAAGGGAGGGGAGTTGGGGGATGGAGGCGGACGGCTGAGGGGAGGGCAACAGAGGGGAGAGCAAACAGGCGGAGGACGAGTGGGAAGAGGAGCGCGGAGCGGGGAGAAGTTGGACAAGGCTAGACCCAAGGTTGGACAAGGTGTGGACGGGAGCACGGAGCAGGGCGGGGAAGCGAGGAGAGGGAAGAGGAACGGAAGAAGAGCGAAAGAGGAGTGAAAGGGCGTAGGCAAAGGTAGACCGTAGAAGCCAGCAGCAGTCGGACCGGACAGGACAGGACAGGAGCAGAGTAGACGAAGCCAGGCCAAGCAAAATCTAGGTAGCCAGCAAGACCAGATCGAGCCAGATCAGACCAAACCGCGCAGACAAGGCGTAGCCAGAAAGGAACGGTACAGCAAAGAGAAGCAGCATGCGCGGTAAAGCGCCGACAGCAACGCCAAGCCGAACCACTGCTCTCGCGAGATGCGATGACCAGCTACCTGTCCGCCCGGCTGCCCACCCGGTGCTCTCTCACCCTTCGTCTTTCCAGCCCTTTCTTCTCCTCTTCAACCCTTCTCCTCTCAATCCTCTTTCGCCCTTCCGTCCAACCGGCCCCAAACCCAACCACACCCAAATGCCAGCCATTAGCCAGGAAAACGGGAGAATACTCACATGCCACATAAACGGAAAGTTCTTCCAGCTCAACCCCATATAAACCACCAACAGAATGCGGCTAATGCTGCCCGGTCCCGTAAAGAAATCGGTGGCCCAGGCGGCCCAGTCGACATACATCAGGCGGTGGACGCCATAGAGGAGGCCTGCTGTTGAGAGCGGGAGGATGACAGGGTAGAAGAGGGAGAGGGTTCCGACTGCCATTTTGTCGTATCTTTTCCTATCGTTTCGTCGGGTGTGTTTAGGTTGGACCGGAGTCGAGGTCGGAGGGAGTTCGACGGGCGGTCGGGGGACGAGGAGAGGCCGGCGAGGCGTTGACCGGAGTCGGAGCAGAAGGGCGAGCGGTCGGTGGAAGAGGTGATCGACGCCGTAAAGGTTTCGGATGTCGGTAGACACGTGGACCGGGAGGACCGGGAGGACCGGATCGAGGAGAAGGAAGTGGAGGACGGACACCAAAAAGCCGTTGCAAACCACCAAACACAAGAACAACAAGGACGACGATCCAAAGAGCGGACGACCGAAGGAAGCAGAGAAGAACACTTCCACACTTTGCGGCGACACCGGGAAACGCGGCCACGGCGGGGGACATGATTTCTATTTATTCTTTCTACCCTACTCCTAGTTTCCTAGCAACGAGTCCACCTAGTGTTCAGCGTATCGCGGTATTGGATATCTCGGGGCGGGACCCAGTTGTTCGGTGGGTCTTCAGGTCTTCGAACCAAGGGCTTGTCGGGTTCTCGAAGGGTTTTTTGTTGAGACGATCGATCGGTTTCGGATTTATTTGTCCCGTTCGGAAAGTTTGATGACAAACGGATTTTGGATTCGCGAATGGGCGAAATTGAACCCGGTAGCTCGGGTTTTGGTACGATTGGCGAGTTGTTGCGCTGCGACGACGGCCGCTTGCGTTGCTGCGTTGGGGATTTTTCGGATTTTTTGCGATTGGGAAATCTGGAAAAGACGAAGAGATGCCGAGGTACCTTTTTTTTGTTGGTATTGGAGGGAAGAGCAGGGGATGCCTGAATGGTTTCAGCAATCAGGGGTTGTTATTGGCCTTATCTTATCGGTACCGATGACTGCCGGCGTCATTTTGGCGGGCCGGGCCAGTGTTAACGTCAGTGCATCGGATTTGGAGCGCCAATTCGTCGGGTTCGTTGACCCCTTTTTGCTGTTTCCAAATTCTCAAATGACGATGCCGAGGCACTTCATCGACCGCCCTTTTCAATACTGGTTGATCAGTGATAACTATTCGGGCCACCCGGATGATGAACGCCTTTGATGATTGTTCGAGAAGTCACTGACTCTTCTAAACATCAATCAATGGATCATCGAAATGCTCCAAATCTTGAACCAACCACATGTCGTCTCAATGCACAAAGCGGGTACCTGACCTAAGCGAGGATATCGCTGCCGGCGGTGGATGAAGGGAGTCTTGGAGCGATGCGACATCATCAGTGGACTTGGACATGAGCCGAAGCCAAGCGACCGGGAGATCAACTAGGCCGAACCGCCGTGTCGGAGAATATTGCAACGTTAAAGAATTCCTGAACGGGATTTTTAAGAAATGCGTCTTTTTGACTTTTTAGACTTTGTTTAGTGTTGGTTAAGTCAAGACGATACGACGTTATTTCTTTTCAAGGTGAGAGACTCTGATACTGATAGTGCTGCTCGCTAAAAGAACCCTAAACAAGAGCCTCACTTAACAGCGCTAACCTACTGCCACTGCCACCCGACTGCAGATGTCTTCTTCGGCAATGACCGCTGCGCTCAGACTGCAGAGCGTTGGCAACGTGGGACGGATGCAAACCATCAGACGGTGCCTGACAAGTGGCGCATGTGCTTTTCCCATGGCCAGAAACAACACCATCTCGAGGTTAGTTTTTTAGCATTGCGACTACAAAATGAAAAATGTCACATCTTGGCAAACGCCCAACACACCGTCATGGATGATAGGGCAGTGGATCGCCCATCAAATGCAATTATCCAATCTCAGAGGGACCTCGGCATGCGGCAACCCCTTCACTATCCAAGACCCACCGTAATGACAACAACAGCGGGCCTGTGGTCCTGGTCGGTCATTGATAACGGAGAGTCGGGGACCACCATCGACGACAACACTCACTAACGACAACCCCCAAGAAAAGACCATATGCAAACGAATGAATCGCAAACACCATAAGCTGACTCTGGAAAACCCCATCTTGTTTATTCACTTTCTAGCTTCATCCCAGCAGTCAACAAGAACTGGATCCGGGCCCAACACACTGCTTCCTCTATCAGCAGCAACATGAGACCTCAAACCGAGTCGTCCTCCACCGCCACAATGGCTTCCTCTTCTTCTTCCCAAAAACAAAAGAAGTCCTTTTCCACCACCACCCCCAAAACAGAACAAATGGAAATCGACCACTTCCGCTCCATCCCCTGGGTAGCCAAGCACCTCTCGCAACCACACCTAATCATCAACCAATCCGACACCCGCCGCCCCAAGCCCAACAACGGCGACACTCTTATCTCGCAGACACTCAACAGGGAAGATGGAATTTCCGCTTACATCACCATCATCCAACAACCTGCTCAAGAACAGGAACTCATAACAGAAATGCTCTCCTTCCTCACCCTCGGCCCCCAACTCAACGGCTGGCCCGGCGTCTGCCACGGCGGCATCGTCATGACCATTCTCGATGAAGTGCAAGGCCAGCTGTTCACACAGAACAAGAAGCAGAGGAAGATGAAGGATATCCCGCTCATGACGGCGTACCTAAACACCAAGTTTTCGAAGCCAGTGAGGACGCCGTGCACGATCATGGTTAGGGCCAGGATTACGAAGGTCGAGGGGAGGAAGCATTGGACTGAGGCGGTGATTTTGGTTGAGGATGAACAAGGAAAAGAGGTGGAGCTGGCGAGGTGTGATAGTTTGTTTGTTATGTTGAAGTCGAACTTGTAATTGGGTTTAGCGGGGAAAGATTGGGGAAAGATGAGGAAAGGAGAATGCATGGGGACAATACTGGAGAGTGGAAGGAGGGGGAAAGGAGGAAAATACCCATAGACGGGATAGAAGGATAGACATGGTTGGGATAGACGGATAGATGGATAGACGATGGTAGATAGATGGGATAGACGGATAGAAAGGGGCCTTGGACATGGTACCCCCCGATCGACCATAGACGGAGTTTAGAGGTATGTTCATCTGGCATTGATCAAAGAAGAATTCCCTTATGCTAACGGATACCGCAGGGTATAGACATAGAGATACAGATAGACTTGTTGCGATCATAGACATATTTTTCTTGTTGCTTGCCATCACCCAGTTCCTCCATAATCGGCCATCATCGCATCCCAGCAACCCCCGTCAAAAATTGCTTCCAACCGCGCATTCTTATCAAGATACTGCTTCCTCTCACTCGATTTGATTTTCCTCAAGCCAATCCTGCCACTAAGTCGGTCCCAAGAACATTACGATCCGCATCAACTCAGCAGCAGGTTGGTCAGAAGCAGGTATACCCGGTATTTTGGGGGTTTGAGCACAATCAAATCCAGTGAGCCGAAGCGGTATGCCTTTTTTTGGTAATATTGTCTTGGGTTCGAAAGAATGGAAGGTATCACGACTTGGAGGAAAGATGCAACATCACACCATCTGTCGCTCCCGCTCTCCCGCTGACCCGCCGCGCCTTGTGATACGTGAGAGGCCGCAAACCAACTGACTGACATGACTTTCAAGTCCGAGCCGTTTGCGGGGGATGCTTAGAAATTACAGCCCAGAGTTCGCAACTTTCCGCGAATGCGAGCACAAGCACAACGGTCACATTAATCAAGGGCACATAGGCGAATGGCCTTAACATGGAGCTCTGAGAGTGGTGGTATATGAGAAATGAGGCTGTTGGCGAGGCACATCAACAAACCAACACAAGGTACCTCTACCAACACCACCGGCCGCTGCGGCCGACCGAATTCGTGATCGGAAGGGTTCCGAATACCGAAGGCGTGGATATGGATGACTTTCACACTTCGCAAATGGTAGATCTGAGAAAGAGCTATAACAACGCCTTTCTCTCTCAATCATTTCTCCGTCCGGTTCAGGCCATAATGATCCTCAAAGCAACAGCGCCAAACTACCCATACCGAAACATCCAACACAAGACAAGCACGCATACCTACCTCTATCACCTCATTTTCAACCACTTTCTGAACCGCACCCATCGCCCTTCCCCTCCCTTCGACTTACCTATCCTACCACCGCCCCCCTTCCTCCCCTTCCCCTTCCTCCTCTTCCTCCTCTTCCTCCTCTCCCAAGAACTCGCCCTTTTCTCTTACCGCAAAAACCGTACCACTTCCCGACCCTTCCTCCCTCGGGCCTCACCAAGTCCTCCTAAAAATCATTTCTGTATCACTTAACTACCGCGACGTCGCCATCCTCAAGGGGACATACGTCAATCAAGCGGGTGCGATAGAAGGCGGGGTGCCGTGCTCGGATGCTGCGGGCGTGGTGGTCGCTGTTGGAGGGAAGGTTAAGGGGGTGAAGGTGGGCGAGAGGGTGGTGACGATGGTTGGGGCGGGTTTTGGGGAGTGGCCTGCTACTGAGGGTAGTGGTGGCGGCGAGGGAGAGGGGGAATAAGGTGGAAGATGAAGAAGAGGAAGTGCAATCCTTGACCAAGACTTTGGGTGCTGAGGTGGATGGTGTGTTGGGGGAGTATGGGGTGTTTGACGAAAGGAGTCTTGTTCCTTTCCCAGATTATCTGTCTTTTGACGAGGTTTGTTCTTTTCCCCCACCCCCTTTACCCTTTTTATGCGACCATGCGTCCCGTCCGTCTTTCAGGCGAGCATACGTCGGTACAGGTACCTTGGCTAATAGCAAAAAAAAAAAAAAAAATTTGGCCTCCACCCTCCCCGGCGCCGGCCTAACAGCATGGACCTCCCTCCGCCTTCCCCACCTCCTCTCTTCCCCTTCAAAAAGCCAGTCCGTATTGCTGTAAGGAACAGGCGGCGTCTCCCTCTTGTCTCTCCTCCTCGCTCTGGCGGCAAAGAACGTTACCCCCATCATCAGTTCGTCTTCCGACGAAAAACTTACCCGGATCACCGCTCTTGCTGCTGACGGGGTGATAAAAAGCTACAACTATCGCACAAACCCCAACCAAGCAGCCGCGATATACGACTTAACAAACAGTCGAGGCGTAGACGTGGTGGTTAATAACACTGGCCCCGCTAGCATCCCCGCTGATATCGCCAGTCTGAAATTCGGTGACGGACGGATTGCGCTTGTGGGGTTTTTTTTTGGAAGGGTTGGGAGCAGATTGGAATCCTGCTGTGCTGATGGGGTTGGTTGGGAAAAGAGCGAGTTTGGAAGGGATTCTGTGCGGGACTGGGAGCGAGATTCTGGCTTTGAATGAGTTTCTGGAGGAGAGGAAGGTTGATTTGGGGTCGGTTGTCGATAGGGTTTTTAAAGCGGTTGGCGAGAAGGGGGCGTTGGAGTGGTTGTGGGAGGGGAAGCATGTTGGGAAGATTGTTATTCGGGTTGCTAGGGAGGAGTAAGGCAGTGAGAGTGATGACGTGGCAAGTGGCGAGTGCTGCTGCTGTTAGGTTTATTCGGGTTCTTGTCGAGTGAAAGGCAATTCCAGCGAATTAGGTTATGTTCACCCCAATGCAAGGGAAAAAGACGTGTCTAACACACTGGTGAGTAGGTCCTTGAAGGCTAGGTATGATGATGAGGCACACAGGAAATGGAGGAGACGACGGGACGAGAGGAAAGAACAATGCAGGGAATCTCACACATTGCACCATCTCTTCTTCGTTATAGCTCTATAGTCTATTGCTCTCGACTTCTGCATCAAAGACAAATCGCCTGCCTTCCATTTTCCAGCCACCATCCGTTTTCATGCTTTCGATCCCAGCCGGCAGCCTTCAAGGCCTTTTCTTTCATTCTAAGAAACACAACCGCCGCCGCTCAAATCAGCGTTTCTTTGTCTTTTTGCTCATCGCCTCTCGTCTCTCTCTCATTCCCGACATCCACCCATCTCTCCAGTCCCAGTCCTTGCAGGGTCCTACTCTCTAACCCTAGCAACAACAACACTATTAACCACATCCGTATACGGATGCACCACCGCACAGGGCTGCAGCACCTCCAAAAGCCTCTCCGTATTGACGCTCACCTCCGGATACAAACACGTCCTCAATCCCCACGCGCTACGGATAACCAGCAAGGCACCAGGCCTCATGGTCCTGACCACGTTTAGGAAAATCTCCTCCTTGTCCTCCTGCGACAGCCCGACTAGCGCGGCAACGTAGACGACGTCTGAGTCTGCAAGACTAATGGAACAAGAACCGGCTTCGCCACACACAAACTCCATGCCTTCGCCCCATGGACCGAGGACAGCGTTGAGGCGGGAAGATACGTCAATGGCGGTGGGGGACATGTCGATGTTGGTGATTGTGGGAATGTTGTCGGTGCTAGAACATGTCTGGCGGATTTCGTCGAGGAGACACCACGAAGTCAAAGGAAGGGGGCCGGAGCCGATGAAGGTGATTTTCTTGAGGGCGTTGGTGTCACTGGGAGACATGGCGGCGCGAATGGCGGAAAGCTCGAGGCGTGCTAGGTCGACGTAATTCTGGAAGTAAGGGAAATCGATCTGGAGAGCATTGAGGACTGCGTCAGGGCCTTGGTCGGCGAGCGATAAGGTGTGTTGGGCCCAGTGGTTCTCGAGACAGGATTCGGCTTCGGAGCAGATGGTGCGGAGGGAGGGAAGCATTTGTTGGAGGCCGGGGAATTCAAGGATCTAGTATGCTGTCAGAATCACCATTGCCAGATTGTCCTGGTGCCATGAGAACATACCTGCTGGATAACGCTTGGGGGATGGATCTGGACGCATGTGCGGACGAGACATCCCAACAGCCGGTTGATGTCGTCTCCTGGTCGGTAGTTTGGTAGCTTCTTGAGTTGGTCGTGTGTGTCAAGAATGTTCAAAGCAATCTTTTGAGCCTTGGCGATCTTTGCGCTACCCATGATGTCTACTTTTTCGGCGAGAATATCGAGAGTTTGCTGGTTGGCGTTGGAGAGGTAGTGAGCGGACTGGTTTCTTGGAGAACCAAGCCCGAGAACTGAGAGAAGAGCAGGCATTTTAAAGGAATTGAAGGCGGCGCCTTTGGGTTAACCGGGTTGGTGTCTGCCTGGGAGCGATGATTGCAACTTCGTTGTTGAAGGTTGATGGACCACGGCCAGCGAGGTTCTCGTTCGGTTTGAACTGGGGTGATGGGCAAGGCTGAGTTCGAGCCGTCCTGTTGACACCGCCTCGTGGTTAGGTTAGGAATGGACAGAAGAGCGAGCTGTCGTAGGGCTGGACAGGATCAGACTGCAGTGTAAAGGGTATCGAATGGTCGTCAGGGTCCTGTCAAGTCCGGTGAGGGGATGCGGCTCAGTAAAGTAGGGGACCAGACGGTCGGACAGATGGGCCAAGTGGAAATCATCTGCAAATCACTGGGTTAGCACGAACGATGGAGAATGGCACCTTGATTGCGGGAAGAGGATACTCTGGGGACCTACTTTGCGGCTGCCCACAGGTTAAACTCCGAAGCGATGAAAAGAAGTGGACATTCTGACAAGGGCGTAGTTGGAGAGCCGCCAATGTTGAGGGCGTGAGAACCTTGATGGCTTGGAAATGTTACCCAACCTGCCAGTAGCCTTCAGCCTTCCGTCGCTCACGACTCCATGGTTTGACTTTTCGAATTGGTGCCTGACCAATTGATGATTCCTATTGGAAGCTGTAGTCGTTCCATTGTGCCGACGTTGAGCCACTTTCGAGAGTCAGATCAGCATTCAACACCCGTCAAAGTGGAATTGTTGCAGCATTCTCTCCACGTCGCATCCGCATCGTGTTGCGGGGTGAGGTTGAGCGCATTTACATTTCAGAACGAATTGGACATATTGCATGGAGTGGTGGCCGATTAATTGAGAATTTAAAAAGTGGACAGTCATGTCTCGATTGAGGGGTACGAACATGCGAACAAATTGCGACGTGGAAAGAATTTGTTATTGCACAAGGAAGGAACGGAAGCAAGGAGTCTGGGAGAATTGGCCATCAAGGTCCTCATGGTGACGGCACGGGGGGAGAATACGCACAGACCCGTATCCGCACCTTCCTTTCCAAAATTGGACAAGCTGATTGGCCTGTGGGGTTTTCGTAGGGTAGCGCCTGCCAAGCCATCTTATCAGATTGTCGCAATCTGGAGCCACTTGCTCGGCCATCAAGGTGCTCAGTCATTTGGCGCCGCTTTGTCCTCTCCTTCCCTCCTTCTTTCCTTGGCCAACACTCTGCGACAATTTCCGTACGACAAAACGAGACATTTCACCAACCGCCGCAAGCGAGACATATTGACCGACACTTGTTCTTTTTCATGGTTACACCTGCTCAAATACGTTACTCTGCCTTGGCCGCCTCTCCTGGTATCGAATCATGTTCTGGACTTGAAGACAAGAGCCACGAATACCTCAACATGGTCCGCCATTATTGGTTCCCACAGTAGCTGATCTGGTCGATCTCTATTGCACGACAGCTCATCGTATTCCACTTCCCGCACCGAGATCGAGACTCACGATACCCGCAAGACCCGGGATGATGAGGTCAAGAATAGTTCCATCCTTGAGTGCCAGCAAGTGTCCAGCCTTGACCATGATCATGATCCCCCGGGAAGACCGCCTCATCGTCCGATCCAAATATCCAGGGACCTTGTTGTTAAAAGGGGGCCCTGGACCACCTCACCCTTCCCCAGCACTGCCAGAAGGAAGTGATGGTTCCCTTGGCCCTCAGGGTTCTCACCTAAATATTGCTCGTCGCCAACCGTTATCTTTGTCTTGCGTCACCGGTCAATTTCCCTCCCCCTTCTCCTATCCAGTTATCGTTCGAGGCCGTCTTCGTCTGAACTTCATGTCTTATCAAGTCCCCTCGCTTGCCCCCTCACTTGACCCAACGTACCAAATCCTTCCATTTCCTTCGGCGCGTTTGTTTGCTTAACTTTGTTTATATTTTTGCGGCCAAAATACCACCGCGTTTTTGCGCAACCACTTCTCTCTCTGCTTCGTCAACCCCGCCATCGTCTCCTCATTTTCACTCGCACAACTCACTCAACAGCGGTCGCGCATTCAATCAAGCACATTGGTAGTGTAAACAAGAACCAACGAGCTCACGCCCGTTCCACTCCTACAAGATTTGTGATCTTCTCACACCAACCTGATAATATTCCCACCAAGCGCGCGCTATTGATCGCATCAACAAGAGCGACATCATGGCTCAGATCGGCGAGTTTCTGGGTTTGGCGCCTCCCGGCTTCGCTCCCATGAACTCATTCTCCTTTCTCAGCAACCAGAGTGGTGCGTCTTCATTCTCCCCCCTCACTATCCCTCTTCTCGCCTCTCACCTTGTTTTCACCTTCACCTGGAAGTGGGGAACCGATGCATTCCTTAAGGTAATTACACACCTTCATATATCTTGCTAACATGAACACCCGACCTTTTAGTTGCCTCCAACAGGCCTTTCTTTTGCGATATTACCGACGTGGGTGACTTGTACACTGTCATCCATGTAGTCATTCTTCCGCAGACACCTCAGGACTCAGTCTCTGTTGGCGGCTCCCCGAATGGCTTCTCCCACAATGCCCACAACGGCCATAACGGTGCCAACGGTGCCAACGGTATCAAGGGTCATGCTCAGGATGTTAACGGGCGCCCGATTACCCCAACCCAGCTGGACCAGTTTATCATCAAGCTCCTCAGCGCTGGCGTCAAGGAACCCCGTCTTTCCGACTTCGACATTTCCCATTTCACACTCATTTTTCCCAAGTTCGCGGGATCTGCTGTCCGCTCGAACCTCCTGGAGCACCGCCTCCAAGACTGCCCGTATCCCATCACCCGCATCGACGACCGCCTAATCGCTCGAGAGGATCAGGATATTCGTTGGCAAAGGAAGCTGACCGGTGGCGGTCCCAGCGCAAACCTTGCTCTTCTCGCCGAACACGCTGCCGGGGTTATCCAGTGGCGTGATATATCCAGCTCCTTTTCAGTCCAGCAGTTGCAGCAGCATCTTGTCTGGATCAAGCAGGAACTACACGATAGGCTGCACAATGTCCCTTGTGTACTGCCGGGAGATCCCATTAAGGAGAAGACGGTGGCTCTCATCAGGGGTCGCCCCAACCTGATGACAGGCGGTCCGGTATATTCTGCGGCCAAAGCACTTGGCCTTGACCTCGTCATCATCGACGAGCCTGGTCATTGGCTTGAAGTCGATACCCCTGAGAATCGCAAGCTCCGCGAGGCATTCCTCAGCACTGACATGACAGAGGACGAAGGTGTGACCGATCGCATCGTGCAGTCGATTAACAGATACGGAAAGCCGATTCATGGTGTCTTCACGCTGTCCGACAATTTCTTTGTCACAGTTGCCAAGGTTGCTGAGCGCCTTGGTCTCCCCTCCGGCCCAGTCTCAGCCTTCGAGACAGCCGTCGACAAGTTCAAGTCTCGCATGCTTCAGGACTCCCCCGGCCATACAGCCTCCGTGTTCAGCGTCCAAGAGCTTCACACTCTCCTCTCTGCGCCCCTGGATGGCTACCAGCCGTTCTTCACCCCTGTCTTCCCCATGATTGTCAAACCTACCAAGGGCTGGTCGTCGGAGTGTGTCTCCAAAGTCGCCAATATCAACGACCTCGCTATCGCTGTGCAAAAGGCCACGGCGCGTCACAGTTCGGCGGCAGTTATTGAGCCCTTCTACGACGGTCCCGAGATCGATGTCAACTTTGTGCTTCTTGACGGCGAGATTCTCTTCTTCGAGATTGCGGACGAGCCCCCCTGTGAGGCCGACGCTTCCAACGCCACAGTGCACGACACCTTCTCGCCAGTTGCCCTTACCATGCCGTCCGCCCTGCCCGCCGACGAGCAAGAGATTGTCAAGAAGACTCTGCATCATATTCTGCTCAACATGGGCTTCCACACGGGAATTTACCATCTCGAAGCCAGAGTGATCAACTCGAAATACGCCTACCGCTACATCGCCCCGGGTGTTCTCGACCTTGTCCCCCGCCACCCTCGCGAACTCCTCCCAGGCAGGCCCGAGTGCAAGTTGATTGAGATCAACGCCCGCCCGCCCGGATACCGCGTCTCCGTGCCCTCCCGCCATACCTATGGGGTTGACTACTTTGCCATTCGCATGCTCGCCGCGCTGGGTGACAAGGGCCGCCTGCGCGCCATGTCCGTTCCCTTCTCTCACCACGGCGACAGCCGCACCTTTGGCGCTCAGTACTGGTCTCGCCTCGTCTACATCCCGGTCCCGAAGGACGGCGTCTTGATGTGGAGAGAGGGGCGCGTTAGCCCGTCCGAGGACTTAAAGTTGCGCCGTCCCGATCTGGCTAAGCACATCGTTCTGGCGGTCGACTACTTCGCGGATGGAGACAAAGTTAGCACTTTCACCGACGGAGCGAGAACTTATCTTGGACATATCCTTGTCAAAAGCACTTTTAGCCGCAAGATGGCTATTGAGCTTGGCAACGAGGTGCTCATGGCGTATGAGGTTGACATCGATGATGATATCGTTGAGGATGTGGAGGCTATGGTCATTAAGGATGACGATGAGTCAGACATTGGAGATGAGGACAGTGGCATGTCCGACCACAGTGAGGAGGACGAGTCCGACTCCGACTACTGAGTGACCGAGAGGGTACGAGTACCTATGAGGGCTCCAAGAACAGGCACATTCTTGCTTTGGCATTTTTGGCATGGTGGGCTTTTGATTGGCCCCATTTGATTTGAAAGGTCCGGTCCGGTTGGAACTTGGAACCGCTAACTTGACAGAGGTAGTGGTACACTTGGGTACAACTTGGGAGTGGCATCCCTTGATTCATCTTGTGGTTGAGCTTTCTGCTCTTGAACCTCAGTATCTTGGGAGTGGCATCCCTTGGATTGGCCATTAGACCTCACTTTGGCATTTTGATGGCATGGACTGCAGGCCTCGGCTCTATCTTCGAATGGATATGGAGTGGCACCCCAGGGGGTTTGGAACTCACCGTTATGTGTCCATGACTGGTGCGCATGCATTTGGCTGGTAGTTCCAGGCGTTTTGTCCCAGCCTTTGGGCTTATACTTTGCTTCTATTGTGTGTTTTGCTTGTTGTATGATTCCTTTTCTAACCTTCTTCACGGGTAGCATTTCTGTTTCTTTCTTTCTTTCTTTTTCGGAAGGCATTGGGGCATCGCGACGGCGTTGAATGCGAGGAGTTACTGCTTGGTACTATTCTAGGTAGATGATACCCTAGTTTTCTTTCATTGTAAAAGAGAGATCTGTTCGATACGCCTTTTTGCTACCATCATCTTGTGTGTGACTGTGATACGCTGCATTGCCATGGCCCGTAACCATCGACCAATGGAATTAATGTTCGTGAATACATATAAAATTGGGAATTATTGATGTAGAAGTAGCTGTTGACGTTGTCGCTTGTTCTCGCCGAAGCGGGTGAGTGTCCGGTCGATGGGAGTGGATAAATGTCGAACGAGGGAAACGGTGCGACTAGGAGCGCTGCCCGGAAATGGTCTGTGCAGCCGCGACTTCAAAACTTTGGAAGGACAGGGTTAGGGTTCGAACCCGGACATCCAGGGGTCGGATCTCGGATGAGGACCCTGAGACCGAACTGAAGAAAGGCGGTCCCGGCATAAAAAAAGCTTGTTCTGTACTGGGCATGAGCTTGTATTGAATGAAGGATCTCGCCACGAAGAACGTTTTGCCGTTCATCACATATTTAGTAAACAATAAGCTTCCCCTTTTCTCGTCGCCTATAGCAGCAGCAGGCCAGCAGCAGCAGTCCGCGCTATCCGATGCGATAATGAATATGGCGGACCACCATGGCTCCACATGAACCACAAATTTTGGGCGAACAACCACACGAACGAGCGCAGCAAGGAAGGGCTGAGATCCAACGAATGTTTTTCGTGTTGTTTGATCAATTCCTCGCTTCGTTGTACGCGGAACACTTGTGGCCAGCCGCAAGATTTACACTTCCGCCCGCCTTTCCCAATTTCCACTTTCCCCTTCCCGTCTTCCCGGGCCCCTTTCTTCCTCGCCTAATTAGGTCGGATTTCCTTCCATCAGGGTCCAGGCTTTTGCAGGGTTTCCAATCCTTTTCTTTTCAGGGTCCATCTGTTTACCTACACCCTTCTGCCCCGCCCCTTTTCCTTGGAGAACCAGAGCTCGGCCGTCTTGATTGCTACATCGTCCTTTGTTTCAACCTCTGAACGCTTTCGATATTTTAGCCTGCACCTTACATACCTCCAACCAACACTGCATCTACGCCGCATGAGCAATTCCAGCTGTCATTGAACGAACCTCCGAACCAATGACGCGCAACGCCGCGCGCCTTTCTTCCCCTGCGCTTCGTGCTCTCCCGACAAACCACAAGCCATCACCAGCGCCGGACCAAACCGAACCGAGACGAGACGAGGACAATCACCGAAAACAAGAACAAAAACGGGCGACCGCAACCGCAACGATGGAACACCTCGTCTTTGCCCACGACCTTACCAAGGCCGATCGCGTAGTCTTAGAGACATTGGCGACCGATTACAGCGACCACCTGAAGGCGAAGGACGCCCAGGTACCAGATTCAGCATATGCGTCGGCGAGCGATACAGAAGCAACAGGGACAACGGGGACGAATACAAATACAAATACACATGGCAGCGCGAAGGGCGGTGTGAATAAGGATGCTGCTGGAGTTAGCCAGAGGAAAGCAGGTATGTTGGTTCGGACATTGCGGTGTCCATTGGAGTCGCAGTTGCAATAGCGGTCGCATTTGCGGCGAACATTGTCTGTCTCTCGGGCATCCGTCGCACATCACATCCTCGCATTGCGGTGCTGGCAACGATGGAATCGATGAACCCCTGACCTTATCGTTATCGGATCCTGCGGTTTGGTCCAATTGTCTCGGGTGTGACATCATACCGGTTGCCAAGACGGCAGGGTCAGAAGTCTGGACCGCTGGCGGCCGGCAGCTGGGCGTTGCAGTGGAGCGGGAACTGCCGGCCGTGGTGTGGTTGACCAACCGTGCCACTTACCCGACCAACTCTCTCAGCATCACCACCACGATCTTCAAAAATCACTATCCTCACTCACTTGTTGAAACCAAAAGCTAATACAACCCTTCCAGCAACCCGCACCTCAGAAGCCATCACGCAGCTCTCCGCCCTCAACGACCCCAAATCTCTCTCTTTCGAGCCCACCATAACCAACTTCTTCGACCTCGCCGACCTGCAATCCTTCACCTGGCTCCCCTCTACCGTCCTAAACGCCTACACAAAATGGGCCTCCTCCCTCATCCGCGTCCCTACGGACATCCTAATGATCACCCACCTCCTCATCTACTTCACCACCACCGTTCCCTCGGCCTTCTACTTACTTTTCATCCGCTTCTCCTGGCCGCACGCCATCCTCCACGCCGTCATCAACGGCTGGTACGTCGGCACTTACACGCTGATGATGCACCAGCACATTCACATGCGCGGCATCTTGACGAAAGATAAACTCTGGACGCCGGTGTTTGACGCCATTTTCCCTTATATCCTGGACCCCCTGATGGGTCATACCTGGAACTCGTATTACTACCACCACGTCAAGCATCATCATGTCGAGGGTAACGGGCCAGATGACCTGTCTTCGACGATCCGTTACCAGCGTGACGAGCTAAGCGAGTTCCTGAAGTACGTCGGCCGGTTTTACTTCCTGGTGTGGTTGGATCTGCCGCTGTACTTCATGCGCAAGGGGCGGTACGTGACGGGCGCCAAGGCGGCGTTTTGGGAGTATGCGAGTTATGCCATGTATTATGTGCTGTGGAACTATGCCCCTGGAGGAGGCAAGGCGACGCTTTTCACGCTGGTCCTGCCGTTTTTTGGTGCTCAGGGTGGCGTTGATGACGGGGAATTGGGGACAGCATGCGTTTGTGGATGATGAGGAGCCGGAGAGTGATTATAGGAGTAGTATTACGCTGGTGGACGTTGCTGTACGTTTTATCCTTTCCCGTCCCTCCCTTTCTTTTCTTCTGCTGGGACATGACTAATAGACAACAGTCCAACCGCCACTGCTACAACGACGGCTACCACACCTCGCACCACCTCAACCCTTTGCGCCACTGGCGCGAACATCCCGTTGCCTTCCTCAAGGGGAAAGAAACCTACGCGGCCGAAAACGCGCTAGTGTTCCATAACATCGATTACCTCATGGTAACCATCAGGTTATTGAAGAAGGATTACATGACGCTGGCCAAGTGCTTGGTACCCATTGGCGAGTTTCAGATGAACATGACCCTTGAAGAAAGGGCGGCGTATTTGCGGAGGAAGACGAGGAGGTTTAATGAGGAGGAGATTAGGGAGAAGTTTGGGAAGAAGGCACACTAAACTAGAGGCTGAGTGAGTGGGTTTGTTGTATGTATGAGGCATGGAGGTGATGGTTGTAATGGCTGTAATGTAATGGATGGGAATGCCTTGTTGGGGTATTGCTGTGGGATAGAGGGTTCTGGGGAGGCTCAAAAGGTAAAAAGGACCGCGGCTTTGCATATTAGAGCGTGGCAGGTTGAAACAGACAAAATTCATTCCTGGTTGCTTGATCATCGGTATTATGGTTGGTGCATAACTTGTTCGCAGCTGACGAGGGCGAGAGATTCCGGTCCAGTAGGCGATAGCTTGAACTGGACGCCGGGATTGAAAGCTCAAATGAAAAACTCAAGCTCATACCTTGCTGTTGGTTGATTGGTCAAAGAACCATGACACGCAAGGTGACCATCATGAACCTTCCACCGCTCGGCGAAAGGATGCTGTCAATGATCACGGACGAGGTGCCCGGGTGTTGGCTGAAGCACGACGTTCTTCCCTTACATGGAAGTCCACACGGTACTGCACTAGGCAACAGGACGCATGGAGCGCGTACTGCCTAACATGATCGCTACTGATTTCAATGCGGAGATGTTAATGCCCGGTAGACCCTCGGGCTCGCACCGACATCGGGAGATGATGCCGTGTGCACTTGCCTGAGTCTGGACCTGGTGTTTACCAGATGTCCGTCCCTTCCTCAACAGAGTTGTGTTCACGTTGTCAAATTTCTTTTCCTCATCTCCCGTTCGTTTTCTCTTTTCGATCTCTCTTCTCAAGATCTCTTCATCTTTCACCATCCTTCCAAACCTCCTCTTCATCGATCCGCCCCTTCCATCACTAGTTGGCAACAAGCATCATCGTTGCCGTCATATCACCTCCGACTTTTCAGAATTGTCTACCTCTGAAGGAGCGCTGGACAACGTTATGCGGCTATCTTTGTTCAGGCAAGCTCCCGTCCAGCCTTGTTGGTGCTGAAGCGAGACACCTGTTGAAACTGACGGATTTGGCCAAGCGAGAGGCAATGTTTAGCGAAGACAACAGGGTTCGGTCCTTTCATCCTAAGATTTGCGGACTTGTTTATCGCCAACCATCAAGCTTTTCTTCTCAACTGACAGCCAGACCTTCTTTTTACTGCTGCTTTGTGTGTGCTAGCTGGCTTACATCTTCTTCAGGCTGTGCCCACATGTACTTCCATTTCCTTAACATCTCCCAGCAAAGGAGTCTCTTACCGGCTGTTCCTTCCCGGCTTTTATGCTAGTCACCGTCCTTAGCCGACTGCCCAATTCTAGACTTTTTGTCTCTTCAACATGCATCTTATTGTTCTTTATCCTACAGCAAACACCGCCGTCCAAGTCATACCTTATTGCCACCATTTCTATATCCACGGCTGATTTTAATCACAATGTATTATTTCTGGGTTCACATCATGGCTTATCGAAAGACCTAGTGGCATCGTTGAGATCACAAAGATTAAGCAGGGTAGTGAGGTTACCCTACCGTTGTCCTCCCTTTATGTACCGTTCGTTCATCTCCCATCGCCATGTCAGATACAGCCCGGACAACACCATGGCCCATCGGTCGGTCATACCTTGAGAGGCTGCCTATAGAGATGCTGAACGACATCTTTGAATGCTTCAAACCTATTCAGCAAGCGAACTATATGGTTAGGGCCAGCCCTCAACAGCCTGAATTCTACAAATACGAAACTAGCCCATTGGACATTGTGTTATACCTCGAAGGGCGTCAAGCATTGAGTGCTCTGTGTCTGGTGTCCTCAAGACTCCGTCGAGTCGCCCATCCTATACTCTTCCACGAAATATGGATCACAGACTCGGATAACCTTTTTGGACTTGTCACAAGCTTGGCTTTATACCCTAACAACCGTCCACATGTCAAGCGGCTGGGCATCACCAAAGTATTCTTTGAAAATTGCCGCGAACAGAGTTGCCAGTGCGCTGGCCAATTCATAGGCTGTAGCGAGCGTAGCAGGCACCATGTTGACTTGGAAACTGACAAGACCCAAGAAGAGACTTGTTTGGACATTTTCAATGCGGTTCTGAAACTTCCGATGATACGCACCTTTCCAGATTTGCGACAACTCCTGGAGATGTAACAAGAATTGGAAGTAAGGTTAAGTGACATATGGCACTAGATGACCGATGCCACTTCCGAGCGGGTATGGAATCTCGCGCTTAAACTCGTCATCTTCTTCTCGCCAGGCCTGCAAAGTCTTTAGTTTACTTCAACAACGTGGGCATCGCCCTATATCTGCTGTTACGCACTGGGTATCATCACTCCCCAAATCACCTACTTGGACACCTTTTCTCACCATCAGAATAAATGCGCCGAGTCTCTGACAGTGTTGAACATTGACTTATCTTCACTGAGAGTCTGTTACGGTCAGGTCCTTCACAACAGCCGCGCTTCTCGGTGCCTTGAGTCGATCGAGGAACTCACGGTGGTCGACGATGGCCAGGTGGCACTGGGGCCCGGAGAAGGAGCACGATGTAGAGGAATTGAACCGGACTTTCTCCAAATATGGCTCGAATCAGCGAAGCGTCTCCAAAAACTTCGGCTTTACACCGGCTTCGACCTTGAAGGAATTTGCTGGTCGTGAAGGGGACCATCTGGGACACAACATCAACACAATCTTGCCTCGCCACTGGGAAACGCTCCGGCATTTCGAATGGTGTCAAATGGTGAACCCTCGAACAGCTACCGAGACAGAATGGAGGAAAATGTTCGGGGGAGAGCAAAGGCTATCATGTCTCCCACAGCTGAGGGAGCTGGAGTACTTGAAACTTTTACATATGTTCGTTTATACCCGTGAGGAGTGATTTAGTCGACGAGGTGTGGGTGCTCCCCTTAGACCTCCCCCTCCGCCACCGGTCATGCCACATCCTTTGGGGACACACGAACATACTCCAATACAGATACCCTTTGCGCCCGCATCAGTCACTGACTTGAGGCTACTTGAGGACAATATTCGCGGCATGCTCGTACACAATCCTTTAGTGTTGGGAGCACCTCCGAAGTTGAGATCGGTTGACGTGGTGGGAAATCTGCCGACGGACCGGTGTTTGACGATTGACCTTTGACGGTTGGGTGTTCTCTGTCTTCACATGGTGGCCTAGGGACATGGCTCTGGGCAGTGTCGAGGTGGGAGACCGGCCCCACAGCCTGGACCCTTAGAGAGACACTGCGTGCGCAAGTACCGTCAAATGTTGGATCCAATGGGTACCCGTCAAGATTAGAATCGCCTTCTTCCCCTTGCCGCCAGATGGAGTTGGGGACGACTCCAGGACTCCAGTCCTGAAGTATCCCTCCTGGGACATCCGTGCCTAGAACTGGTCAACCACTTCACTACCTTCCACCTCACCCCTCCCTGCCCGGGACTCACTTGGCAGGGCTAGTCACCAGCACTCCTGTCTGTCCGTATAATTCCATGCTATTTTAGTCCTCCAGGCCACGCGCTTGGCTCTTTCCTATCCCCACTCAGAATTTCACCCTGCCATAGCTTTTCTCATTTGGGGTATTTAAGGCAGCTGGGACTTCTCGGCTTCTACCACATCTTTTCAACAAATTAACCCATCATCGAATCAAGCGACCATTTAGCTTGGCTTTCTTTGGCTTATTTCCTTCAACATCACAATCGATACAACCATTTCGCCTTTCGCCTGCTTTTATTCTGATCAGCCATCTAACTTCAACCTCCGAAGGACTGGCCTCTTTTAAGGGTGCTTTGGGTCCATCTATCCTCGCCGCCCACGATCGTTAAACTTGACAGTCGTTTACCGCTTATCAAGACCCAAGCACCCTGTGCCCATCAACTATCAAGCTGAACACCGTCTCGTTTACGCAAATCCTCTCTCGTTTACGCCAATCCACACCTCTTCGCAGCTCGTCAGCTGCACAGCGCTGCCCCCTGCTTTCGTTCGTCACAAGCAGAAACGCACCACCATGTCCGACCCGGCCATGGACGCACCATGGCCCGCTGGCCAGTCCTACCTGGAGAAGCTGCCTACGGAGATCATAGAGATAATCTGTGATACTCTCGGCCCAGAGCGCACGAGGAATTATCTCATGAAAACGTCTTCCAGTCGTCATCCTCGTTATCCGAACAAACCTGCTGAGGCCTGCTATCCATCGGATCCCATCGACTCGCAGTCGTACCTCAAATCCCGCCGCGCACTGTACAATCTAGCTCGGGTCTCCAAGCGCTTATCTCCAGTGGCGCGCAAGTATCTGCTGAGAAAGGTTTCAGTCACCGATCCCCAATGCCTTTTCAAGCTGGCCAAATCTTTGGCTCTTTATCCGGACACCCGCCCTCATGTCAAGTGGCTCGGAATCGACGCTCAGTTTATCTCTGGGTGCCACTTCCAGGAGGAGGATGGAGGAGACGCAGACCCAGATGGAGATATGCCAATGCGACATCCGAAGCTCGAATGTTTGTGCGATGGCGAATACTGTGGAGTCCGTCCGCTCTACCACCGGCACTGGGACACTTGCAGACTCTCCCTGGAGATGGATTTCATGTGGAACTTCGAGAAGGTCCTGAAAGTACCAGAGATGAAGGGATTCCCGGATATGGGTCACCTGTTGCAATTGGTACGGCAAATGCAGTACACGGAAGTTAATCTGGATTACTTCCTGGATGACAGGACTTTCGAACAGATGTGCAATATTGGTCTCAAGGTTGCCATCTTTCTTTCTCCCAACCTCCAGGCACTTCGGCTTACGGCAGACTATAGTCATTCACATTCATTTCTTTTCCGCTACTCAATGGGTATCGTCCCTGCTCCAACCGAGAGTTTCGGCCCTTTTGCCATGGAGTACCACCCAGATGTGGCCAAGTTCCTGACGACACTCAACATGGGCGCATCCTCCTTCAGACATTTCTCCACCGCTCCTACACTGACCTTCATTCCTACCTGCCCAGCAACCCTGGAAGAGCTAACGCTGATCGATGACGGCCCGATCTACGTCAATGATGATCAAGAGCGCTGCCGCGGTATTGAGCCACATCAACTCCTCACCTGGCTCAAGCCTGCCAAGCGTCTTCGAAAGCTCCGGCTCTACAGCGGACTTGATGTTGAAGGCTTGACCATGGTACTTCGCTGGGGCCTTGAAGCAAGTCCCTACAACCTCACCCATCTGCACAACATTAACACCATTCTGCTCGCGCACCGCGAGACCCTGCTGCATTTTGAGTGGTGTCAGATGTCGAATCCGTGGAAGACCGACGAGCAAGCCTGGATCAAGATGTTTGGACCGGATCAGAAATTATCGTGTCTCGCGGAGCTCAAGGAGTTAACCTACCTCAAGCTGTCAGACATGTTCGTCTACACCCGTCAGCAGTACCTGGATCGCCGGGCTTCTTTAGCTGCCATGGATGCCATCACCAAGAAGTCGATCTTGCTCAAGGCGGATCGCGAATACAACGATTTGGTGGTGCTGAGGCGTAACCTGTTGTATGAGCTCTCCGCACCGCCCAAGTTGAAGAGGGTTATTGTGGTGGGAAATTTGCCGAGGCATGGTCGTCGGTATATCGAGGTTAATACTTAATTAGGGTTTTGATGTAAAGTCCGGTGCTCGGTGCGAATAGTTATGGACCTGGAATGCTGATATATTCAGACCTGCCACCTGTCCCAGAAGCATGTGGCCTTGTCTCCCTAACATTCCTTTGCCGTCGTTGCGCACCAGCGACTTACCTTGACTCGGAACTTTTAACTTCGTTCACTGGACTTTCAGCGCGAAAACAACGGAGCATGCCCTGCTACTTGATTATCGATCCGTATTCGGATCTACTCATGTACACATATCACAGGGTTCTTGCTGCTTATCTCTTAGTCTCTCTTCTCCGCCAATTCAAATAGTCCAGTTAAAATCCTTTCGTTCATTCTCGTGCCCTCGTATTAGTATCCATTATGTGCACTTACTTAGACGTTTAGGTCTAGCCGGTGCCCGGCGTGCTCAAAGACTGAGGTGGTTTGAGGTTCTTAAACGCTGCCCCTCCTTTCCCTCACCTCTACTCTGACTAGCCAGTAGCTACTGGCTAGGCAAACGTATTACGTAGGTACCTTCCCAACATCTGACAAGCCAGCTGCCTTTACCTTGTTCTTCGTTGCCGCCTTTCCCCACGTTTCCGTCCAGTCACAGCCGCAATATTTCCTTCTCTTCCCCTTGCGTCTATCTTTCTTTCTTTTCTTCTTTCCCCTCCCCCATAACAACATCTGCCC